GTACCTCACATTGCGAAAGTGATTGAGTACATTTTTAAAAATACACACATTGGAATTTTGGAACACTTGATACAACTTTTTACACGTTTTTTGGCTCGTTATTTTGGATTTTCAACAATTACGGTCCATAAAACATTAATCACAGCAGCTTTTTAGAGATATTGCTCTAAAGATGGCTAAACACCGCACCCGCTTCACCCGCCGCACATCTCGTGCCTTTATCGAATTCAAAACCATTTGCTGCTAAAGTAGGGAATCGTGTACGGGCAACGGGTGTATTCGTTCAGACATGAGGTTTTTTTTTATATTATAAAATAACATAAAAAAAAGCCTTTTCAAAAAGTTCAATAGAGCGCGAATGCCATTAACTCGGATACTGTGCGATCGTCCCATTCGAAGTCAATGTGTAACAAAAAAAGGAAAAAAATGTGAAGCGACAAAATCCTTAAGATTAATCAAAATTGTGTAGCACAAAGACAAGAGACCGAACAGATGAATACAGACATTACAAGAAAAAATAAATGCGTGATTAGTGCACTTGAACTAAAGCCTTTTAATTCCTTTTGTGTCGTTTTTTTTTTAACGATAACGTTGTGTACTCGAGAAAAGACCTCAAGTTAAAAGTTTTCAAATAATTTCAAAGCCACATAAGCTTTGTGTCAACAAATTTGCACGTTGCTATCAAACGTTGTAATATTATTATCTGTAAATATTTACATTGTTTTTCCCCGCCAAATTTAGTGTAAACAGTTGTTGTCTTAAGGTTGTTTTCTTTTTACCGAGCTTTCATCTACTCTTCGTGGGTACTAACTAAATGTGATTCTGTTATTTATAGAAGAGTATTTGGGTGTAGGACTACCATTACGGGTCGTTTTTCGGAAATCCAAACAACTTGTAACGGGAAAATAAAATATATACTTATTATATGTTATTATGACTTATGAACAACGACGACTGACTTGGTAAGAAAACTATTCTTTGACAGACACAAACAACAAGCACGAGGCGTGCAACTCTGTGCAAGATTGTTCATTGTGCGATACTTACGTGTGTACGGCTATGGTTATTTAAAAGTGGCAAACAAAAACTAAAAAGAAAGAATACCGAAATAAAAACAGAAGAAAAAAAATCATATCCGACCGCAAAGATTATTGTTTTTTTTTTTTTCATTTAATATATCCTCTTCCTTCGCTCTGGACGTGCATTATACACCAGAACAATGCCCGAGCAATCCATAAGGAACCGTACAATAATAATAAAAAAATAATAAGTGGATAATTCTACTACCGCAATTATCCAATTTTACAGGCTACCGGGTCATATTATACCGTTTTCTTTGGGGCAATGACAGTACAGACATCTTTCCTTGGCCGTCTAGTATTTTAAGACAGACTTTTAACAACAATCCACACTGCACAGACATCACTTTGGTATGAATACAGATGTGTATATTAACCTAAACGGCCGATTTAACGGCATTTAAACGCATTTATAAATATGTATACTCTATAATAATAATATACAGAGGTAAAAAATACATATTATCTGTGATAATACAATGGCAACATTGATAACACACTAACAACATTACCTTACCAGCATAAATGGCGGCCAGGCTTAATTTTTCAATACATTTTATATGAGATAAATAATTTTACTTGGTAAATTAAATTTTTACTTATTTCTGTATACTAAAAAAATGACCTTTTTACGTTTGATCTAAAATATATTTGATTAAAGATCCCAAGGACACTGTAAGTCGATTAAAGATATCGAATTATATAGCTGTTATCAAAAATAATAGAAAATCGGCCGATAAGAGATAAGGCTATCACTATCTTGTGTTTTTATAATTTCATAAACGTGCAGGAAATTTTTTCGAATATAAAACAAATAGCTCATTTATAAAATGATTCTAAAAAATTGAAGTGATTCGAACCAAAAGAGTATAATATTTTTAGTACCAACGACATTCAACAGGAGAGCAAAATGAAACTAATATTTCCAACGTATTCGTTTGGGCAACGTTCATTAATTTTCTTCAGAAATGTGTATACAGTTACAAAAACGAACGCAAAAAAGAAAAGGTCTCGTTGACATAATATTGTACGATAAAAACTTGTTTTAAACAAACGTCACTTACACCCTTTTGGTTCTCATCACTTGAACTGTTACAGTTTTTTTTTTATAAAAATAAATTCAAATACAGAATTCCTCGCAGAAGGATAAAAAATAAAGGTAATGATTGATGTGTACGATTTGTTCTAACTTCAATGACATTATTATGACATTGTATACGGTTATTATTATAGGCAAACCGTGTGTGTATATTAATTGGTATCGGTTAACATTCAGTGCGTACATATATAATATTGTGTTAATATACAGCTGTACACAGAGCATATAATGTATAAATTATACAGTTATGACGTCTCGCCTCTTAATTGAATAGTAATTGCGGTGGTTGTGCCAAGCACTATTTGAAGTTCTTCCGTTCTGACTGTTGTATAATAATGTATAAAACAACAACCTTTACCGAAATGGGCCGGCTTTGAATATATTTCTCAAGTGTCCGCGTTTTGTTTTAATTAAATTAAACTGCAAAAAAACAATTCCACACGACTTAATCTCAACGTGGAATGGAGTGTATTTTTTGACTGTCATCGCACGACTCGTTTCATTTCCTGATTAGAAAATATTATTATCTCAACTAAATCCATACCTTTTAAATCAGTCGGTATTGAACCGACAACAGTTACCTGCTAACAAAATATGTACAGAGAGAATATATTTGTTGTTTTCGTTTTTGATGAGACAATATAGGAAATGTAGTTTTCAAACTTTGCCCAAGTTTTATTAGTGATTTACCGTACTTATCGTTTTTAAAAACTCAACTTCTGTTGAGTGCTTTGATATTAATTTCAAACTTCTTTGTTTTTCAATTATGTTCGTCTTATCCGGTTGAGCGACTCGCTACGATACCAAACAAGGAAAAATTTGTAAAAGTCTTTATTAATAATTGTATTTATTAAAACTTACAGGAACGCCAAATCATGAAACACATTGTCCAACATATATGCAAATAATGCATTTACCGTTTACTTATAAACTTTAAACTGTACCTACTAATCATAATCAACGACAATAAAAACACAGACAGATGTGGTTACAACCTAATCGTCGATAAGGTTACCTGAACCATAGTAAAGGTATGCAAAATCGCATAATACAATAGCTGTTCTTTATACCATATCAAACCGTTGGATATTTTATTAGCGTCATAAAAAAAAAATCCTATTGTCTTTGTTTATAATAATATAATATGTAAATTACTTTTCAAAGTTAAATGAAATTTCAATCAAATGTATCACAAGAGCATAACGCGAAGCACAACGTTTGTTTATCTTTGTGTACTATCAACTCATATCCATTTAATACGGTAATGTGTAAGGCTATAAAAATAACATGATGCTATTTTATTATGTATATTTGTAATATAGATGCGATAAACATTAACAGAGTTGATAAATGCAATATTACATTAACGGGGCTGTGATAAATACATTTTCAAGTGAATCTTCGTGTGCACTCTACGATTTGTTCCGTTGGACATCTTGGCGGGTTTTTTATTTTCTGAGATTCAAAAACAGAAACACAGTTTGACTGAATGGTGGCGTACCCCTTTTATTCAAAGTCCTCGGTCCGCAACAGGATCTTTTTGTGCGGTTTAAGGGGCTGCTATAAGTCGAGTATGATATTGTCAAGTGTCGACTGTTCGACGAAGCGGTAATTAATTTACAACAGGACAGGGTAAACGTGTGTTGTTTAATTTTCCAAAACCGAAAGTTTTAATTAAATCCCTACGGGGTGGTGGTGGTTGTCGATAGGGGGATGAGGGTTCGCGGGGAGGGATGTCAAAGGCGGGGGTCTATTGGCCTCTGCGTGTGTTTAAAATATATACTCTGCCGAAACATGACTGACACATTATACATTTAAACGTTATAGAAGAATACTAAAACACCTAATATTAGCCTAAAGCTCTGTTTTACTTAATCCGAGCCAATCGTTAACCCCCCCCCCAGACATTTTATCTCTTATTTCTTATCTCTCATATCTTATGAGATTAATCATCTGATATTTTCGTTAGGGTTTTCCTGTCGATTTTTCCGGTTGTGTGCCAAAGTAAAGATATAAAATGTCAAAACAAATAATAAACAATCCCCTAATTAAATCGCACGTGGTGTATAAAACTTTTATTAATATTATACTATAATAATATTATGACGCATAACGACATCTGGTCGTGCCCGTCTGTCGGTGTTAACTCACTTCTGCATACAGGGCGATTGTCGTTGTAAAAAATCTAGTAGTTACCAGTTACCAGTTATCGGGTACAGAGAACAACGCACAATGGGGCACGTTCCAATCATTCATTGATTGCAAAACGTCCATGGTGATAATATAAAGTATGTTCTTCTTCTTCTTCTTCTTATCGTGCCTTACTCTACTTGGTGCTGGTAAGATGATTAGTTTGTCGTTCCGAGTAAATCAAAACAGCTATGCAGGCTAACTTAACCTTTACCTAACATTGGTAAAGACTGTTGTGAATCTTTGGCTATGTGCACTCATAGAGCGTGCAGCGATTACACGTATCGTAGCTTAAGTTTTGACGTTGAAAACACGGGACGGTTTTATTACCAGAGACAGCTGTTGTGAACTGATAAAAATAACTTTGAAAAAGGGTCGGTTTTTGTATCCAGACCAACTCGGAGCACTCGCAGACAACTATGTTGGCCCGACATCAAATTGGACCACAAATCATAACACAGATCAGTTTTTGACAGGGTAATTTTAATGGAATTAGCTCTTGTCATTTGTTACACAAATTGAATCCTTCAATTGAATGAGCTTTGTCGTTGCTGGTCTATTTTATTAAAATTAGTTATAAAATATAATAACCGACTTAATATTTTTTATTTATCAAGTGTTTTTTTTTTCAGGTGTAGGTGTCATTCTGGTGGCCATTAGCGGTATAGCGTGGCGTTTGACGGCCGGCCACGAAGCGTCTTCGTGCGGTGCTGTTTTCGGTTTAGGTCGTTCGCTGGACGATGCGACTGAGGCGAACAGGAGGTTTGTTCCTAGACTGCCGCCATCCTATGGACGTCCACATCATCCCTATGCAGGTAAATTGACATTTATAACGATTAATTTGCAATTAATATGTCACAATTGATGAATCGGCGACTCGAGGAATGGTGGATCAAATTGTGAGGGTTTTAGTAGCCTGTACAATTGTCTTATTAATTCTATAGGAATTATTCTTCTTGCTTGTACCTACTTAACTTTGTTCTATTGTCCACAGCCATGATATACCCTGAATTCGAATACAGAGCGCCGCCGCCTTCGTACCAAGCGTCCATGCAAGAGTATCGGTTGAGGCTGTTGCTGTTGGACAGGCAGACCAGCATGCCTCCGGTAACTGCCTCGCCGCCGCCGACTTACCGGTCGCAACCAGGCACTCTTATAAGGTAAGGGTTTTGCTTAGCTTGCGCTATTTCCGTGACACTTTCGCCGGTCTTCTTGATTATATTGTGATGTTACATGTTTGTGCAGAGGTCAAAATCCCTGTTGCCGCGACCCCGGCGACCTGTACCTGTACCAGCCGTCGGCACTGATCAACCCGGCCGACTACAGCGGGCCTCCCAGCTACCGTTCCCGGACCAGCACCATGCGACCCGGCTGCCACCTCATTGATCCCGTGGGATCGACCATGGGCAGTCACAACCACAGCCGGAACCCGTCGCAGCTGAGCAGTGCCATGTCCGAAGCGGTGGGCGGCGGCGGTGGCGGCCTGGTGGCCGTGGACAACAAAGTGCCTGTGGTCGAGGACGGCGTCCGCGACATTGTCGTGGTGGACGAGAAGCCGGATCACCACGGTGGTTCCGTCACCATCGTACAGACGTCGACAACGGGGCCGCCGTCGGTGACCCGCTGCAACCAGCAGCCGTCGTTGGCCAACAACGGTGGCACGGTGGTCGTGACCGTCTCGGGCGTGGCCAACGATACGGCCGCCAACGTCCGGTGCCGTGAAACGGAAATGGAAATTTTGGCTCACTTATGATAAAAACAAAAATCTTATAAAATTGTTTCTTACATTTTATATTTATTTACATAATATTATCATAATATAGTTTATATACGGATGTTATCATTCATTTTTTCCTATTATATATCATTTGTAAACCGCTTTGGAGCCACTTGGAAAACTATTATTTAATATATACATCAATGTGCACATATTTTTTATCCCATAACCTAGTTTATAAGTATTCAAACCCAACCCGAGCCCTCGCCCCCAATTTTTATTTTAAACGATTAACAAATTTAGTATTATATTGCATGCCCAACCAAACTGTTATCAGATTTATTCGAATCGACAAAATCGTACGTTTAATCGGATAACGTCTTTTTAAAGTACCGTTAGTCAACTCGCAAGTGTTCTATAAGAAATATATTTAAGTGTTACTAATTAAATGTTAAGCCAAAGGGTAATATTTAAATAATTATATTTTATACATAAAATAATGATAATAATTAAATTAAAACCATCAGATATTTTGTATTACTTAATTTTCTGTTTAAACGTTATGTTAGTTGTGTACGGATAAAATGAATAAAATAACCATTTTTGCTTAAAAAAATTATATATTCATATATATTTTTAATAATAAATTCATATCCTTACAAACAAGTTTTGTTATAACTTTAAACAGAAAATCAATCGATAGAAGTCTCTGTTGTCCTCGGTTGAGGTGAATTTGTTTTGGATCGATACACTTTTGTACGGTTTCCTTGTCGACAGTGTAACGGCACAAAATAATATTACCTTACTGCTTATTTTATGATATTATATGGTTTCAAACAACAATACAATTTATTAAATTATTATTACAACCAACTTTTTCGAACAAAGCCTCAGTATGTAATTTGTTTAAAAAAATACACACATAATGTATTATAAGTAATATATAAACATTTTTAGCGCTCACTCTGTAACCGGTTAAGTAGATAGTAAATGTTTTATTTTTTATTTTATATTACGCAGTTACCTCGTCTATGATCGAAAACAATATTATTTTTTATTTAATATCGACTTCTTTTTGTACATATTTATATATTGTATACTTATTATTTATTTAGTGTCCTCGTTGTAAACGTTTTCAGAGCTGTACTCCAAAGTGTAGCGTGCAAATTACAAAACAAATAACTTGAATGTATTATGTAGATAGACACAATGAGAAAATAGCTCAGTTAATTACACAAAAAAAAAACACAATTTAATAAGTTGTGCTCGGGCTACGATTTTAGGTACTACTTGAATAGACTTTTTTTTTTTTTAATGAACTGTTGTTAAATTATTACATTATAAATATTTGTTGAGTATTACATGTTTTTTTTTGTTAACCATATTATGCTATAATTAGTCTTAAGGTCATGTGAAGATTTTAGATGTGATGTATTGTCTAAGTTATTGTAAAATAAAAAAAAACGTTTCGACGGTCGCGCAAAATATATTGTGTTACTATATTTTGTGTCGGCGTTAATAATATTTGTACAAAATCATTGTGATTATATAATAATATGATAATATTATGATAATGTATAAAAAAAAAAAAATTATGTTTAAATAAAATCGACATTATACAATCATTGGCCATCGATCGAGTCATTATTCAAGTCTGTACTACACTGTATTGCACTGCCTTGATCAATTGTATGTTGATAAAAACCAAAGTGATTTTATTTTATTACATTTATACTCATAACTAATCTTAAAACTTGGGTTGATATTAAAGTATAAATTAAAAACATTTTCATACAATTTTCAAACAGTTATGTGCTTAATATGTCTTGTAACAATATTCATAGTTACCTTTTCTGTTGTGATTTACCTAGTTTTTCAAATAGAATATGTCAATAAAACAGTATTAGGCTGTCCCGTTTAATAGACGTTTGAAAATAAGTGAAATTGTTTAATTGTCCTGACTTGTTTTGGTGACAAATTCTAAAACTACACTGATAACAGCTGATAACCGTTATCAACTGTTTATTCTACTCAATTATTATTGTGTTACATAATCTAATTTATTGAAAAAAACAAAAACAATCTATTATTTACTCGACACAACATGACAAAACAACGGTGTTATTTAATTCGATAAACAAGCCTAGTTAAATACACAATATAATAATTTATCTTATCACACAATATTTGCCAACAGATATTAGTACAAAATGTGTGTGTGTTTTTGCTTATTTGTTGAAAACAGGACAAAATAATAATAATAATATGAAAAGCGCTGTTGTTGTTTTTTTATTCAGTTTTATATTATATTTTGTGGATACACAGAGACGACTAATGATGTTATAAAATGTCACAAGCAAATCTTGGTTTTCCGGCCAGTGTGTGTATTCATTTATCAACAAAATATAATACAATAACATATTATTATTATACAGAAATTTACCCTAAATAATGTCGTCTCAGCAACAGCCTATGGCAAAGGAGAAATAGGTAAAAGGAATAAATAAAATAAAAAACCAATGTAGGTGCCCCGAGGCAGGTCTGATATAGGCAATACAATATACACGCGGTCCGTGAGATTGCGTTCAACTAAATTTTAAGGGGCTTCGATATGGTCAAATTATTTTATTTTTACACAATATGCAAACACAACTATTGTTTTTTTATTTATCTATTGAAAAATTCACAATTTACAAAGCAAAATTGACAGTAGTTAAATGTGTTATATTTCCTTGCCTCGTTTTAGGACTGTTTTCTTTCAATGTGTTGAAATATCAAACAAATATTTACCTCAAGCGCAGTAAATTGCAAATCAAATTATTTGGAAACAACATAAAAATATGATGTAAATTTTTTTTTTATTGAAATTTGTCTAATTAGGTTTTATAAATAAATAATAAAATAATATATATATTGACACCTATGTGTACATATGTTTATGTATATTAAAAAAAATGCAGGCAAGTACGACAATAATCAAATTAAATATAATAATAATTTTCGAAAAACATTAAACAGTATACAAAATTTGAAAATACCTAGTTGCAATTTGCTTACCAATAAAAAATGATTATAACATAATATTATATTAATAAGGCACAGATATAGCGCATATATGTAAATAATACAAATAATTACCTACTATTTATTTGTTTTTTAATATTTATAAGTCTGTTTTATTTTTTAAGGAGATATTATTAGCATAGTAGAAGGTATTTTACCAACGTTAGCCATCAAATTATTTTCACTGACAAAAAAATATAATGAAATATCGTTTTTCCATTTATAACTGTTGATTACATTAGGTAAATAAATATGTATATTATATAAAATATTATTATTAAGTAATTCCCATCAGAGTGTATGATCAGTTTGAAAAGTTGTAGATAAAAATTGAATATATATTTTTTTACCTTATGACTTTATCCTTTTAAAATGTTTTTGATTTCACCATTCTGATGGATGAGAAAGTTTAATAAAAAATAAAAACCTAACCTAACTGTGACACGGAAGGAGAACAGAGTGAAAACAATAAATACATAATAGAAAATCACACTCAAGCCCGTACTGTCTTAACCTAACCTAAGTTTTCTGTTTTGTACTTTTAATCAAAATGTATGACATATTTTAGTTGTGTTCAATCAAAAATGGGTGCAGCGCCACTTGTACGGATAAAAAAAAAGAAACCTAAAAAGACCAAAAAGAAAATTGCAGCTTGTATTAAAAAGTCGTCACAGCAAAAATGTGTTATCCTTTTGTGGTCTACAGAATATTATATATATAATAATGGATTACACATTTGATGAGGAACTTTTTTATATTGAGTATTAGAGAACAATAGAAAATACAACTTCGATAACCCTTTATTGGGTAAGCAGAAGTTTTTTTATGTAGGTTGATTAGGTAAAAAGGAATGGCACAGACTTGCATTATAGGTTCAAATATCATAATTTATTGTATTTTGTAATTTAGATAATATTATTATGTCTTGCCTGTCTTGAGTATAACAATGGAAATAATTCTTATCACTACCTACTTTTTTTTTAGGCCTTCAAAATAAGAAAAAATTGATGACCTTGATGACAAACTATTTTTAGAAAAGTATAGACTATCTAACCAATGTGTTAAAACGTTATATATAAATAATTTATATAAACCGAAACGTTAAAAGAAAGTAAAATAAAATGCCAAATAATAACAAACTGACAAGTTAAATAATACAATCACTTATCAGTTATCACATATCTTAATAACCAATGAGAACATTGGAATCGAGGTAACCGCTTTGGTTACCGCTTTGGTTTATCACTCGCCTCCAAGTATGGCATATTATCAGACAATAATGATAAGAGACACGACAGGCACGTGGGTACAATGAGCCAGTATTGACGTAGACTACACAACTTGTATCCAATAAATTTAGACATTCCGGTCATTGCCATAGACTAGGCAAGTAATATTTGTTTTGTCAAGTAAAACATTTAAAGCTATAAACGATTTACCATGGAAAAACATTTGCTCGTTAAGATTAGAAACGCGACAGTCGTAATATGCATAAAAAAACGATACAAGTGAAGCCGAGTCGGATCAGGTCAACTTTCTTTGGTAAGCACAACATTGGCAATGGATGGCAATATTATTGTATAGGTGTTGTTCCATATGTCTTGACCTTGTCATCCTTTGCCAATGGTGTGCTTTCCTAAGAAAATTGCCCTGGTCCGTCTCGGGTTTGCTTGTGCCGTTTTCTTGCGCATATTATGACTGTCGCAATTTGAAACTTAACGATCAAATGTTTTTCCATAGTAAATCGTTTAGGACTTTCAGTTGTTTACTCGACAAAACGGATATGGCCCGCCTGGTCTATAGCAAACACCGGAATGTCTATATTAATTCGATACCGGTTGTGTAGTAAACGACAATACTGGCTCATCGCCCCGCTTGTCTGTCGTCTTCCCTAATATATTTATTGGCTTACACGCTGATCGGGGTAAAGTGCTGATAGTATTCCATATCTTGATGGTAAGTGATAAGGGCCGCCAAATGGTCATAGAAATTAACTTTTTATTTCTTCGTCAACCCTTGAACCACCGCCAACATAACCTAACACAACCTAACCTAACCTAACCTAACCAACCTAACCAAACCTAACCTAACCGAACCTAACCAAACCTAACCGTCACCACGGTGATCCAAAATAGAAAAACCTAACCGCATATGTAACTGTCACATTTAGCCGGCCGTTACCACTCGGTGCAGCGATAGCGTTTGCTTGAAACAGTCCGGTTGAACTTTTAAGCTGTGTTACCTACAAGACCTAACCTAACCTAACTTGGTATCCCGGTGGACCAGTACGGGCTTGATTGGGCATTAAATTGTAATTATTACTTTATTGGCTTACAACGCAGTCGACCTTAGAAAACGTTACAGCTAGACGGTTCTCACCTACGTTTTGGGAGTACATTTGTTTACCGGTCGATAGAGTTGCTTCGAGTTTTTTATTTATACATGAAAAATCAAACGTTGGTATTGTAAACATGGACTATTATTATTTAAAGGAATAGGGTTTTCATCAGCATCGTCGTCGAGGCCAACATCAGTGTGTTCAACGTAGTAACGCAACTGTCACTGCCGGCTGCCGCGCTGGTGGTGGCTTCCATGTCCAAGTACGCCCTGGACATGACGTCTGGCAAGTCCAAGTACACTTTTTTCGGACCGATTGTCCGGACCAGGTTGACCAACTTGACGTGGTCTACGACGTCTTTGGAATCGCTACACCAAACGGTCAGGGTGGATCCGACGGGCGAGGTCTCCAACAGGTATTGTAGTTCGGCTATCGAATTGACCGCGAACGAGGCTCGCACCGCGTAAGTCACCGGTTTCATGTACTTGTTTTTGAACAGAACGTCCACCATACTGTTGATGTAACTTTCGGAATATGCGCCTGTGAACACACGAAAAGCACGTCCAAGCATTGTCAAACTCGAGAAAAAAATCCTTAAACCACTATATAAATCTTGAGTGAATGCTCCAACTAGTGAACGGACGAAAAGTCGCGACAATGAACTCCAAGGTTCAGTTTAACAATACACAGTCGAAGAAACATCAAAAATTACAACACAATCCACTGGGAAGACCACGTACGTACGATGAGAGGACTTTGAAATGAGGGATGCAAAAGCTGCAGAAGAAGTCAGACATGCACGGAGAGTAATATGTTTGCAAGGTTGGTGTCTAGTCACCAAAAGAAAGAAAAAGTAATGACAGATGCATTTTAATGTAGCTTGTTATTTCCATTTAGGAATTTCCGCTAACGAAACGGCTGATTGTCTTGCTAAATAAAACTTAGTCACACTTGCTACATACTTCTCAGAGCGTGGGTATCGTATCTTATAGCTTGGAGTTTTTTTTCCAATGTACTGTCATCATCAGAGCTTTTCTTTGTGCTTATCACAATACATAAGATGTCTGACTCCAAACTGCCATTCCTGTACTCTCTTCCAGTCCTTTCAACTCTCGATAAATTCTCTGCTTTTACAACTATGTTTCTCAGATAAGGAAGTCAAGTTCTACTGGATTCATGGACATTCTGGAACTCTTGATAATACTAATAAAATAAAGGGCATATTACCAAAATCATTGCGTTTGGTAGTCCAACCCAACGACAGCATTGAATTTGGAAAATTCTTGACCGAAGCTCTTAGGAAAATATCTGCATCAACTCCAGGATTTCCACCAGGACCAGGACCCGGAAGGATGTCTGCGTTCAACCAAGGTGTACGTCCCTGTGGAAGGTCCTGTAACCATTTTACGAACAGTCAAACAGGAATATTAGGTATATAATGTTAATTTTACATTGTGCTTTTATGACTGAATCAACTGTTGACATAAACATTGATCAATCGTGAAACAGATTAAGTGCGAACACATTTTATATAAATAGAAATTGGTTTTTGTAGATAAATTAAGTTACTTTGAACATGTTTTCCATAACTGGCAATGCCAGTAAAAATGCGTCGGTCGACTTGAAATCCAGCTTTAGTCCTTTTGTCGTGCGATTCCAATCATGTAGAAATTCTTGAAGACTCAAATCTGAAACCACATTAGGAGGATGTCCCATAATGGCAATTTTTTCTTGATTCTCATCGACAACCATATCCTCGCCGTCCATTATATGACCGGCCACTACATCAGCTTCAATCATCATAGCATTACCTAAAAAAAAAAGGTTAATTTGTATTAAGTATAATAATAATAACATAAAATATTTTTCTTTAAGATCATTTTTTTGTTATAAAATAGATATATATATATAAAATTTACATAATATATGCATTGTCATTATCAGGGATCGAAACAGTTATTTTTTTTTTACAAATGAGTTCAACTATAACTGTTTGAAAAAAACTTTTATATATAAAAGTTTAATCGAAACAGTTGCTTTAAAACTGTTAAATAAAAGTTCTAGCTAAAAAAAGTTTTAGTTAAACTTTTACTTTTTTCCTGTAAAATAAAAGTTATATGTACAAAAAAATTCAATTATAACGCAAGATCGTTATTATTTTAATAAATTATCGTTAAATTACAGTTTTTTGTAAATAAAAATAAAAAATAATAATCATAATTTCCATTATGGTTAACTGTCACTTATACTATGAAATTTTGATTATACTTATATTAAACTGATATAATATCATAATTTGTTTATTGAACAATTATTATTAGGTTGTATGTTATATTTCCTATTAATAAAAACGTAAAAGCATAATCATTTTTAAACTTATTCGTGTAAACGGTTTATAATGACTGTTAAAAAAAACTTTTATGCATCAACATGTATAAGTGAAAGTAAAAATTTTACTTTGTTAAAAAAAGTTAACTATTTCATTAGACGCTTGGTCATTATTATCATTGGAATTTGTTTAGGTATATTATAATAAGGATATTATGATCAGGAACTTTATTTTTAGTTATAACAATTATTATTTTTTTACATAACAAATTACTACAACGCAAAAACATAAACAAGGTTTGCACTACAATGGGTGAGTATGTGTGTGTGTGTGTGTGGTGAATGTTTATTATTGGCAGATTACAAGTTAGAACAGCGATATTACACATTGTCGTTTGTACACACAGCGAATACGATGATAATAATAATATAGCGTAGGGGTTTTGATGGAAAAAAAAAAATAAAAATCCAACCGATATCCGCTGCGGCGGTTAAGCAAACAGACGTGTTTAGCATTTGTCGACGTCGTGATGGCACCATTTGTGAAAACAAGAGTATTAATAATAATAAAAAATAAAAAAAACGAGCAACCACGCGCGGTGTGTGTTGGTGACGCGCGCCTTTTAGTTAACATTTTGAACGCGGTCGGTACGGGTAAAAAAAAAAAAAAAATATTAAAAAATGACATTTGGCGGTGGTGTGTTTGCGGTGACTTTGGCACTTCTGGTGTTCAATCTAAACAACAATAATGATCACTGTTGTCTGGCTACAGGCGCCGGCGAAGTGGACCAGTTCCAGTGCACGTGCGGTCACAACATCCAAACGCACTTGCAACGAGTCCTCGGCAAGCTGACACTGTGCCGCCAAAACTGCCGCTGGACGGTGCAGTCCATCGACGGGTACGGCACGTTGACGCAGCGCATGCTGTTCGTCGCGTATCACCGGGCCGGCGGTACCGCCGCGTGGCTGTGGCAGTTGGCCGTGTACGCCAACACGGCCGAGCGGATGGCAACCGGCGGCTCCGCGGATTTGGACGTCAAGGCCATGACCAGGATTATGGCAAACGGCGCCAGGTAATATACAAGTGTACATTTGGCATTGTGAGTACAGGTCGGGTGAACAGCTTCAGGTCAAAAATTTGGAAATAATAGTTACCAAAAATAACGCCAGCTCCTCGTTTATTTCGCGGGAATGCCGAATGTTCTCAATTTTTAACAAACGGAAATTTTGTTGGCGAAAAAAAATAACATCAGGCCACGTCACGAAAATTTGATCAGCTGGCGATAGATATTACAATGGGTATTATAATAAGGATAAACCCCCAATGACAGTAGTAAATAAGATAAGAAAGCGATGATGATAATAATAAAATCAGCTGATAAGATAATGATAAGGATAAATCGGACGATCGCATATGTATGTGAATTTATGCTTCAACGTTTTAAACTTCATTTCAAAATAACGATGTGCTAATACGGTGACAATGTTCATAATCTGAGGGTAACACAAAAGTGTGTGTAGTGGCTAGAGTGGAGATGAAGGCGTTAGATGTGGCATATTAACTCGGCGATAACGTAAGTCATGAAGGAAGTCCCGGGTTTTCAATTTAAAATCTTTATTTTGCAATAATTTAGCATAATGAAATCTTATTTTCGAATTGTGGAATGCGGATGAACGTTTAGATGAAATAATTTTGGATGATCAAAATTGTACTTTACAGCAATTTTTGTATTTCTCTGACGTTGACTGTCGAACCGATGGTTTTCTAATAACAATCGGCCATTCCCTACTTGTACAGGGTGTATCAAAAAGAATGGTGAGGTTTCAAACGGCTGTAGGTTGTAAAGTATTGGACCTACAGCGCTCTGGTAGGGCTTGAATGAAAGAGGGAGCTGTCAAGTTTCGAATGACTGCTACTAGATGTCTCTGACACTAGATGTTTCATAGTTGTAACTGAGTTACGCTGTCATTCGAGACTTGACAACCCCCTCTTTCATTGAAGCCCTACCAGAGCGTTGTACGCCCAATGCCTCACAACCTACATCCGTTTGAAACCCCGCCATTCTTTTTGATACATCCTGTATTCTAAGACACTAAAATGGTTATCTTCACTCTCAGGTACGTGCTGACCGAGCTGGGCGGGTTCCTGAGACGGTGCCACAAACAGAAACTGGTGCCAGTGGTGCGGTGGCCACAGGTGGCTTTTGAAAAATACATCTTGGAACACGTCAATGACGTGAAGAGCGGCAACGGCACGGGCGCGGTCAAGGACGAAAACGAGTTCGGGTTGCGCGGGCTTTATCTGAACGACTTGGGCGGCAAAGGCAAAGACGAAGTCCTGAAGGAGATACTCAACGGGGACGTGGGCGTCGCCTGGACGTTGATGGGAGACGCGCTGACGCTGCTCTACAACGCGGCCAGGATCAAATGGGTGTACGGCACTAGGGAACTGGTGCTGTACCAGAAGAAGACCATATCCGCCGTGGCAGCGTCCATGATGAGCTACGTGCTGACCCACGTGGTGTACTGCCAGGAGTACTGGTCGGTGTACTTGCAGAAAGGCGTGGCCGCGGCCAACGAGAACCTGCTGGGCGACTACCAGCGCATGTGGATGTCCGTAGGCGACCTGTTGGACAAGTTCGACGCGTATCTGGTGCTGAGGACGGAGAAATACTACCAGCGCCTGGTGGACATAGTCCACAACCCAGTGATGGATATCGGTGGCTTTCAGACGGTCGCCAACGACATCAAGACCAGCATAGACGACCTGAGCGGCGGGCTGTTCTACCTTGACCGGGTCAAAGCCAAGTGTTTGTCCAACGAGCCGGAGAAGACGTTTGTGGAGACCATTGCCTTGATCGACAACAACATAAGTCTGGCGGAAAAGTACTTGAAAACCGTGCAGAACGCGTTTGCGGGGGTTAATTTTAATGTCATTAAAGACTTTATGAGCAGTACGCATGTATGGTTGACGTGATAATCGTTTACTATGCCTTTTTTTAAACAAAACCCTAGCAGTTATATTGACCTTCAAAATCAAAGTGTTTTAAGTCAAATGTTTTGAAAAATTGTTATTTATTATGCAAATCAATATTTAAATATTTATATGGTTCTATTAAATTACATTTTGTAAAATAATGAAAAAAAGTGAACATTTTTAATACATTCATTTTTATATAAAAATAAAAAACCTTTTTAAATACCTAGGTTTTAACAGAATAATAAAAATATTTAAGCAAATAATAAGAAATCGGAAAAACTTTACTCGTACATATTTAAAAAAAAAACACCGCTTCTATATAACACCTCCATTAATTGTCGGAACAGCTTAAACATTTGAAAAAAACAGTATTGAATTAAGGTCATAAGTTGTTATTGGTTTTACATTGATGTTTTGGATTTTCACATTTTTCGGATTAGATAAAAAATAGCAAATAACTGCCGAAATTGATAAAAAATGTATAATAATACTATTCCTTCGTCAGTACACGTTAGTCATAAGTACTTTAATAGGTCTTAAGTAAGGAAACTCTTACTTCATAACTCTTCATTTATCAAAACACAACTAGCAATGACACTGATTTTTTTTAACGATAACAGTTTAGTTGTTGGCTGAAATCCGGATTTGAATTTTATACAAATACCGAATCAAAAAATTATACGGAATTTTTTTTATCTAGTTAAAAGAATATAACTGCTGTTATAAAACATAGATGTATTATTATAATAAATCATGTAATTATTTGAAATAACGTTTTTTTATTATTTAACTTTGATAATCTACTTCAAATATCAACCAAAAAAAAATATTGAGTTATAAGAAAAAAAATGTAAACATTTTTTAAAACAATATTCGATAAATTTTAAAGATGAACGATCCGCTATTTGTAACTAAGGATGAGGATGGGGTTGGGGTAGGGATGGTTTAGGGTAGTGATGGGGATGTTAATTTTTTTAAATTATGTGTTGTTTTCACAACGAACAAACTTCAATGAATGGTTAATGAATTGATTTAAAATAACTAGCCAAGTAAATATTTTGCCAACAAAATGATTAAGGCCAGAAAAATAATTCAAAAACTTTTGGCCATAACATAAAATTAATCATCACCTGCCATTCGAGTACCGTGGTCACTACTGTCACAAACCAAGTGTTTATTTTGGATTAGCAACGAAAAATATTTCGAATGGTATCAAGGCTTCTGAATCGAGGCTGAAAAAAAAGGAGCGGACGGTTCTCCGCAGAACAGCATAAAAATGTATCCCGTAGTGTTGCGGACTCGTACACAAGCTGTTAAAACAAAATATGTAATACCTTTCTTAGAAAAAAAACTTTAAGACAAGCCAAGCCTATTTTAACGGTTTTAGATAAGACAGTTATTTGTATACACTTATGGTCATTTACTATCAGGCTGTAGTACTATATAACGTGGATTACGAAAATGTTAAACTTTACTTAGGTGTATATGAGTTTTGTTTCGTTCAAATTAGTCAAATGTGAATAACTACCGTTCAAAAATGAAAAACGAAAAATTGCATTTGTACATTAATCTTGTAGGTATAATTTTTATTTAAACTTTTTTTTTCGAAATGTTATTTGCAAGTTTGACTGTTGTAAAATATAGATATTGAGTAATGGTCTGATGAACATTCACGAGTTTGTAGTGGGTTCAGCAATAATGTTTTCCAGTATTCTTTTGCCACAACTCCTAGACCCTTCGTCAGCAATACATATCACCAGCGAAGAAGAATCGTGGATAGGTAATAAACAAATATTAAATATATAATTATGATTAATATAATGTGTGTAAAGTAATTAAATTGATACATTTTCATAAATCTATTCAACTATAGTTTATTGAAGCGTTTTTAAAAATTCAATTAAATTGTTAAATGCAAGAAGATATATTTTAATGTATACTATAATTTTCTGTTTAGCTAGCGTGCCTAACCTAGTCTGCCCGATTGGTTTGATTATAACCGGCATACTAGCAGATAAAATTGGCAGGAAAAAGAGTCTGCAGATCACTTACATTCCATTATTTTTAGGTTGGGGACTTCTCGCTGTCGCTCAAAGTGCCAATGCCATTTTAATCGCTAGGGCAATTTTAGGATATTCCATAGGTAAGCCCCAAACCGTTTACCTACCATTTTTTATTATTAAATACTTAAATCTCATTAATTGCGTATGAATGTTATTACAATTTTCATTTTGTGTGTATATGATACAACTATTGAAACAATGTTTACTAAACATACATCGAAGTGAGGATACTAAAGATAATAAACATTTTCTTAACTCGAACTAAGATGGTTACGAATCTTAGTTTGAAAACAAAAATTGTGTTTTATTCCACGTATAAAAGGTTTAATATAGGATTAAAGGTGTTAACCCTTTTGTTCCCGGCTTCCTCGTACGAGGATTTAACTTTAAAAATCGAACAAAATATTAACAACGTACTATCATTATCAAAAATGTTTTTAAATACTAGTTCTTGTATAGATTGATGAAAAAATCGACACAGCTTAATAATTAATAATCAATATCAATCCGATATTATGGTTTGTTTAGCATCATAGGTTTTCCTTATTCACTAATTTACAACGTCTTTGCTTCGAAATTTTTTTAATTTAGTTACGTATTTTTTTATAACCAGTAAATGACTTTTTTTGTAATTTATGTAATTTTAGGTGAAATAAAAGTAATCATTTCTATGATATATTTATATTGACCATGATACTTCCCGACATACTTGTAGAAGGATTTTAAATTTGGTAGTGTATAACTAAACCGGAATTCTAAATTTACTTCTAAAACTTCGTAAATATATTTTTTAGTCCTATACAAATACGTAAAAAAAATGTTGAATATTATATCGAAAAAAAAAAACCAGGAAAGGGTTAAGGTAAAACAAATCATTTAAATTATTTTTGAAAAGAAAAACAAAAATTGAGCGACCTAAGAGATAAAGGTGGTTTAAAGAGGCGTCAATACTATTATTGTATTTAGTTTATTCATTAGTGATAGTTTAAGGTATAACTGACCGATTAACTGATTTACAGGAACGGGCATAGTGATATTCCTGTATGCTGCCGAAACTGTTCCAGCTATCAATAGACCTCTGTTTCTGAGTATGATTACTGTGTCAGCCGGGGCCAGCATGATGCTCGTCTCCGTGTTGAGTATTTTTTACAACTGGCGAACGTTGGCTATAGGATATTGTGTGTTGAGTGCTATCGGCGGCTTGTCACTGTATCTTATACCTGATCCACCCATTTGGCTGAGGTCTGTAGGTCGACACGAAGAGGCGGTCCGTGCAGAACAATGGTTCGGCATGCCTGAGGGATCTGTCACAGCTGTAGCTCCAGTCTCTGAAAAGTTGCCGAATAAAGCCAAATATGCAGTATTCATAAGTCGGTCTGTTTGGATACCAACGGTACACAGTATCATTCTGGTGGTGTGTCAACAGTTCTCCGGCATCTATATTATGTTTAACTACTCTGTGAATACTTTGCTTAGTTGTGGTGTACAGTACGACGCTTTGATCGTGACAGCCGCTCTTTTCGGTGCTCGCATCGTGGGCAGCCTCGCGTATTCTTCATTGTACCTTGTCAAAAGAAGAACACTGATTACCGTATCTGGTCTGGGCATGTTTAGCAGCCTAGCGACCGTCGTGGGTTACTTGCACGCCTACCAAGACGTCTCAAATCCACCGTACGGATATGTGATGGTCGTTGCCTTTTTGATTTACGCTTTCGCTTCGATGTTGGCTATGACTCCGATACCCTGGTCCATTCAAAGCGAAATATTCCCCACTTCCGTTAAGGGTGAGTCATATTTTTGAGAAAGTTTACTGAATTCGATGTCAGTATGTGTATGTTTATAAAAACGATCCACGCTATAATTATTTCAATATTTTTTCGGGTAGTCGTATTTAATCTGTTATAATTGACTGTTTCAGGTATTATGAGCGGAGTGAGTCATTCTTGCGCGTTCTTCTTAATGTTTGTGATTTTAAAAATATATCCGTCAATGGTGATACATCTCGGGATACAAACAGTGCTGTCACTATACGCTGGAGTATGCCTTATAACAGCCATGTACGGTGCCTTTTGGTTTCCAGAGACCCAAGGAAAATCTTTAGACGAAATTTTGGCACACTTTGATCCAAAACTTAAAAACAATGTTTCAAATATTGACTCGGGAAATACCTTGTAGTACTGACAAAACCGAAAATGATTGTATAACATGTAAAAAATATACACAGTTTTTATAGTTTCTTATTTTCTTTGATAATTATAAGATTACCTGAACTAAGGTTATTAGACATTGTTGCCTTAGGATTTGACTTCAACCTGAGAGCATTAAAGTATTGCATGCAATAACATTTTGTAATATTATATATATAATGTTATATGCAATAAAATTTAAAATTAAACATAAATAAAATTTCAGTATATCAAAAAACAAATATGTAAATAAAATATATAAAATATAAAACGTGATATATATTATAATCTTTCTATTATATTCTATTTAAAACATAATTGTAAAATTATTTAAGTTTAAGTGCTTATGGCCAATAGTTTTGGCTAAAATTTCTAAGGTGATGAAATCTGAAATCTGCCTTTAATAAGTAACAAATACTCATACAAAAATTCATTTTTGAACATGTCTTAATATCGCCAGCAAAAAGTAACCATTTACTAATTATAAAAACAATAATTGAATCATTAATAAGGAACAAAAAAGTGAGGAAATACTAAATGTAGTATTTAATTCAAAGGAAGATACATTATTAGTTTTGACTTTTCATAACTTTACAGGAATGAATTTAAACCGAATATTTACGCCTCACTAATTCTTAAACGTAAAAGCACTACACGCAATAATATTATGTAATACTAATTATATAATATATGCATTAAAAAGTTAAAGAAAATATAAATAAAACTTCAATACAGGGTACTTTTTTTATCACGGATCACTCAATATGTTATAGGGTTTAATAAGAAATTACATTTTTTTTTCATATTGTTTTTATACATTGTGATCTCAATTTTCATAATTTGTTGTTGTTTTTAACCCCCTCGTAACTTAGTATTTTTGACAGCAACTTTTAAAACTATTTTTAAAGTTATAAAAGTTTCAAGGTTAGGATAGGAGGGAAAGTGTAGTTGGGAAATGCGCGCAGATAAAAATAATACTACACTCAAGTTGGGAGGGAGCAAAAAAAAAAAATTGTAAAAAATTGAGATCACATTGTATTAAAACAATATGAAAAAAAATTGTATTTTCTTATAGATATTTAGTGGTTCATGATAAAAAAAATCACCCTGTACATGATATTAGGTTATCTCCTATTATAACTTGAAATTATTGATTTAGTCAAATTTTTGGACCAAATATCACTAAATGTGTTACTCTCCGAAGAAATCATAATATCTACTCAAATGATGTCAATTTATTTCTCTAAAACATTTAAAAAAAACGTACTATACGTCTTTTGTTGTTCTATTAAATTATTTACATTGTGTAAAATAATGTAAAAAAGTGAACATTTTTAATACATTCAGTTTAATATAAAAATAAAGATCCCTTTTTAAGTACCTAGTATTTAACCGCATAATAATAACAACGATAAAAATATTTAAATAAATAATAATAAATCGGAAAAACTATACTCGTATAAACTTTAAAAAAAGACAATGCTTCTATATGACCCCTCCATTAACTGTTGGAACAGCTTAAACATTTGAAAAAAACAGTATTGAATTAAGATCATAAGTTGCTATTGGTTTTACATTGATGTTTTGGATTTTCACATTTTTCGGATTAGATAAAAAATAGCAAATAACTGCTGAAATTGATAAAAAATGTATAATAATACTAATCCTTTGTCAGTACACGTTAGTCATAAGTACTTTAATAGGTCTTAAGTAAGGAAACTCTTACTTCATAACTCTTCATTTGTCAAAACACAACTAGCGATGACACTGATTTTTTTTAACGATAACGGTTTAGTTGTTGGCTGAAATCCATATTTTAATTTTATACAAATAACAAATCAAGAAATTATCCGGATTTTCTTTATAAAGTTTAAATAATATAACTTATGTTATAAAACATAGATGTATTATTATAATAAATCATGTTATTATTTGAAAAAAACTTTCTTTTATTATTTAACCTTGATTATCTACTTTAAATATAAACCCAACAAAATATTGAGATATAAGAAAAAAATGAAAGCATTTTTAAAAAATAATATTTGATAAATTTAAAAGATGTAAGATTGGCTATTTGTAATTAAATGTAAAACAATGGATATGTCTCTATTCTGAGATTACATGATATATAGTTTTAATGAACAATTTGTATTTTAAGTATTATCTCAAATGAGTTTGATTAGGGGTTTTACAACTTTAAAGCCATATATTTTGTTGCAATAGATTAGCGAATCACCTTTCAAGAGGCATATAATTGGCAATTGTATTTGTAGATACTTATGGTCGTTAACTATCAGGCTGTAGTATTGTATAACGTGGATTACGAGAATGTCAAACTTTACTTAGGCGTGCATGAGTTTTGTTCCGTTCAAATTAGTCAAATGTGAATTACTACCGTTCAAAAATGAAAAACGAAAAATTGCATTTGTACATTAATCTTGTAGGTATAATTTTAATTTAAACATTTTTTTTCAAAATGTTATTTGCAAGTTTGACTGTTGTAAAATATAGATATTAAGTAATGGTCTGATGAACATTCACGAGTTTGTAGTGGGTTCAGCAATGATGTTTTCCAGTATTCTTTTGCCACAACTCCTAGACCCTTCGTCAACAATACATATCACCAGCGAAGAAGAATCGTGGATAGGTAATAAACAAATATTAAATATATTATTATGATTAATATACTATGTTTAAAGTAATTGAGTTAATACATTTTTATAAATCTATTCAACTACAATATTCAAGTATAATTTATTAAAACGTTTTTAAAAAATGCTATTCAAATTTTTAAATGCATGAAGATATAAAATATAAAGATATTTTAATGTATACTATAATTTTTTGTTTAGCTAGCGTCCCTAACCTAGTCTGCCCGATTGGTTTGATTATAACCGGCATACTAGCAGATAAAATTGGCAGGAAAAAGAGTCTGCAGATCACTTACATTCCATTGTTTTTAAGTTGGGGACTTCTTGCTGTCGCTCAAAGTGCCAATGCCATTTTAATCGCTAGGGCAATTTTAGGATATTCCATAGGTAAGCCCCAAACCGATACCTTCTATTTTATATTTTTAAATACTTAAATCTCATTAACTGCGTATAAATGTTATTACAATTTTCATTCTGTGTGTATATGAAACATCCATTGTTAACAATGTTTACCAAACATACATCGAAGTGAGGATACTTAAGATAATAAACATTTTCTTAACTCGAACTAAGATGGTTACGAATCTTAGTTTGAAAACAAAAATTGTGTTTTATTCCACGAATAAAAGGTTTAACAAATCTATAAAAGTCAATTTTAAACATGGAGATGTTTTAAAATAGGATTAAAGGTGTAAAGGTAAACAAATAAAATATAATTATTTGTCAAATGAAAAACATAAAACTGAGAGAGCTTAGAGAAAAAGGTGGTTTAAAGAGGCGTCAATACTATTATTGTATTTAGTTTATTCATTAGTGATAGTTTAAGGTATAACTGACCGATTAACTGATTTACAGGAACGGGCATAGTGATATTCCTGTATGCTGCCGAAACTGTTCCAGCTATCAATAGACCTCTGTTTCTGAGTATGATTACTGTGTCAGCCGGGGCCAGCATGATGCTCGTCTCCGTGTTGAGTATTTTTTACAACTGGCGAACGTTGGCTATAGGATATTGTGTGTTGAGTGCTATCGGCGGCTTGTCACTGTATCTTATACCTGATCCACCTATTTGGCTGAGGTCTGTAGGTCGACACGAAGAGGCGGTCCGTGCAGAACAGTGGTTCGGCATGCCTGAGGTATCTGTCACAGCTGTAGCTCCAGTCTCTGAAAAGTTGCCGAATAAAGCCAAATATGCAGTATTCATAAGTCGGTCTGTTTGGATACCAACGGTACACAGTATCATTCTGGTGGTGTGTCAACAGTTCTCCGGCATCTATATTATGTTTAACTACTCTGTGAATACTTTGCTTAGTTGTGGTGTACAGTACGACGCTTTGATCGTGACAGCCGCTCTTTTCGGTGCTCGCATCGTAGGCAGCCTCGCGTATTCTTCATTGTACCTTGTCAAAAGAAGAACACTGATTACCGTATCTAGTCTGGGCATGTTTAGCAGCCTAGCGACCGTCGTGGGTTACTTGCACGCCTACCAAGACGTCTCAAATCCACCGTACGGATATGTGATGGTCGTTGCCTTTTTGATTTACGCTTTCGCTTCGATGTTGGCTATGACTCCGATACCCTGGTCCATTCAAAGCGAAATATTCCCCACTTCCGTTAAGGGTGAGTCATATCTTTAAGAAAGATTTGAAGAGTTCATCAAAACGATCCACGCTATAATTGTTTTAATATTTTGTCTTGAAGTCATATTTAATCTGTTATAATTGACTGTTTCAGGTATTATGAGCGGAGTGAATCATTCTTGCGCGTTCTTCTTAATGTTTGTGATTTTAAAAATATATCCGTCAATGGTGATACATCTCGGGATACAAACAGTGCTGTCACTATACGCTGGAGTATGCCTTATAACAGCCATGTACGGTGCATTTTTATTTCCAGAGACCCAAGGAAAATCTCTAGACGAAATTTTGGCACACTTCGATCCAAAACTTAAAAACAACGTTTCAAATATTGACTCGGGAAATACCTTGTAGTATTGACAAAACCGAAAATGATCGTATAACATGTAAAAAATATACACAGTTTTTATAGTTTCTTATTTTTTAATAAATATATGCAATTAGCAATAAAAATAAAATGTCAATATAAGATAAAAGACCTAATGGAAAATATTATATAAAATATAAAACGTGAAATGTATACAATTTTTCTACATTCTTCTTCTATTTAAAAACGTCATTGTAAAATTATTTTAGATTTAGTGCTTAAGACCAATATTTTTGTCTAAAACTTCTTAGGAGATTTTGTACTTTTTTGCATCAGACAAAAAATAAGAATAGACTCTGTCTTTTAATGTAACAAATACTCATACAGAAAAATTATTTTTGGATATGTTTTTAAATCACCAGCAAAAAGTAGCCATTTACTAAATACACAAACAAAAATGTAATCATTAATAATTATCAAAAGCAAAAAAGTGCGGAAATACTAAATGTAATCTTAAATTCAAAGAATGTAACATTATTAGGTTTGACTTTTTGTGTTATACATTTTTATTTATTTTCTTGATCTTGAATTCTTTTACAATATCAGTGTTGTAAATGTCCGGTGGATAACGCTCCGTTAATTTTAAACAAATAATATCCATTTCATTGTTTCATAAATCTTTAAGTCAATACCTTGATGTTTTTATCTTCTTATCATAATAACATGAGCTGTTTCATTCCAATGTAATAATTAGGTGTTTATTGAATTTATGGTTACGGCTCTCTTAACTTATCATAATTTGATTAGGTGTTAATATTGAAAAAGATTACAATTTAAGTTTTTTTTAGCTTAATGGCTTCAGTATAATTTTAGATATTTTAAAGGATGTCACAAGTGCCTTCAGTCATGCATAGTATTTTTTTGTGTTCAATTTTCATATTAGTCTAATGTGCATAATTATTCTTTAAACGATGAACAAACGAAAAACTCTTATATCAAAACATGTACACGCTTATCATTATTGTGTATTTAGATATTAAGTAACAGTCTGATGGATATTCATGAGTTGGTCGCCGGCTCCACAGCCATGTTTTCAAGTATTCTTTTGCCACAGCTTCAAAGTCCTTCGTCAGTGATAAAAATCGATAGCGAACAAGCTTCATGGATAGGTAATTTACTAAAACTTAATGAAATTATACTAAAATACAGTTTGAATAAATAAATTTCAGTTGCAAAATAATTCTTTACTTTGTTCATAATAGCTTACTTTTTATATTTCTTTTGAACCCCCGTGTGCCTTATTTATTTAACTTCTTCGTTCATATTTTTGTAGTAGAGGTAATATTAATAAATATCAAACATTATCGATATCGTTTAATGTATACAATGTTTTTCTGTTTAGCTAGCGTGGTAAACTTAATGTGTCCAATTGGAATGATTGTAACCGGCATAACAGCAGATAAAATTGGAAGAAGAAAAAGTTTGCAAATTACCTACAATCCGTTATTACTCAGCTGGGGTCTCCTCGCTGTTGCTCAAAGTGTCAATGTAGTTATGATTAGTAGAATAATTGGAGGGTACTCCATAGGTAAATCACAAATAATTTAACAATTTTGTCTTGGTAAAATATATTGATTTCCTCTTTAAATCTATAAATGTAAATATTATGAATCATAACCATATGAACATTGTTTTTGCAACAGAACTTAAACTTGACTTACAGGAACAGGAGTGTTCCACACTAATGTACGCTGCCAAAACTGTTCCGCCAGTTCACAGACCACTATTCCTGGGTATGAGCATAATGGCATCGGGGATCAGCATGCTAATAGCATCCTTGTTAAGCATCTTATACGACTGGCGGACGCTGGCTATAGGCTATTTTGTGTTGAGTGTAATCGGCTGTGTGTCGCTGTACCTTACACCCGATCCACCAGTTTGGCTGAGACCCGTAGGTCGTCACGAAGAGGCGGTCCGCGCAGAACGATGGTTCGGCATGCCTGAAGGGTCTGTCACAGCAGTAGCTCAGGTCTCCGAAAAGTTGTCGAATAAAGCCAAATGTGCGGTGTTCACAAGCCGGTCTGTTTGGATACCAACGGTACACAGTGTCTTTATGCTGATCTGCCAACAGTTCTCCGGCATCTACGTCGTGTTTAACTGCTCTGTGAATACGATACGCCAATTCCGTGGTCCGTTCAAAGCGAAATATTTCCCACTTCTGTTAAGGGTAAGCTTAATCAAACATCTAATACTTTTTAAAACGTTAAGACTCGGTTGAAATATTATATTTGATTTAAAATTGATCGTATTCTGTTTTGGCTGATTTCAGGTACGACGAGTGGAGTGAGTCATTCGTGTGCGTACTTGTTAATGTTTGTGACTTTAAAAATATATCCTGGCAATGGTGATACATTTCGGCATACAAACGGTGCTGTCAATTTTCGCTGGAGTATGCCTTATAACAGCCATGTATGGTGCCATTTGGTTTCCAGAGTCCCAAGGAAAATCCTTAGACGAAATTTTAACAAACTTTGATCCGAAACATAAAAACAATGTTATAAATATTGATCCGGAAAACCAATTGTAGTTCTGACATATTCTAGTTTATAACAAAGCACGTTATTCAACACGTTGTTTATACACAGTTCTTATATGAAAATAGGTTAAAGAAATTACAATGTTTGTAATAATGGGTCTAATGCCATTCATTTTTTTTTTATATCAAGTTTTTGGGCAGTATTTATTCCATTGTTTTATCATTTATACAAATATCAAATGTCATTGTAAAATCTTTTTTTAAATCTAAAATTTCAAAGGAAGCTTTGTGCTTCTTCGTTTTTTTGATTGGGAACATAAGTAAATTTAAATTATTAATCCAAGTTTTTTCATACTCTGTTTATATTTTTAAGAAAATGTAATTTGTGGAGCATTGATAATGAACGGGTTGGCGGCATTTAGTAAAAGTAATAATATATATATATCGGCATAACTTCTAATCTTTTTCGAGACACTAGTCAAAACATTAAAAATTAACAACTATGATTATTATTATTATTGATTACAATATTTAGACCTTGGTGTTGAACTTCTGCAATAGAAAAGATAATCTAATTGCTTGTTGCTTTTGAAGACAAGTGCGGCGGCCCGCAATTGTTTTATTCAATCATGTAGTTATTCATATCAGAGGTGTTACAACATTATTACTAAAGTTTTTAAATGACCTTCCTTTATTTTAAATACAGCTAAGACATCATGTTTTGAACTCAACTAGACAAGTCATCGACTCGAAGAGTGTCTAAAACGCTTTTAAGCATTACATTTAAATCATTGAAGACGTTAGTAACTTTCGCTATTGTTTTTTTCATTACATTCATTTTGATCGACTGGCAAGTTAAAGAGAATACCATTTTTTGATATATATTTTCTATTTTAAATTTATTTTATGATATCAATCGGATAACAAGACATTAATTAACATTCTCTGATGCTATCAGTTTCTACTTAAAGTGATTAATTTCATTTTTAAAACACCAATACTTCATTCGATAGACAATCAAAAATCGAATGAATGAATTAAGTTGTTTGTCTTATTTGGTAAAGTTGTAATTAAATATCTAATAACGGACTATCAAACAGAAATTGCATATTTTTGAGATATTTAATTATATTATTTTGGTAAAATTCAATATCGCGATTTTATTTACATTTTTACCATACATGATAATTATTGTTTATCGAATTTATGGTTACTTTTCACTTATCTTATCATAAATTTAATTGGTATTGTATAACAATAGTGCAATATGTAATAATTAAAGAGGTTTTATTGTCGAATCATTTCACTATAACTCTTAGAAGAATCTAAAGGATGTAATATCAGTCTACAGCCGTGCATAGTTTTGGCTGTTGTTCATATTAGTCAAATGTGCATAATTATCATTTAGAGATGAAAAACGAAAAATATCAATTTTACAAAAAACTTGTAAGAATAATTTTAACGTACAACATTTTATCGAAACACGCTTATCATTATTGTATATTTAGATATTAAGTAACGGTCTGATGGATATTCACGAGTTGGTCGCCGGATCTACAGGCATGTTTTCAAGTATTCTTTTGCCACAACTTCAAGATCCATCGTCAACGATAAAAATCGACAGCGAACAAGCTTCGTGGATCGGTAATATATAACTTTATAAAACTATACTAAAGTGTAGTTTGTATAAAATAATGTTCAGTTACAAAATAATTAAGAAATGTTGTTTAAAAAACTACTCTTTTTGTGCATACATTTATTTAAAACCTAATGAAATATAATAAGTTGTATGTTATAGTGACATTGAAAAAATCTATGTTTGATGAGTTTAATTATGATTTATAAGCACTTATTTCGATATCGGTTTTTTTATCGCAGAGAAACACTGTGTTTCCAAGTGTACTTTTAAAAGTAAATTTATGATCATGTATGTATGTATGTGTTAATTAACAAACAATAAATGTGCAAAAAATAGAAAAGCATTAATTATGTACTTCAATTTGGCAATATAGCTGATTTTAAAACAGTTCATTGAACCGTTATTGTAGTAGAGATAATAATTGTAAATATTATCAATATCATCAATATGGTTATAATTTGTATACAATGGTTTTCTTTTTAGCTAGCGTGCCAAATCTAATGTGCCCAATTGGAATGCTTATAACCGGCATAATTGCAGATAAAATAGGCAGAAGAAAAAGTCTACAAATGACTTACATACCGTTTTTATTAAGCTGGGGGCTTCTCGCTGTCGCTCAAAGTGTCAATGTAATTTTGATTACTAGAATAATTGCGGGGTATTCACTAGGTAAGTCAGAAATAATATAACAATTTTTACTAAAGGGTAAAACAGAGTGCTACAATTGCGCGATTTTTGGTAACTTCTTTTATTATATTACATACAAATATGTTCAAATGAATAACAAAAGCTAGTAAACGTATAGACAATACTCGAAATCGTGACTAGCATTAAGGGAGGGCAATTACATACATTGTTCAAAGAGGAGGGAAGAACAATATATTATATTATATTAGATTATATTCCTTTCCCAGTATTTTTCATGCCACAAACTTTCACATTATAAAAGGACTATAGAAATTTTCGCGAGAATGACAGAACCAATTTGCCAACTATAACCACTAACTTTTAATTTCTACAAAATTTACTTCTAACACTTTTACGACAAGTGGAATACGATCCACAAATGAACTTTCGCCGGTAGATGAAAAAAACAAAAAAATTGTTCACCATCAATAATTAAGATCCAAAACACCAATAAATATATGAAGGACGGTTGTGATATTAATAAAGGTTGTAAGTGTTGCGTTTTTAAGTGAAAATCGGCATTGACTGCTTTCTGAAAATAATGGGGAAAAAGAGGGGAGGAAAGTATAACTATTAAAATATAATTTTGATCGAGACAACCTGATTTACAGGAACGGGAGTACTGGCGTACATGTACGCTGCCGAAACTGTTCCGCCAGTTCACAGACCACTATTCCTGGGTATGAGCATAATGGCATCGGGGATCAGCATGCTAATAGCATCCTTGTTAAGCATCTTATACGACTGGCGGACGCTGGCTATAGGCTATTTTGTGTTGAGTGTAATCGGCTGTGTGTCGCTGTACCTTATACCCGATCCACCAGTTTGGCTGAGATCCGTAGGCCGTCACGAAGAGGCGGTCCGCGCAGAACGATGGTTCGGCATGCCTGAAGGGTCTGTCACAGCAGTAGCTCAGGTCTCCGAAAAGTTGTCGAATAAAGCCAAATGTGCGGTGTTCACAAGCCGGTCTGTTTGGATACCAACGGTACACAGTGTCTTTATGCTGATCTGCCAACAGTTCTCCGGCATCTACGTCGTGTTTAACTACTCTGTGAATACGATGCGTAGCTGCGGTGTACAGTACGATGCCATGGTCGTGACCGCCGCTCTTTTCGGTGCTCGCATCTTAGGCAACCTCGCGTACGCTTCGCTGTACCGCGTCAAAAGGAGAACGCTGTTCACCATCTCCGGCTTGGGCATGTTCAGCAGCCTAGCGACCGTCGTATGTTACTTGCACGTCTACCGAGACGTCTCAAACCCGCCGTACGGATTCGTCATAGTCGCTGCATTTCTGATGTACGTTTTCACTTCCCTGCTGGCTATAACGCCAATTCCGTGGTCCGTTCAAAGCGAAATATTTCCCACTTCTGTTAAGGGTAAGCTTAATCAAACATCTAATACTTTTTAAAACGTTAAGACTAGGTTGAAATATTATATTTGATTTAAAATTGACCGTATTCTGTTTTGGCTGATTTCAGGTACGATGAGCGGAGTGAGTCATTCTTGTGCGTACTTGTTAATGTTTGTGACTTTAAAAATATATCCGGCAATGGTGATACATCTCGGCATACAAACGGTGCTGTCAATATACGCTGGAGTGTGCCTCATAACAGCCCTGTACGGTGCCTTTTTGTTTCCAGAGACCCAAGGAAAATCTTTAGACGAAATTTTAGCACACTTTGACCCAAAACTTAAAAACAATGTTTCAAATATTGACCCCGAAAACACAATGTAATAGTACTGTCATAATCGCACAAATATAAATGAATAAATCCCGTTATTTTGGAAAGTAAACAAATTTTAATTTACTACACCGCGTTTTTTTTTTTTTAAATAAACGTTGAAAATAGATACCAAAAAATAGATACAAATCTTGAAAAACTTTTCCCTATATGTTTTAGTCTTCCTACTTTAGTATAATTTCAGACCTTTTTTCCCAGACTTAGTTTCCACTTTTTGTAAAAAAAAAATCATTATCAATATTTTCGTGGCTATTCACTTTATTTCGGTAGTACTAGTTATGGTATAATCACTGATTTGATCTTAAAAATATTCCACACAAATTCCCTAATTCGACATTTTTTTAAAAACATAATATATCTTAGTTTTAATTTCTAAATTCAACGGCTTTGGCCAAGCTGACGCTGCTTTAGAATCATTTTTAATTTTGACGTCTTAAATCTAATCTAAGTTTTTTTTAAAGTGGAGAAATTTAATAGTTTACATAGCCGTATAATTTCATGTATTCGACAATATTTGTTATGTTTTGTTGCAGCAATGGTTTTAGCTTTTAGCATTCACATTGTAGGAATAAATAAGTCAATTCATCTAAAAAAGTGCACCATTCCATTGATATACAGGATTGACACATTGACACAAACATAAAAATATTTGTAAAATTCTCAATGAACCTTTGGACACCAATATACAAATTGAGCAAAGATGGACCGAAAACCAAAATTTGGTGTTCAAAAATCATTAGTACAAGCAATATAAAATATCTGAGCGAAAAACAAGAGAACACTTGTGTAAAATGTCATTGACTACTCTTAAATGAGTTCTATGCAGGTATATAATATATGAGGTATTTATTATTTACATTATGTAGCTAGGACTGAATTTTAATTATTTTAGGTGTTGCCATAAAAGTTTCGCTGCATTGACATCACATTTTATGTGCTAAGTAATGGTTGATGAAATTCAATGCCCATCAATTGGTTTTATTGTTAAATAACACATTATTTTGCCAACCAGTACGACTACAGCACTAATCGCATACAATTTCTTATCTTATAGTGTTATAGATAATCAATCCAGAAGAATTGATTTCCATATTTCTCAACTAGTCAACGCAATTAATATTTCGAAATTGTGTAATAATTTTATACTCGTTTTTTAATCATTATAAACAGTTAAAAACATGTATACATTGAAATAAAACTAGGTACATACATCTTTAAAAATAAATCAATTAGTGATAGGTAAAACATAGTCTCAGGTTGGTAGCGTATTTAAAGATACACTTATCCAAAAAAACAAAATAATCAATTGCATTTAAATGACAAATCATTTTACTACTCAACTATGAGTTATTCTTTTACACCGACCACTCAAGACTTAATTTTTAAAAACATGTCCTCTATTAATGCGTGACAAAATAATCTGATCACAATTTATGTTAAAAATTGTTTTAATAGTTTTAACCGCATTTTATTTATTTTTTTCTATCATCAGATTCGCATCGAAACCGGTTTCATGGAAGTGCTTAGTGAAATTATTGTTATCATTATTCGTGAGAATTTTAAAAATTGTATTTGCCCAAATATAACGGCACGGGTATACTGGAAATTTAAATCTAAAAATGGCCTATTCAATCTACATACAATTAAATAGGGACAATAATTTATGTACCATTATGATTTTATTAAAAAAATAACTTATTACTCACTGGTCATAGCCTGTTGCATTTTATCCTTGGAGTTTACCGCGTGATCCCAAGTTACCGTTGTCAAGTCCATTTCTATAATAATAATAATAATAAAATAAAATAAAAAACGGACAACAGTATTTGTAAAAAAAGAAACCGGTTTAGCACGGTGTCTTTGCCGGCGGGCAAGTACAAACGAGGAAATAATATTATTATAATAACAATATGATATACGCACTGTTGTTGCTTGCCGAATCCATGTTGATGTTGAACGATTCAAGCAGTCCGCCGAGTATCAAATCTAAGTACACAATAAAATTCATTTGTAAACGGTAAAGTGTTATCGGCTAATCTAATGGAATAATATAATTTTATTATTGTATTGATAATATCATTTGAACGAGTCCAACTACAATGTGGTCGTTGCACAATCGGTTGTTATAGCGCGGCCGAAAGCCACTAACAGCTTAACCAGGGACGGACATTGAACGACATACATCTATACATAGGTAGACCATCGATAGTTGTTTCCCCAATGTGCGTCTGGTAACTATCGATAATAACCGCTAACCTAGCATATGGTTACTGTTAATGGTTGCAAAAACGGTCATAATACAGAATAAGAACACCCCAAAACCATACAACATAAAATGCAATAATATTTATTTCAAAAATAATTACTACTAAAAATACCAAACACCGAAAAATCGTATCGATAACGGTACCTAAAAACTTCTGTAAACTAGCTTAGAGCAAACGGCATAACATTATATTATAACAGAAACCGTTTGGTTACCTATACTTTCAGCTTTCCGGTTATGATGTGGCGAATTTTGACTAAAAGCCATGAAAGTCATCTGAAAAACTTAAACTTAAACCGAATATTTTTTTGTAGGAGTTAATGTTATAGGTAACTTATCGAGATATAAAATTTTGGTTAAAATACGAATAAAAAAAAAACTAGGTATTTAAAGGTACTTACAAAATGAATGCCAAATAAAAATGTAATCTAGTATATTTTTTGATTAGGTGAGTTGAGATTTTTATAATTTAGTTGTTTTAATGTTGGTTTGTTTTTTTTAAATTAAAATTCATAGATTTGTTTTTATAATATTTGTATTGCCTATACTTACACTATTTTTAATTATTCATCTATTAAAAATGTACGTTTTTTTAATGTCTTTCATCATGACCAAGGAGTACCGTCTCATGACAGTGGTTGATATTCTTTATACTGTTTTAATGGTCTTTATAAATGTTTAATGGTTTGAGCATTTAAAAAAAAAAATTGTTGTCAAGAAGTATAATTCATTTGTTACAATATCATGTTATATTTTTATTTTTAAGTACTCAAGCTTGTGATTCATGAGAAAAAAATACATTGGTTCCGAGTTGGTGTTTTCGATATTATAATGATGCATTTGTTTTTTAAATTACTTTTTCAGGTTAAGTTATGTTCTGTTTATCATTTGTTTTATAACACATTCGATTTATTAAGTATACTTTTAGGTGTTAAGACGACCACATGTTACATGGAAAACGGGTCGATATTTTATTATTTAATTTAAAGACCGGTGGCACACGATTTTTGCATTGAAAGGGGCAACGGCCTTTGTGTGCTATTGAACTCTGTTGTTATTGTCAAGGCTACTAAATAATATAGCCAACAAACAGGGACTCGATATTTTTTTGTAAGAGCGATTGAAACGCAGATATGAATGGTTTTCAAAACGAGGAAACACACCATAAGGCCATTTTATCCGTAACAGGTTTGCTATGTCGTAATATATTATATATAATGTAATTATCAATTCTGTTTAGGGTATTATTGTAATGGAATGCTATGTCGATCGAATGAGTATAGGTATAATTTATGCTCATACCACGTGTATTATAGACCAGTTTTGACACAAGATTGTACAATTTTTACTTTGGAAACGAGTTGCTGCTTATAATGTGCGAATTGTGTCCAGGAATAAGTGTTAAGTACAAAAAAAAAAACAACTATTAAAACCATGTATTTGTTTTTGTTCTACGTTTTCTGTAACAGATGTGATAGACGTGATCACAAAAATACTATATATTGTATTTATTGCAGGTGCTCAATGTTTTCACAATGACGTCTCTAAGCAACCGTTATGCAGGTGTAAATTATTCATTATTTATTGCATTAGATTAATTTTTAAAGCTTTGATTATATGATAATTATATTTATTATAGTTTTTGCATAAAGATATGTATCTATGACAAATATTGTTTTACAAATTATGCAAGACCAATGACCGCGGGGTATGAAATACCTAATCAACGCCAAATACAACGAGATCCTCATAAAATGTCCTTGATTCATTATAAAGACAATGGCTAAGACATATTGTATGAGTTAAAACTCACATCGTTCTAATTAAGAATAATATTTGCCAAACAAATGATATCTATCTATTTGTTCTGAAGAGAATAACTGAGACAAAAAAAAAAAGTGTTTTTAACTTTATATTTTTAAATGTGTAAAATAAAATTCAAATTCTGGAACAGTATTGTAATTTTAGAAACATTTTTTTAAAATTGATGAGGAAAATAAGAATTTTGCCACAACTTTATCCGGACCATTGTTTTAAATAATAGATACTTTATATATTTGTATTTTCTTCTGTCGAAATACAATTGCTGTGGCTCAATTATGTCACAAGTAACAGCATGTTTGGAAAGTTATTAAAGAAACGGATTAATCGAAGTACGTTTTCTTTGTTTGTTATGAACTCTGACCGTGGCATCAACCTAGCTGAACTTTAATCGAAACCATTTAACGATTAACAGGCACAAAACAAAACTGGTACAATAAAATCCTTTATTGTTGACACAAACAAAATATATAATATGCAATTTACTGCATAATATATATTATAATATAGGTACTTAAATACAGAAGAGGTGCAAAAGCGCTGGTATCGTGAATAAACTGCCATTTTTACTCTAACCCATTGTCTTTTATAATTTATCAGCTATTAAACGATATGACAACTTATTCAAAATAACAGCTATTTCAGTATTGCACATATCTAATATGTGATGCGTTCAACGAAACGACAAAAACAATTTTAATCAACAAAATAAATAGTAATTGAAAACGATTCAAAGAATAACAAACGCCAATATAGTATAATAATTATTTACTCTCCACCCCAATTTTTTACCAATTACCTAACCCTCTTCGTTCTGGTGAACAAATCTGTTTTCAGAATGAATATTCTTTATGCAGACATTGTTGCCTCTGTCAAAGAGCCTAACTGTCAAACACCTGACCACCGGTTTATTTGCCTTGTAGGCTGACGACAACCTTAGATACCTATTGCAATATCCTTCATACTATCAAATGATCACAGGAAACTGGAGAGTAGGTATTGCTTTACACACATTAAAGTCGAACCACGTAAGTTCTAACCACCGTCGTGCGTTTTTTGTTAAAAAATAAATTAACGAGAAAATATTGTGTACAGCTATGTACGTTTATAACATGTACCCGTCGCTCGACTTAATTACAAGCCCATTGTGGTTGTAATGATGTACAACTAAATACTGTAATATATTGTTACTGACACAACCTATTCATTTTTGCTTCGGTTCACATATTCAAAACATCTAACGACAAAAAAAAAACACTCGAAAGGAATAATCCTCATTCCCAGCAAACAAACGTTTTTGTTATATATCATCACGGGCATTTATTTGAAAACTTAAATTATTGTTTTGTTTTAGTAAATACTGAAAAGTATAAAGTATACCTGAACAACACCAGTAGAATAACATTACTCGTACGACGAAATGTATATCCGACTAAAATGCATTACATATTGTGTACACGTGTTACAATATATGCCAAATACAGGGTGATCCATTTAACGTGAGACACTCAAAATGAGTTAGGTAAAGTATAGTAAGTTTAAAATTGAAGACGGCAGGAAAGGTAGAGTGTACAATTATTTTTATTGGTGCACTTTATTCAACGACACTTCTTCACCTTCTATCCTTAAGTTTAAACTTTGTTAACTTAAAAAGTAGTTATTCAAAACCGGTTATCGACCAGTCGAAGATTTCAGACAATTATTTTATAAGAAATTTAGTTTCTCTCGTTAAACGGATCATCCTGTGTAAAATCAGTGATATTTAGTATTTGACGCTAAACTTAGAGCTATACGTTTTGACTAATAACAACTCTATTAACTTTTGAAACTTAAATTTTCTATAAACATACAATTTTACAACTAATATGTCTGTACAATGTTATTCCATTTTCATGCTACAGTATTTTTATCAACGAAAAAGTTGTTTAAAAAAAAAATATCCTAATAAAATCAATATGAAACTATTAAATTACTTTTGATTGTTCCAAGTTAAAGAATATTTTTTAAATTTATTCTTTTTAGTTGGTAAAAATGTATAAACCGGTATAACGTACCTACACATTTTTTGCCTATTAAAATCAGAATGAAATATAATAAAAATAATGACCTAACGAAAATAGTTTTTAATTGAACACATTCTAAGTTAGTTGTGTTTTAAAATATATGGTAAGGGGAAGGTATAAACGTTAATGTAATTAATACCAGCAAACACAACTCACCCCCACTTGACCTAACCATTAAAACCTAAAAACTGGAAAAATATTATACAAAACCGGTTATGGGTTAGTCATTATTTTTAATACACATTAAATGCTCATGTTGCTAATTGATTGTTAAAAGTTACCCTCTAAAACTACCCCTTGAACAAATATTTTTTTACTTAAATATAAAATATAATTACGATTTTATTAATTGATCCTTTATTAGCTAAAACAGTTATTTCATAGAAAAAAATACTGAAATTTGAACAACCCTGTATATTGTAATTGGAGATTGTTTTAACAATTAGGACAAGCTTCTGGTCTTAATGGAAAACCACTAATCTATTACATAATATGTTAGAGTATCTTTTACATAGATAGCTAGAAATTGGAATAGCTTGAACTCGATTGTTTACCAGTAAACAGTGTTTCAATAGATGATTTCTGAGTAAATAGTGCGTTTAATCTTTTTTTTTTTTTTTTTAAGTTTATTTAACTTATACATAATAGCCTTCATAATATTTTGGGTGAATACTGAGCGTTAAAGGGCTTTTTTAATTCACTTAGGTGTGTACCGTGGTTAAATAATACAAGATGAATAATTACAATATTCTCAAATTCCCCAGCCAGACTTTACACGATCAATTTTTTTAAAAAGTCTACTTCAACTATCTTCTAGTTTTTACAATTCCTGAAGCGCTTCCTCCCCCCCCCCCATGTCTCTCTAGTTATGCTCAGGGCTTATGATAATAATAATAAAGTTTTTAGATTGAACAAACTCAATATCACATACCGACAATCCAAAATGGTCAATTTTCGTTGGAAATTGGTCGTACAAGTACACTTTGAACATTTTCATTTTGTAAATAAAACGAATGACGACTACCGCGTGTAGAACACAAGAGTAAAATATGTTTTGTTCCTTTACAGTTGCTATTGATGTTTATTTATCGTAGTCGATTCTACAAATAAAGTATACGTTAGTGTACAAGTAGTACATTTGTATAGCTGTTAGAGTAAAAACTAGAACGATAAGATTATTTAGAATAGTTCTACAGTAATTCATGCTAAAATTTTTTATGAAGTAATTCAAATGTGCTAAAAAACTTGGGACACTTTCAGATGTTAAAAAAATAAAAACAGTAAACATATTTTAATGTTGTTTTTTTTTTTAATAACAAAACTATACAATCTGTTTTATGGACAATAACGCACAGCTTTTAAATAATAAATGACTATTTTTAACATTTAACCAACACTTTTGCTTTGAAAACTAGGACAGATGGAAAATTGTAAACTTATATAAATGTTTGATTGAAACTAAAACCTACCTATTATTACAAATTTTGTAATAGCCAATTTAGATTTATACCGTAATGCATGCTACATATGTGAGTCTGTACATTATAATTAACATCAAAAATATAACGCATGTTAATTTACTTAAAGCATATTATTATACAGGTCAAATTGGTGATTTGCAAGTAGGTACCTATTAAATTGTGTATAATTATTACAAAATGTATGTTACCAGTTATAACACGGCCTTGTTCGAATTCGATTACAATCCATCATCATTGAATAAAATGATTTAATAAAAAAAAAATTTAGATAGGTTACAAAACAATTTTAAAACTTATTTAATTTAATAATTATTATTCAATCTCATCAAATGGTGGGCAACATTCTCACTTTCAACTCGTCTTCTTCCTGTGTTAACTTTATGTCCTTTTTTTATTTCTACACTTGGGTACTTAACCGTGAATATCCGATAAATGATAATGGTTACCTGTATCCTAAATCCCAATTCTAATCTATACCTCTCTCTCTCTCGTGGTTATTTCTGTATACACCTACCTACCTACATACCTATCGGCTAGTTAATCCTCGACACTATTGTTGTAAAGGAAACAGCATTATAATATTTTGAGAATTTCTCTCCCCCGCAGCGACGAAATAAGTTTTCTTAAAATCAAAATGCCGTTCATTGTGATTTATAAATTTCACATCGCACACGTACATATTAGTCATTAATTGGTTTTTTACCGATTTTGTTTTCCGCATTCACAACAACACAATGATTCGAAAGTGAAATGTAACAATAAAATTTATCTGCATTCCGCATGTGTTTAATTATTGCCCACTATCAGTCATTAACCAATTGTATAGCGTTCTCCGAATGAAAGTTCACTTCACAATATCACAGATGCCTATTATAGCTGTGTGGTGTTAAACTCAGTGGGTTACAAATAGGTATTATTTAAAAATGAATGTAAACATAAGGTGTTACTCAATGCGTATTATTGTTTTATCGTTGACCTAGCTAATATTTCGGACGATTGCTATGAAAATAATATACTACTTACACTTTTTTGACAATTGGTAAACATATGAAAATTGGCAAAAGTGAGAGTAACCTAACGCCGTGGCCTATGATGGTTTTAGCTCCCAGAATAATTATAACTTTATTTTTTAAGTATGTTAAAAGTAACCAACAAAATACTTTGCGAGTTCTTTCAGGCGCTTTGTGAATGTCCCGAGCACGTTAAATATTAGCATAGTTGAACATGTGTGTTTTGTTTACGGTAACTTGTTGAAAACAAACCGACATTTTTGCAATTGTATCGAGGCGTGAACAGTGTACTAGTTTTAAGTCGGTTAGCTCCAACGTCTTCTTTAATTACAACGTAGGTTCCTAGCAAAAATATGCAGTATCTTATTTAATGGGAAAAAAGTTGAATAAAAGTCACAATGATATGAATAGCTAACAAACACAGTTATAAGTCGCCCTGGGTTTGATTATTGAAATTGATAAGTTGCAATTGAAAGCGTTTTGGTATATATTTCAAGATCTACTAGTTAATTTAGCAGTCAAAGAATTTAGCCCCTAGATATAAACTGAGTAAAGTTGATAGATTTATTATATGGTACTCGTGTATTGGCATAACCGGCAAAAATAAATACCCGGTAACCTTGGTAACCGCTAACGTGTAGTATTATTTAACTAAATAAGGTAGTAGTCAACCACATTAATAATTAACAACAACAAACAATTAAACAAAAGAAGCAAAAATTGAAATTGATGGAGCTTTTCTAACCTAACCTCTCGGGTAGAATTCAGCTAGACTCAACCCCCCCCCCCCAAAAAAAAATTTACCACTGTATTTAGGCTACTACTTCCTATAACTGTTACAAATTTTAATTGCGTGGGTCAATAGTTATTTTTAGAAAAAACTTTATTAGTTCTTCAAACTTAACTAACGAAATCGTTTAATTACTTAAAGTCCTAATTGTTAGTTTTAATTTACTCACCACTCAAGAATGATGATTAATTAGTTATTATTTTTGTTGCAATAAGATTATTATTTACCAACACCAATATTCTAGCAATTCAAAAATATGTTGTCTTCTTTACTTAAGGGGTTAGGGGTAGTCAGCGGGGTGAAAAAATTAGTATTTCAAATAATTTTTTTTTTTTTTTGACAGTAGTTTAATTTATTTTATAAAACAAATAATACCAAGTTTTTTTATTATGTTTTAACTTTATTTGACAAGAATTAAAAAAAAAAAATTATTGTAGACCAACATACAATTTTACTGGTACATCTAAAATCAATCACACCTAAAAAAAAATCATTAGTTTAATAGTTAATCTAGTGCCTGATCGAAGTTTTTTTTTTATTAACAAAATGGCGACCTCTGATCATTTACTCAAGGATTTTCAAGTAAAAAAGCACTAGTTTATTGTCTATAAAAATATAATTTTTAATTTAAAAAAAAAAATCCTTCAATCAGGCACTAGTTTTTTTTATAAATTTCATATAAATCTGTCAAGTGATTTTTGAATTACTGTGGTTACCGAATTTGAAAATTTAGTTTCGAGAAAAATTCATTTAAAAAGTTTTATACTCGATTTGTGTACAGAAATATTAATTATTTAATTACTTACATCGAGTCATCTATTCCTTGGATTCACTTGAAATTTTCAGATATTTTCGAGACATAATACTTCAAGAAAATGCAACAAAAAAAAAATCTATTTTTTTTAAAATCCTGACTACCCACTAACCCTTTAAGACGAAGGTAACTACTAAAATTACCGTTTATTATACAAAGTAGGTGTAAGTATTGTACGTAAATTCCCATCTTCTATAGTAAGTAATCGGGTGGATTAACGTTGGATTTGAACGTGAAATGACATAATATAAATTTCCCACTTTTCCCAACTCTCATCATCGGTGGATGTTAGCAATCACTCACCGTGACTTCTGCGGCAGTCCGGTCCAGTCGTCTGCCCGGCTGAGTCTGTATTAGCACCATTGATACACCGGAATCGCATGCTGTGTTCGGTATAACGTGTATGTGATGGATTTTACATGTCTGCTGTCGTTTATCAGCATAGTCTGGGCAATATCCACAGTGGATGCTGGCAACTCCAGAGTCCTTGGCACGGTGAGTACGTCGAAATACTTTTGTTTTCTAAGATTAATTGGAAAAAAAATACAAATTAAATCGGTTAAAAAAAGATGCCAAGCCAGCTGATTGGGTAAATTGTAATTGTCGACGGTTCTTGTATTTGCATAACACGTGCGTAGTCACAAAGTTAAGATAAGAAGTAATTAAATATAAATATTTACATAACCGGTTTGGCATTTAATTGTAATAACATTACAAAAAAATACATAAAACTGGATCATCAAATCCAGAACAAAGACATAGTACTAATATAACTGAACATATTTTTGTCGTTGGTTAATTTTGAAAAAATAACAACCACGAGGAAAATAAAATAATAATTATAATTATAAAACACTTAGCAAAAAATTATCTAAATTTTTATATATTTCCTCATTAAATTAAATTTTAAGTTTATAAAATGAATACGTCTTGTTTAAAAACTTGTTTAATATAAACATTTTTCTTAAATTTTAGTGTTTTTTTAAAGGTGTGTAGTAGTTTTGGGTTAGTTTTTAGTTTCCCAAAAGTGTGTTTAAAATACTAAAAAATAATGAATTCATGAGAATTTTTTAATATTATGTCATTCTTATTAATTGCAAAACTTGAGGATACTCCCAAATTTAACAGTCTGCCAACGTTTCAGAAGACTTGCCATAGACCGTGGGAACTAGTGATGGGAATTATTCTAAAATTCGGATTTTCCCAAAAACGCAATTTTAGCCGTTATACCTATATAATAATTAATACTAAATATTTAACATAATATAAATCCTAATGCTGTGTATCTGAGTGAAATGATTTTGATCAACATATTAAAAAAAAAACACAAAAACCATTCATACAGAGCTTGTAGTAATGTACAATTAAATAAATTAAAAATATAAAAGTGTTAACATAATTAAACTAATGAAAAAAACCCTCGTGGAGTTATACTTAAAATTAGCATTGAAGTGTTCAAAACATTTATGTAAACATAATAATTGATCATTTACTTACTTGCGTCGTTCAGTCAGATCAATAACTGATATTGTCGAAAAAATCCAATAATAAGCTAATTATCTTGTACTCAAAAATATTAGTATAACAGTCAGGGTTTTTTTGTATGATTTTTTTTATAACCGTACCTTGAGTACCTTATGTATTTTCTTAGCTCTGTGCTGCATGTACTTTAATACAACTCATTAGAAACCTCTTCGGACCATGTCTTAGGAGTGTTTTTTCTCGATGCTAATTTAGAAAATAATCAGCCGGTTTCACCAACATTTGTTAAGAATTTACCTAATTGTTAATTATATTTAACAAATAGTTAGTGAATATTGGGTTTCATCGAGATTTGTTAGCCTTAAAACATTGTTAAAACGATTGTTAAATTAATCATCCGAAGTCGGCTTTTAAAAAAAGCTAATCGGCATGTTAAAATGTATTGTAGTACTTATATATAATACTTATATTATTATAGTTCAGAAATTGTTTTATAATTTTTGTTGACTGAATATACTAGCAATATATAATAATGAATTACACATTTGATGAGGAACTTTTTTATATTGAGTATTTAGAGAACAATAGAAAATACAGCTTCGATTTCAATTAGGTAAAATGAATGAAACAGGCTTGCATTATAGGTTCAAATATCATAATTTATTGTATTTTGTAATTTAGATATTATTATTATGTCTTGCCTGTCTTGAGTATAACAATGGTAATAATTCTTATCACTACCTACTTTTTTTTTAGGCCTTCAAAGCCGAAAAAATGATTTTAATGACCTTGATGACAAACTATTTTTAGAAAAGTATAGACTATCTAAACAATGTGTTAAAAAAATGATTTAAATAAAGTATAAACGGAAATGTTAAAAGAAAGTAAAACAAAATGTCAAATAATAACAAACTGGCAAATAAATAATACAATCACTTATCAGTTATCACACATCTTAAAAACCAATGAGAACATTGGAATCGAGGTAACCGCTTTGGTAACCCAACTAACGTTTTGTTGAAACCGGCTGAATATGTTTTTACTTCAACGGTTAAACAAGTTTTTTAACGGTCTAACAAATTGTTTTCGAATATTATTGGTTCCGTCTAAACCCAAGGACGTTGTTTAATGTCGAATAACGGTTTTGTTGTCCAGGAGGAACTCATCGAAAACCATGGTCACCGACATCATAGCAGACACTCGGTCCCTACCGAAGATGGTTACTTGGTAAACATGTTTCGCATCAAAGGTCGCGGCGGCCCTCCATTTTTGCTGTTGCACGCGCTTATGGGAGCGTCCGACCAATGGTTTCTCAGAGACAGACAACACGACTTACGTAGGTAGCATATTAATGTAATATAACATAATATATTTTACAAAAATTTAAAAAAAAAGTGGGCACGACCTCCGCTGCAATGAAATACATAAATAACATGGATATTTCTAATTATACAAGTATAAACAAGTAGGACCCTTGTAGTTTTTGGTACTTTCTAATTTCTTATCTCTTACCTAACCTCCAGCATCTAGCTGGACCATCTCAGCATCCAGCTATACCACCTCAGCATCCCTCTGGTTCATCTATTAATTCTAATTTCTTATCACTAACCTCCCCCTCCTTACCTCCAGCATCAAGATGGACTATCTCTTATCTCTATCCCGTTATTAGCCCAATAACATATCCATGTTAACCTGTACGATTTGTTTATGAAAACTTGTTTTGATACCGAAAAAAAGCGTCGGTATTGGCCAACAGTGGTTATGACGTCTGGCTGGGAGACTTCAGAGGAAACATATATTCTCGAGATCACATCAAGCTCAACGCATCCGAACCGGAATACTGGAAATTCAGGTAATTAAACGTATTACTGTGTATCTAATTGTTATGACTTAAATAGAAAAAATTAAAATAAATTCGATAAAATAAAATGTGGGTGTCTTTCGGCTCAAAAAAACAAAGGTCTGAAAAAATGTTTGGTTATCTTGCACGACTATCAAATGTATAAAAAATTAATGGATCTTAAAAACTCATAATTACCCTTTCTACGATTAACCCGTTTGGTTTGGCGTCTTTTTCTTTGTTTTTTGTGTGTAAATAAACATTTTTCTAACTTTAAATTAAATTACTATAGTTTAGTCATAGTTATATTGTTATTCATTTTAACAATACTGTACAGAATATACATTGTCAATTTTGGGCTTGTCTCCTAAATATAAATAAATTTCTTATCACACTATCGAATTGGATAATGTTGTCAATGTTGATATTTATTATCCTTGGTTATATTTTAATCATTTATTCTCATTTGAAGGGTACAGGTAATAAACCAGGAAATTCCCCTTTTCAATCTAAGAAAAACATGTTTCAAAAACGATAAGAATGTTAAAAAATATAGTACTTAAAAACTTTTAAACATATGTTCGATCTTTAATTTTAATCATGTTTAAAAATAAATAATAGATTCGTTTCGTCCCAAAACGAATTTTGTAACAACAAAATGGCGGTTTTTTAAAAGTGACTTGCCTGTTTTTCCCCTGCACCCTTCATTTGTTTTTTAATAAAAACCACTTGAAAAATAATTCAAATATTCAAATTATTATATTATGTTTTACTCCTCGCCTTGATTGTATAATAATATAATAAAAAACAATTGCCATAATTATTGTTGAATTTGTTTAACAACGTATTTTAAAGTAAACGAATTTCTAAGAAAAAAATGGAAAATTAATAAAATTGATTAAGAGTTCAAATAAGCCAATAATAGAATTGTAATTTGTAGGTAGTGAAGCGTCTTTGTGCAGCTCAAATTTTTCTTTGTCATCACAATTAATGTAAATTGTAACTTGTACTTTTTAAAAAACGATTTAACCATCAAAGATTGTTTTAATTGAGGTAGGTACTTTGTTGTAATCGATTATGTACAAGGCGTGGCGATTACAGAAGAATAACACAATTTTCATAATGAAAGTTGTAGTAATCTTTTGTAACCAGCATGTATTTTAATCATAAAGCATTCAATCGCGCCTGATCGAACACTGACAATATACTATTATAATATAACTTTACAAATAATTGTAGATTTAGCATTGCCCTAGAACCGTTTCGCAGCAATTCGTTAATCGTTAAGATAGTATGTAGGTTAGATTAGGTTAGGTTGGGGTAGGTTAGGTTAGGTTAAGTTGGGTTAGGTTTGGTTGGGTTTGGTTAGGTTAGGTTAGGTTAGGTTTGGTTGGGTTTGGTTAGGTTAGGTTTCTCTTCGACTGTTGTTTGAGGACCTTTGGCCAGTTTCCCCCCGTCCGTCTACGGGTGCACATGCACATAAAAAAAAAAAAGGTTAGGTTAATATATTAAAACATGGTTGCACAAATTGTAGACTTAGCATTGCCATAGAACCGCTTCGCAGCAAGTCGTTAATCGTTAAGATAGTATGTAGATATGGTATAATATTATAATATTAACCGTGTTGTAACAGCATTGACGAGTGGATTTACTACGATGTGCCGGCAATGATCGACTACGTTTGCCAGGAATCCGGATACGACCAAATATACTTGGTCACCTATTCGCTGAGCAGCGCCGTTTTCTTTTCCACGGTGGCCATTAGACCGGAATACAACGAAAAGATCATCGTCAGCTATCATCTTGCCCCGTTTGTGGCGTTTTCCAACATCAAGTCGGTGCTCCTGCGTCTCGGCCTTCAGTTCAGTCAACAGTACTTGGTCAGTTTTCCAATTACATAATATTTTATTATTGCTCATTCCTTAGTCCATATCAATAATTGTAACAATGTAGGTATTATATATGTAGCTATCAGCTGCTGTCCTGGTCGTCATACGATATCACAAAAAGGACGATCCGTATTTGTATCCACTTATGATGAAATGCCTAGCAAATAATTATTTATCAACCTTTTGCAATAATATCGCAGAAAATGTGTAGGTAGAACAATGATATTATTGTTTAACTCGCACAAATGAAATCAAATGGTCAATATTGTAATACTCTGCAAAAAGTATCGATCGATACCATGTGATTAAATCCTTGACAAATCTAAATCAGACTTAACCGATAGATTGTCCAAATTATTGATCTATATTCTAAGTTTTAATGTAGTCAATAAAAATTAGGCAGGTTAGGTTAGGTTAGGTTAGGTCGGTGTGGTCGTAGAACCTTAGAAACTATTATAGCCTAGGGGATTTCATCACTCTCAAACAAAACGCTTCAATGCGAATCTATGTATAGTTGGAATGTGCTTAAATTTTTATTTTTAGCAGTATTCAGATACCCGTTGATTCATTCATACATAGCAACCTGGAAAAGTTTGACCACAGATTTTTCACACAATTATACGTCATGTTATAGCCCCACTATAGATATAATATCTTTAGTTTAATTTTTATACCCAAGTCCCAAAATTCGCAAGTGCATTATATCATTCAGGGATGTAACAAGATTTTGACCTTTTATCAATAGCCACTTCGACCGAATGGATTGACTAGGAATCCTCAGACACCTCACCACTAATATTGCCAACACCACATTTTATGAGGCGTTTTTCTTATTCTTAAGAAATTGACAATGTTTCCCTCTTTGATTTAGTACCGCCACCTTTACCCTCGACAGAAAAGCATTGGATCATAAATAATATGTCTTTTGGTATCTTTAAGGACGAAATCACAATTGCCTCATCTACTTGTCAACATGATATGCATTAGAAATAATCATTTGTGGGTATGAACTATGGGTAATTAGCAGTGCATAGAGATTGTCACAAATGGGTAGGCTTCATTTCTACAAATCTCTAGTAGGTACCTGGATCTTAATGGTTTTTTTTTTTTTTGTCGAAGTCTGGTGACATTTGGAGTAGAAAATTTCCAAGAGTCTTTCCCTCTGGTTTGAAACATTTCATTTTCCATGGTATTGTGTTTCAGACAGTAGCCAAGAGTCTTAAAGTCTATGAACTGTTCCCACGCAACGAGAGGGCGATGGACTTGTTGTCGTTACTCTGCGGCAAAAATTCCACATTCTTGCGGTCGTGCATTTCAATCGTGTCCGACTTTTTCGGATTCGATACTTCCGGCAACGCGACGGTAAGTTTGTCAAGTTTATTTCAAGTTCCATCGAACAGCGTTTAAACGACCACCATTTCACTTACAGGCGGACCTCGACTTCAAATTGAGCTATTCGAGAGCAGGAGTTTCGCTGAACAGTATAGAGCACTTGGTGCAAATATTGAGATCCGGTAAGCGTTACATTTTTTTTGTAACTATAAAACATATAAATTAACGTCTTGTATACAGTCTATAAGACATACTGGACAATGGTAAAATATATATATATATTGAAACGTTTATGGTTTTTTTTTTTTTTTTTTTACAGGCAAAATGCAACACTACGATTTGGGAATCTTCCAGAATCTAAAAACATACGGTCAATACAGGCCACCAGAGTATGATCTGAGAAAAGTCACCTCGCCGGTTGTTTTATATTACAGCAAAAACGACAGAATTGTCGACAAACAAGTGAGAGAGACCCTTGCAAATTAACAGTACAGCAATTAGTTTGTTAAAAACAATTAAATATATAGGGTATAAATATATTAGGGTACTGTATACATTTCAAACAGGTACGATTTTTTTTTGGTAGTAAAAGTTAAATTCAAGGAAGTACAACCAAACAAAAAAAAAAAAGCCTTTACAACCTAGTTAGTTAGTTGCCTATACAACCAAACCAAACCTGATTTGTGGGTTAAATTTAATTTGTATAGTATTACCCAAGTGTTGTGTTATGGTAATCTCGTGTCTACTCGAGAACATTATCTTGTAAAATACGCGCACTTTTGAAGTATTTTCTTTAAAGTTTAACTAACAAAATTGTTTTTGACATTTTTTGTGTCTTTGCTTTGGCACATAAACCAGAAAAATCGAACCGGTTGGCGGTTATCGTCACCTAGAAAATCAGCTGATTTATCTGATTTTGGTTTTTACTTTGGAACACAACCGAAAAATCGACGCCGGCATCGAAAATTTATCCTTATATATGTCCTTCTTACGAGGGTGGGAATGGGGATGTTACATTTATGTGATAGAATATAGGAGATAGAGGCACAGGAGATAGGGAGTAAGAGATAGGAGAGCTCACTAAATCGTGTACTTAAGTATAATTTTTTTTTTTTTTTTGCAGACTATTGACAAACTATCCACGATTCTGCCAAACGTACAACAAACGATAAATGTAAATCACGATACATTTGGACACATAGACTACGCGTTCAATATGAAAGCCAAGTCCCTCGTTTTCGATTCCATTATCGACATAGCTCAAAAGTTCCGGAGCAGTCGCCATTTCAAAAAAGCGTATCTAGTTAATTAATAATCAAGTACGCCGCAAATTTCAAATTGTTACGGGTTAAGCGATGGACGACCTGCCTACATGCCAAAGCGAATTTATACATTTTACCTATATACTTGTAAGTTTTACACTTTACACCTCGTGCTTTTAAGAGCTGGAAGTATTTTTATTTATTAAAACATGTAAATTTATTAATATAATAGTCAATGTGTTTTATTTGTTTTTTCTTAATGTCATGTAGGTATTTGTTTTATTTATTATGCCTTAATTTTATTTGAGTTTTCATAAAAGAACAACTACTTTGACAATAAATAATAAAAACAATTACAAATTGTTATTTACAATATTTTGAACAAACATAAAACACATAATTTTGATTCAAAACAAAATTAAGTATACTTAATAAACAAATTTGAATAATAAAAAAAAAAATGTATGTAACGCTTGACCAATATTGCTTAATTCTGTATGGCTCACAGTTTTAATTAGTCATACAATTTTAAACCGTTATTAAATACATTTTAATTTACTTGAAAATGTTTAAAAAACAATTTTTACACGTAAAGTTAATATTGGGCATCATTTACACAGCGAATCCCAAATAAATGCAATCCTTATAGATTATAGAAATTATTTACTAATTTACCACTATACATAATCTTAACAATAATATGTAAACAAATGCTAATGATAATAATATAAAACATACCTATTATATACTTAAGAACATACATATTTATATTGTAATGAATTTTATACAAATAACGGTCGTACATTACAACTGCTTTTTGATATTACAATAAAAATTTAAAAAAAAACGGTATCAGGCTTTTACGTTTTACTTTATAATACAAGTAGTGTTGAACACACTAATAGTCGAAAACAATTTGGGTTTAATAATCAATGATGAGGTCGTCTGAAAAATCTGGCCTTTCGTCTCGTAAATAGTTTCTCGTCGACGTTATGGAACGTGTGCATAATCCGTAGAATATCCTCGGCATTAACTTGTTGTTATTGGCCAAATAACGCCAACCCAGATGATTTTGACAATTTGGACACAAAATAATAAGCCAAGAATAACTAAAGAAAATTATTATCGTCGATGAGGTTGTTTTAATAACTAATCGGTAAACACTATATTAGTGTACTACATACCCCGGGAACCAACAGCATTCTTCCGACGGTCTTCCGACCGACGTAACGTCCAAATCTTCATCGAGTTCCGTTACGGTGATCATATCGTGAATTTGACCCCACGAGTTGCAGTACGTACCTTGGGGGCCTTCGGGGGACATTGGAAACACACTGCTCATGTTGCACACGGGTATGCTGCATTCCTTCCGGGCACACATAAACTTTTGCATCGATTGCTAGAGTTGACAAAACATCATAACAATACTCAGTGAAAGAAATATCAAATTTTCAAACGTCCATTTAATTACGTTTTTGTTCCAATAGTTGAGTTCGTATTGAAGCCTCATGTTGGTGGAGTTAATGCCCAACAAGTCGCTCACTTGTTCCTGGTTAAATACGCCCAGTCGTACCGCTTGGAACGACAACAAATCAGGATCGTCAGATATTTTAACATCTTTGTCTGAGAAAACAAAAAAAAAAACAAAAGTTAAAACATTAAAAAATTAATTATAAGAATATAATTAATACAATTTTTCCGCTTGTTATTTGATAAATAATAACAGCCGTTATAAAAGTTTATTGTGTATACCATTTTGTGGACTTACATGCCATTCTGATTTTATCAGTCAAACGATCAGCCAAGTGGTTAACGTCAAACTGCTTGTAAACCCATTCTGGCCATTGGGTTTGGCCCATATCTTTCTTACGGCACCTTTTTAATGGAAATTTTACGTTTTAGTACAGAAGATGTAAATAAAACAACTCTCTATGTTTTCCTCTTACACTTCGTCATGTTTCGACGTGCGTCTCCTAGGATGCAAGCACAACGTACTATACGGGTCGAGTAAAGTAGAGTCTTTCAAAACTCTGATTTGCGCCAACACGATGGTCTCTTCAAGACTAAAAAGTAAAAAATATAATCTCATGTTAATATTAATACCTTTGACGATAAAAAAATGGCTGTCGACAAACTTTTGTAGATATACGTTTCCGTTACCTTTCAGGAAATGGTTTGACGCTTAAGATTTCATAACGCTGATGACCCATTGCTTTAGCGTGAAATCTCGGTAAATTTTCTATACCGTCCGTGTGTTCAAACACTTCAACAATTGTGCCGTAGGTACGTTTGTTTTTGTTGCTAAATGAAAAAAGTAATATGTGACGTAAGCAATGAAAATAGATATTTATTACAGTATAACATATAACGATTCGTACAGCTTATAAGAAACTCCAAACGCTCGGTTCCTGGCAATGGCGTACTTCAATATTTTCGACATAGCTGTTGAACGCGCTATCATGGGCAATATCTGTCCAGGCACGACATTTATGCCCAGAAATATAACCGGCAACACGTGTACAACACCTTCTTCGTACACCGCACGACCGCTGGTTTCACGAAGTTGGTTTCCCAAATACTACAAGGTCGGACGGTAAAAGACAAAGGTTTTAATATATTCGTCAATAGGTATGAAAATAAAAATATTATTTTTAATAATTACTTTATGGGCTGGAGTTAAACTCTGGTCGTACTGCGACACGTGACTGTGGTTCACGTATTCCTCAATCGCTCCTAAACCGACGTAATGTAATATTCAAGTAAAAGTTAAATTATGTCATGAATATTATTTTTAAAAAAGCAATTTATATCACTTACGGTCCAATTCAATTGCATCAGCACGTCGCACACGTCGTTCCGAGTGTTCCGAGTCATCATTGTACTCGTCAGAGCTGTAGAAAAAAAAATATATATCATATTCACTCCAGTTTATATGGTAGAGCAGACCTGATTATTTTTGAAATACCTCAAAATTATAAAATTTATCACAGACTTATTTGAATCATTTTATTTACAAGTAACGTCCGAGGTGGTAAATGGACATTTCATTAATTTATTAGAAAACTAGCACTTTTCAAACAGAATAGGTAGATGGTTTATTTTTAACTCTATAAGTACATATTTAACTAAAGTGGCCTCTTAATAAATTTAAATTTGGTGTAATTTTTGTGTTGCTCAAAGATGGAAATTAAATACAGTAGCATTGTTAGTATGTGATTTCGATACAATTATTTTTATTTAAAAATACTTAATAGGTAGCATTTATTTTGAAATTAACAATTATTTGTTTAAGACACAAGGTTAGAATTGCCATAATATGAGTAAAAATTAATTTTATTAAAAATAACAATAAGAAGTCATGTTTATTTTTGAAACAGCAACCCTTTAAAATTGTATTTAAGTATAAAGCAACCTTTATACTTATCGGTACAATACAATCGGTGGGTTTCGCTGTCAAATTTATTGTAACAAATTTTAATTTGTAATTATTTAGAGGAAGCATGAGTTTATATTATTGGAACTTGACACATAATAATGTCCTACATTCTTCTATCGTTCAATACAGAGATAGGTACCGAAAGTAATTTACGAAGCACGCTAATATTGGAAGCAAAAAAAACAACACGCAAGTGCTTTCCGTTAACCGATACTGTGGGTCATTTTACGTTATGGAAATATTTATAATTTAGCGCACCAAGTACCTATTAGGTATATAAATAAAATTTTGATTCTCACTCTGATATTGTATTCGAGTGCCGAGACTCGGAGTCCGACATAATGGCAATCGACGAACAGATGTTTTTAAGGATAGCAAATTATCTACCGATCGCCAGAAACGTCAAACATTTCCGACTTCAGTTTCATCACTTTCCGGAAGAACACAATAAAATATAATAGTTTATTTAACACATTAAAATAATATTATGCTTAATTTCAACACTTATAACAATGATGGATAATATTCTGCGTAGTTTTTCCGTCGCCGTTATCAGTGAACGTCGTCGACCGTTATCACTGAGAAGAATATTTCATAGTATCACAGAATAATCAGAAGGGAAACTTTGAAAAAATTACATGGGTCCTTATGAGCCGCCAAAAAGGCCGACGGCCATACTGTTTTTGCGGCTAGGAGCACTAGTAAAGCCTGATTTATAATTCCAAGAAAAAGCGTGATAAATGTACGCAATCTACAAAATGTCGGACACCTATCAGACGCGGTCTAGGCTTCCCTTCTGGTTATTCTGTCTCGAACCGCTTGGATAACAACACGAACACGACGAAACCATAGGTATGTCGGTAACCGCAAAATGGCCGCCGGTCATTTCGGGCGGCCGTGTATTTCTTACGGGAGAACGCCGGCAACCATGTTGTACGTGACTCGCCGACATACCTCCTGGTTTTTTTACCACGAACCAAAACGAATATTGTGCCATGAAAAATATACCACTGTTTAATAGCCTCGGTAATCCCTATAATTGTATAATATATAGGCCACACGTCGTTACGGTTTATTTTTAAATTAAAATAGGTATAAAATTGAATTATTTATCATACACACACACACACAAGTTGAAACCGGACGGTCTGCGCCCGTGAATACGATGAGACTGTTATTTATACATTTTGTACGGTCCGTTTTAATTATTCAGTGTAGTTTATGGTTATTATTGTATATTTTTCAACGTAAAACACCGATATGGTATTCACAGTACGTCCACCACCGAAGGCTGCGTTTATCGTTTTGGTTATTTTAGGTTGCTGCACGTTTGCCATATCGGTCGTCCGTTTTGCCTTTTTCCTGTCGGACGGCACCAAGACTACCAACAACAACAAGACGTCTGACGGTTTCGCCACAAACACCCGTAAGTTGTGCCTGTTTTTGAAGAAAAAATATTCAATTTCGATTTGTTACACCACAGAGTAGCTGATTTTAATCGATTCTATCAAATCTAACGTACACCGTTTTTTTAGTGTTAATTTTTGATAAAAAGCACCGCCAAGCTTTGCCTAGCGTTTCATAGTGATAATAATTGTCGGTGCATCAAAATTAGTCTTGTGTTGTTCAATATTGTACTATATTTACCTCGGTGGTGTTTTAATATGTTACAGTAATGAACAAACGGTGTGTTTAAAAAAAAAAAAGTTTTAGACTTTGATATTGAAAACAAACAAACATTTTTATTGTTTTATTTAAATTTGGATGTATAAGATGCTATTGCATTATTGTCTTTACATTTGAAACGAATACAAATTCACAACAAGTATAAAATAGTCATACAGAACTAGACTGAGATAAAAAAAATGTAATGATTTTACAAAAAATGTGGATCACTGTATGTATCTATCCATTTTAGATCTTTTTACTTGTTTGAATTAATTTTTTTTCTTATAAAAAAACACAAACTTTCAACATAATGTTATCTTTCATAATTTTTCAGTTAGAAAAAAATACACATATTTATTTTTTTTATTAAATAATAAGTCTGCCAAGTACAATGGTTAACATGTTTACATAATTATAAGTTAAACAATTTTACTACCTATGTATATTGTACTTAACTATTTTACATATTTTTGGTACACACATTTCAATAATCATTTTTTTTTGAAAATGTACAATTTATAAGTAATAGCAATTTTTCCAAGATTTCAAAAAAAATTAAGCCATATAAAAATAGATAATATAGGAACTTGGAAGAATGGAATAAAGTAAAAATTGAGACTGCAAAGTTGGAACCTTCACACTTGTTGTAACAAGTTAATTTTTTTAGTAGGCACTACAACTTTTAAGCGATAGTAAAATCAATTTTTATTGATATTAAATAATGATATGAAGAAAATTGTTATATTATAATTAAGTAAAGAAAAAATATAGTAATGTGTAATACTAAGAAAAATATCACTCTTAAATAGAAATGTCCATGTAAGATGTTGGAATAACTGTTAAGTTATTAGGTAAGTATTGATAGCTCATTTAAAAAAAAACTATTGTGTACAAGCAACTTAACGGTAATGGACAATAGGAGTCACGATTGTAGTATAATAATTATTTGATTTTTCTGTTGTTCTAGTTGTATCAATTGGTTTTTACAATTACATCTGTTTAAATACAAGTAGTATAAATACAGTTTTAGATTGTGATGATGCGAGTCATATTAAACAAAATTATAATAATAAAACGTACCTGTAAAACAATTATACTTCATACATGGTACCTAGTCAACAAAAAATAAAATCTAACTAATAAAATATTAATAATACAATTTTTTCCTTATAGGAGAACTTTGACGGTTTAAGCATTATACCTAAACCGTGGCTAACTTTTAATTTTGGGAACTACCTCATTATTTTGAAAAGTAATTGTGATTTCTGAATAATACAACATCTTAAACACATTAAAAATTACATATTATTTGTAATCTAAAACAATTAAGTACCTACAAAAAAAGTACACAGCATTTCTATAGCACTTGACTTGTTTTGTGTAATGGTAAAATGATAAAATAATTTTTTTTTATGTTCCAAATAATTTGTTTTTACTATAACTTACATTAATAGTTATTAAGAGCGTGGACAAATTTATAGTTATACTAATTTACCACTTTATTTGATGACAATGAAAGAGACATCAGAGATCAATTGCATTTTGTTGTAATTTAAAAACATATGTTATAGAGTTTTAAACATAATGCATACCTATAAGAATAAACTTGTAAGAATAAAACAATTGTGGTGAAGGGTATTTTTTAAATATTTAATTATTCATATATAGGGTGTAATGTAAAGTTCTACTGAGCTTCAAATGAGACATTCAGGATGCTCTATGAGTACAATAAATGGTATTCATTTTTGTTTAATTTTAAAATTGTTTAAAATAAAACTCGTATCCCTTTAAAAAATTGTCTTACGAAAAACATAATTTCAGACTTGAAATCAGGAGAAAAAATCTTGTTGAATTGATATGTAACATGATTTTTTGGTATCTGGCCACACTTGCGTCCACCGAGTGGCCACTGAGTGGACGGCATATTACCAAAACCAACATATGGCATGTGACACGTCATTTTGGGTTAAAATTTTATTCTCAATCCAGTAGTGTCCTTAGAATTTTTTTATATCAAAGAGATACGAGTTATATTTCAAACAATTTTTAAAATTAAAAAAAATTGAATACCATTTATTGTTCTCTTAAAGCATTCTGAAGCTCGGTAGAACTTTACATTACATCCTGTATATTCGCAAGTTTTGCTCAGGTTTTTTCTATGCCATGTCTGTTTAATGAGATTCAAATCAAACCAAACTCATTCGTGATGAAACTTTTCCAACCAATTCCTTGTCTTGCCTATCTTCGACGAAGAAAGTAGGAAATAACATTTAGTACACTTGAAGTAAAAAAAAAAAAACCTATGCACCGTCCTATTTCTAGCTGTGGCCGTGGAAAATGATCTACAATAGCATGTAACCCAAGTATCTCTTCTGCAAGTGTAATAATTAAAGCTGTTTTTCTTTCAGGGGATTTTTATTGTAAAATAATAGCTAACTGGTTACTCGCGTCCAGTTACTTACTGATGCCGGCGATAACCGAATTGGTCGTGAAGCGATTGGGCAATGTTTGTGGATTGCCATCGTTTTTGTTCAAATTTACCGAACTAATCATCCTATCATGTTCGTTAAATGTAATACAATATTGACCCGGCATAACTGTGTACAATATATATAAATTTAAACACGTTTATTCTTTTCAAGGTGATAATCGCTCTCTGGCAAACAGTTCCCGAAGTCTATTTGTGGCATATGAACACACCGAGGGCAGAAAATATACACACGTTAGTGCACGTCTGCATGTGGACCATTTCAATAATGATAACGTTCGCCATTGACGTTATGGAAATAACGGGACTGAAACCGGTAAGATAATTTGCGCATTGAATATAAACTAATGCTAAGGACACCACTGAACTGAGAATAAAATTCTAACCCAAAATGATGTGTCACATGCCATATGTTGGTTTTGGTCACGTGCCGGCCACTCAGTGGCCACTGGGTGGACGCAAGTGTGGCCAGATGCCAAAAAATCATGTTACATATCAATTCAACAAGATTTTTTCTCCCGATTTCAAATCTGAAATTATTTTTTCGTAAGACCATTTTTTAATGAGATACTAGTTCTATTTTAAATAATTTTCAAATTTAAAAAAAAATGAATACTATTTATTGTATCTATAGAGCATCCTGAATGTCTCATTTGAAGGACGTTAATTTCTACCTTAATATTCATCTTATTTGTTTTTGTCACGTGAATACATACCATTAATCTCGTGTTTTTGATTTATTTTTCAGATCTGTATTTATTTATTATTAGGTAGATTCCAGTGTCCTCCAAAATCACAACAATTCGATAGATTTTTAAAAAATATTGGATTTCCGGGTTCATCTTGTTTAATAATTGTATTATGGGCTCAAAAAATCATGAGGTATGTATAAAAAAAAAATGTAAGCTTTTATAATATATTTGTATGGATTTATTTTAATAAAAACTGCCTTCAACGTACCTAATTAGACTTTTTGAACATTTTGTCGTTAGGTTTAATATGTTAAGGTCAAGTCCTAATTAATCACTTGAGTATGTGTTACATTTAGCTATAAATACTGATTAACACAGTGATTGTGGTTGTTAAATAAGCGTTGCAAATCTTTAGTGGTTATGTTTAAACCAAATAACTAGTACTATATTTTGAATTTTTATAGTTTTGATAGATTGGTGTTAGCTGTAACGTGGACTCTGGGTATAATATCGTACAACAAGACTGAAGAAAAAGACATTGTTTATGTTTTAAAGCAAATAGAGAAGAAGAAAAAATGGATGTATTATTCAGAATGTATAGCAGTATATCCTTTGAAATGAGATTTTTTTGAGCAGATTAACAGATAGTTCATCGAACAAAAATAATTTATTTTTATAAAATTAATTGTGTATTATATTTAATTATTAACTAAAAAAAAAAAAATGGAACGTACCTACATAAATTATTGGATTAAATGTGATATGAAAATAATAAAACTCCAAATTTTTCATTTTTCCAAGTCCAAAAAATATGCCTAAAAAAACAAAATTAAGAAAAAGTTTCCACCCTTTTTGAAGGAAATAGGGTTTTTTTATTTTCTTGGGTTTTCAATGCATACATATATATGTATGTATGTTTATGTAATAAACATATGTTAATACTGTATTTAAATAATACCCCACAAAAGTTTGGAGGTGATTCGAGTATTTTTTTATATTATTAATGTGTACTTGTAGTGTGAACACTTGCATTTTTTGATTCTTTTGTTTTTATGGTAACTTTAAGATGCAAAAGTCAAGTTATGGCGTATGACCTGACCTAGATTGATGAAGCCGAGGTAAGACAACAAAATATGTTAACAACAGCGGTTAATAATAGCAGTAGATATGGTAAGCACACAAAAACGTCTTAGCCCGCAATTTTTCGTTTCCTATATACAAAATATAGAACATAAAATGGTATTACATTTTAATAACATTTTTAAATTTCATTACAATACTGTTTTTATCCAATCAGCAAAATATATTATAAACTATGTACCTATGCATACAGTTAATCATAACATAGTTTAAAAATTACATTTCTCTTGTTGTAGAAATGTTTACAATTATTTTACAAAGCATATTCGATTTGAATACATTACAACTTCAAAAATATTGTACATCTTACGTTCTTGATGTACGTTAGAAAACCGTTTTATTAGTATACTGACTTTTGCGGTTATTTTTAAATACATTTACAAACTTATTATACTATTACATTTAGCTAGGAGTAACAACAGCCTCATAATATATTTATATACTCAAACAACGTTTGCCTCTCTGCCATTATTTTACCACAATACGTCTCAATGCCTAATGATATAAATTTAATTAGTTATAGGTATAATAATAACACCTAAACTCAACGATTGAAAAAGTTGCCGTGTTCAAAACAAATGGCATTATTGATTTTATTCGTACCTAGTTCCACATCATAAACCAAATACTAAAAAATCAACAGCAGTTCTGCTTTTGATCGAAGCTAAAAAACAAGACAATAAATCAATTCCCACCCAACGAATTTTTGGAGCAAAACAGTAGAATTAATTGTTTTTTTGTTTCTTAAGAAGTCACTTGTTTTGTTATTCACTCGCGTCGTGATAATATTATATTGTACTCCTTTAAATTTGTTTAAAAGTAAAATGGATTCAAAACAGGTTTTAGTCCTATTGTTAATAATTTGTTTTTCGATAGAAAAAACGTACGCAACTTATAAAGAACAGGTAATTCATCTTTAATTAACACTAAATTTTGTTTTTTTGTACATTTAGTTTTATTGGTGAGGTGTAATAAATTATTAATCTATTAGTGTAATAAGCCGTAATAACTATACTGTTATATTGATCGGTTTTAATTCTATATACTAATAAAATGTTTAATAACTTTCAAGCAACAAAAAGCGTTGGAAGTGAGCAAAAAAATGTACAACACTCTTTCAATTACTGACGATCAGTATGCAAGAGTTACTCAAAAAAAAGTTATTAAGGCAGAAGATATAAAGGATTTGAGGGTTTTTGAGAGACGTGTTGTTCAGCCTGTTAAGCCTCTTGGAATTTCCGATGCGGAGCTTATAGGTCCTATTCAGTAAGTAATTACGTTTATGGGTTTACAATACAATCTTAATGTGTGTGGTATTAATATTTTATTAAAAATGTTTTTATTAATTTTTAAGTTTTATTAACCCGTATGTTAAGGTTTATAGTATTTCCTCTCAAAATTTAATACTTGGTTTCAACGAAAAGCAAAACAATATACATATTTTAAACATGAATTCTGAATTAAAAACTGTATTTGCCATTAATTATGTTGATTAGTCATTACACAATTAAAAATATCTAAACGCACAAACGCACTTGATGCAACGATGGGTTTATGTTTAATAATTGATTTTAACTGTTTTTTAGCAACTGGGTCAATTAATAATGTGGATTGAAAAAATGCATAATTTGAAATGGATACACGCGAAGAAACCGTCGAAGACGAATAATATATTACTATGTATTTTTCAACATTATAAAATATGTATTATATAATACAGTTTTATTAATATATTATTCTTCAATATTACAAGCATGGTTTTCTTTTGCGTGTACCTATTTTAATTCGGCTTAGTCGTTTTGACTCTTTTGCTTTTACGGTAATAATTTTAAGGTGCAAAAGTCAGGTTATAGTGTATGATCTGACCTAGAATACTACTCGTGTTTTGATGAAGCCAAGGTAAGAAAACAAAATGTGTTTACAACAGCAGTTTATATATAATAATATCAGTAAGCCCACAAAAACCAAACGTTTTAGCCCACAATTTTTCGTTTCTTATATACAAAATCTAGTTCCACATCATAAACAAATACTAAAAAACCAAAAACGTCTCTGCTTTGGATCGAAGCTAAGATACAAGACAATAAATCAATTCCTACCCAACGAATTTTTGTAGCGAAACAGTAAAACACACTGTTTTTTCGTTTCTTTAGAAGTTACTTGATTTTTAGTTCACTCGCGTCGTGGTCATTATTGTACTCCTTTAAATTTGTTTAAAAGATAAATGTATTCAAAACAAGTTTTAGTCCTATGTTTCATCATTTTTTTTTCAATAGAAAAAACATGTGCAACTTATGAAGAAGAGGTAATCAATCTTTAATTAACACTAAATAGTGCACTTTTGTAACTTTAGTTTTATTGTTATCATACTACGTTAAGGAATAATGTCTTTCTATAAAATGTAATATTAATACATATTATGCAAAGTTGTTGAGGTGTTAAGTATTGAATTATTAATCTACTAATGTATAATTCATAATATCTATACTGTTATTATATTAGATGGTTTTAATTTATTATTATACTAATACAATTTTTAATAACTTTCAAGCAACAAAAGCGTTGAGAGTGAGCAAAGCAATGTACGACGCTCTTTCAATTACTGACGATCAGTATACAATAGCTACTCAACAAACAATCGATAAGGAAGAGGATGTAAAGAATTTGATGGTATTTGAGAAACGTGATGTTCAGCCTGATAAGCCTGATAAGCCTGTTAAGCCTGTTAAGCCTGTCAGTCGTGGAATTTCTGACGAGGAGCTTATAGGTTCCATTCAGTAAGTAATTGTTGTGACGTTTATGGGCTTACAATATAATCTAAATGTTTGTGGTATTATTATTTTATTAAAAATGTTTTTATTAATTTTTAATTTTTATTAACCCGTATGTTAAGGTTTATAATGTTTCCGTTCAAAGTTTAATTATTTGGTTACGACCAAAAGAATAACAATTTACATATTTTAAACATGCATTTTGAATTGAAAACTGAATTTACCATTAATTATGTTGAATAGTCATTACACAATTAAAAATATCTAAACGCACAAACGCACTTGATGCAACGATGGGTCTGTGTTTAATAATTGACTTTAACTATTTTTTAGCAACTGGGTCAATTAATAATGTGGATTGAAAAAATGCATAATTTGAAATGGATACACGCGAAGAAACCGTCGAAGACGAATAATATTTTACTATGTATTTTTCAACATTATAAAATATGTATTATATAATACAGTTTTATTAATATATTATTCTTCAATATTACAAGCATGGTTTTTTTTTGCGTGTACCCATTTTGATTCGGCTTAAATATTTTGACTCTTTTGCTTTTACGGTAACCTTAAGGTGCAAAAGTCAAATACACGTAAACTAAATTTAAAACAAATGGCATTATTGATTTTATTCGTATCTAGTTCCACGTCATAAACCAAATACTAAAAAAAAAAAAGACAATCAATCAATTCCTACCCAACGAATTTTAGTACCAAAACAGTATAACACACTGGTTTTTTGTTTCTTAAGAAGTTCTTTGTAATGTCATTCACTCGCGTCGTGGTCGTTGTTGTATTCCTTTAAATTTATTTCAAAAAGTTAAATGGATTCAAAACAGGTTTTAGTCCTATGTTTAATAATTTGTTTTTCAATAGAAAAAACATATGCATTTTATACATTTATTGCACCTAAAGAACAGGTAATTAATATTTAAATACAGTCTCAAAGCGATTTATAAAGGACGCAGTTCGATTTATAAAATATGTACATAAAATCTCTTATAATACATATATACAGGGTTTAATGTGAAGTTTCACCGAGCTTCAAATGAGACATTTAGGATGCTCTATTGGTAAAATGAATGATTTTAATTTAAAAATTATTTAAAATAGAACTCGCAGCTCTTTAAAAATGATTTTGCGAAAAAAGTAATTTGAAATTGGGTGAAAAAAACTTGTTGAAATGATATGTAACATGATTTTTTGGTATGGGACCAAAACGCATGCAACACATCATTTTGGGATAGAATTTTATTCTTAATTCACTGGGTGACCTTAGAATTATTTTATATTAAATGATGTGTCGCTTGCCAAATGTTGGTTAAAGTAAAAAAAATGAACATCATTTATTGTACCAACAGAGCATCCGAAATGTCTCATTTGAAGCTCGGTAGAACTTTACATTACAACCTGTATGTATACATGCATATGCAAAATATTAAATTATAACTAACTAAAATTATTAAACACTAAATTTTGTACTTTTGTAACTTTTATTTTATTGTTAACGTGTAACTGTTAAGCAATAAGACTTTCTAAAAATGTAATATTTATACAAAGTTAAACTAGTCAGGTGATAAGTTATAAATTATTAATCTATTAGTGTATACGCCATAATAATATCTATACTATTATATTAGACAGTTTTTTGATTTAATATAAAAATAACAATTTTTAATAACTTTCAAGCAACAACAAGCGTTGAGAGTGAGCAAAATTATGTACGACACTCTTTCAATTACTGACGATCAGTATACAATAGCTACTAAACAACCAATCATTAAGAAAGAGGATGTAAGGGATTTGAGGGATTTTGAAAAACGTGTTGTTAAGCCTGTTAAGTCCGTTGGAATTTCTGATGATGAACTTTTAGGTCTCATCCGGTAAGTAGTTATGACGTTTATGGGTTTACAATATAATCTAAATTCTTGTGATATTAATATTTTATTAAATATGTTTTAATTAATTTTTAAGTTTTATTAACCCTTATGTTAAGGTTTATAATGTTTCCTCTCATAATTTAATATTTGGTTACGACCAGAAGAATAACAATTTACATATTTTAAACATGAATTCTGAACTAAAAATTGTTTTTGCCTTTTATGTTGATTAGTAGATTACACAATTAAAAATATCTACACACTTGATGATGCAACGATGGGTTTATGTTTAATAATTAATTTTAACTGTTTTTTAGCCACTGGGTCAATTAATAATGTGGATTGTAAAAATGCATATTTCGAAATTGATACACGTGAAGAAACCATCGAAGACGAATAATATTTTACTATGTATTTTTCAACATTATAAAATATGTATTATATAAATCAGTTTTATTAATATATTATTCTTCAATATTACAAGCATGGTTTTCTTTCCGTGTACCTATTCTAATTCGGCGCAATACACTAATCTTTCTTTTCTATATAGTTTTTACTAAAATATAAACACAAACAGTCGGTGTAGACAATGGTTAGAAATAGGTTCTATTTTTTATTATTTTGTTCTATTTTTTATTTCGCCTTAATCTTACATCAGCAATTTAGTACACTATTTTTTAGGTAAAAATTTAGTGCACTATTGAAATACAGTTTTGATCCAGTCGGTTTAGAATTTATTATACACATTACTCAGAGTGCTTACAGAGTATTTTGGACATGTCAATGGGCATTATCACATTTTCCTCATTATCTCTTACTATCTTGAACACCCAACAAAAGAGTTAACATTAAAGTACAATTTTTAAATTAAAATCTATTGCGCTTTTTTACATCACATTTATATCATGTTCAATGTGGAACAATAAATCATTAAAAACATACAAATATATATGTAAATAAAAACAAGATAAATCATATACGAGGAAGTTATCCGTGGCTCACATTGCCCTATCACAAAACTAACGTTTTTCTTATTGAGAATAAAATATATAAACAAAGAGTATACAGCCTATTGAATCCAAATGCCAACAGTAGTGTATGTCAGATGTACACAAATCTAGGTGAGGATATAATGATTTCTTTTTGGAACACTATAAAAAAAAAAAACTCATACGCCTTAAATGTGCCAGAAAATGTCTTATTTGTTATTATGTTCAATGAATCAATTAACTGTCACTAATTTTCTGCATTTGCTTGTTAGAATCTGATAAAAAGTATTTATAAGGTTCAGTTGTTTTTTGTATCAAGAGAGTGTAGAAGGCATATCTTGGGAGACTGTGGCCATTGGACATAAAATAAATAATCTGTCTTATTCCACAGCTTTCGTATACTTCAAAGCAACATCGACAAAATTCTAATGTACATTTCAGTCAGTACATAATAACATGTGCTTGTGCAACCTTGTGGTTTTAAAAATAAACTTGGCGTTTGTTTTTCATGTCATAATACACATTTTGCTGTACTCAAATTTGAAACTTGTTTTTCGTGTACTTGTGTTTGTACACATTTTGAAAGACTGTATAAAAAAACAAATGCCAAGAAAGAAATCTAGCATAACCATACGCACTCCTCCTACTCTACTGATAAAAGTGTATTCTATAATATTATATTAGAACCGATTACATATTTTGTGGCTTAATTCTTAAAAAATGTTGTGTAAAAAAAAAAAAAAAATATTACTCGTTGCTTTAAAATGTGTTTTCGCTATAAAATCTGGTTGTATGCAAACAAACGGCGAACTGTGTTTGAATTGAATATAATAGTACAAAATATCTTTCCAAGTTTACTAAAGGTATCGGAAAATTACAAAATCGTTTTTCTGAATCGAGCACCTGTAAGTTATGATTATTGTTCATACTGAAAAAAAATTGTATTCTTCTTATTAAATACCATTGTGTTGTACCGTTTTCAAACGATGATATCATCTGGAGCTACTTGGTTTCGGTTTGTTTTTGTGTGTTTTTCCACTTGTCCGGCTGCAGCAAAGCCCTCCAACGAAATGCAAAGTGTAATCGACCAACTGAATTTGCTGCAAGAAATCCAAACTCCGTTCGTGGTCAGCATGCCCAAATTGGAAATAGACAACAAGACAATGGCCGATTTGAAAAGCAAATTGGAAGAGAAGCACAGATGCATTGCTTGTAGCTACATGCTCAGTTCCGTTTATTATCTCAAGTGGATTAGAGAAATATTCCATTCGGAAGACGAAGACATGCAGAAACTCAAACCTCATCTTATGCAGTATTCCATGTACGAGACTATAGCTTGCAAAATGCTAGCCACTCTCATTAACATCGACTATTCGAATTCCTCGGTAATTGAAGTCATGTGGATATTTAAATTTCACGTCGAGTGGTTGTCTATTAACCAACACCGGATAGAAGACGACATCAACAGAGATGTCTTTTGGTCTGCCCACGACGCTGTGACTGCGTTACTCGAAGAGAGTGTGGCAATGGAAGACTACTGTTCAGCGTTGACCAACAAACAAGACTATCAGAATTATCAAGAAATCCGTGCACGAGGTAAGTGTGCCACTGATATCACTAAGAAGCTAGAGCCAATCATAATTTATAGAGAAATGCTGAACGTCCAGTTGGAGCACAATGAAGAATTTTGTAAAATATCTAAACTAGGTCACGGTTGGTGTTTCTTGGACAGTTTATGTATGAAAAAACCCAGTGGTACTTTTGCCGGCGACATGGACACATTGCTGAAGTTCGGCATGGTAAACGACAAAGCCGTATGGTCACACACTATGCTCGACAATTCCAAAGTGTGTACGTCACTAAACACTCAATTGCATACCGTCATAAGGTCGGTTATAGCGAGCAATCATGACTTCATTCAGCTGCTAAAAGGCATTATGATATCCATAACTTGGAAGTATTTGGCCAAGAGTAAATCCACCACGTGGAAATGGATTAACAAAAAGATACCGGAATTGTTGAGGGAGTTTACCGATTTCTTAGACTTGAACGGAGACACGCACATGAAAAACATCTTGGAATTGTTCAACGGTCGAAGAACATTATTAAATGTTGGCTTTAAGTCCAATGGTCTAAAACATGTTGTCCTTGGTCTATTGAATGACATTTTAAAGAACTACGGCCGTACGCTAAAATTTGTTGGAGAACCTAAAATCACCAGCTTTATGGAAATAGACAATTCTGGCCGTCTTGCAGGCCAATTTGCAACCGAAGAAGAAATCAAACAATCTTCGGACACTGTGTTGGAAGCTATAGTATTCGTCAAATATATTCAATATGCATTCAAAGAGGTTAGTTTCAAGGTTTTCAAGTCGTTCGCTCATGGCAAACATTCTAATTTATTAACGAGTTTAAAGGCTTTGGAGAAGAAGCAGCCACGTGGAGTGCTTCTAAGCCGCGGTAAAGATCTTGGTCACGTGAGGTCTTTCAAAACAGGACAACCGTCTAAATAAGCAAAAAATAGCCAACCGAGATGGTAAGAAACTGTTAAAAGTTAAAACCATGACCAAAGTTATTATTTTTTCAGCCGGGTTCACCAACTATTACTAAAATATACACTCTTGGCATAATGTTAGTGTTAACAATTCATTTAAATTTAACATCCGGTTAAATTAAGTAAGTTTCACCATAACATATTATTATCGTTAAATTATATTTATCAAGTTAACAAAACGTTAGTTAGGTTACCAAAGCGGTTACCTCGATTCCAACGTTCTCATGGGTTATCACAAAATGTGATAACTGATAAGTGTTTGTTATTATTTGACACATTTTACTTTCTTTTAACGTTTCGGTTTATATAAATAATTTATACATCATTTTTTGACACATTGTTACCTATACCTTTTTAAAAATAGTTTGTCATCAAGATCATTAAAATAGTTTTTTTTATTTTAAAGGCCTAAAAAATAAAGGTAGGTAGGTAGGTAGTGATAAGAGTTATTTTCATTGTTATACTCAGAACTTGGGACAGGCAAGACATAATAATCTAAATTATAAAATACAATAAATTATGATATTTGAACCTATAATGCAAGTCTGTGCCATTCCTTTTTACCTAATCTACCTACATAAAATAACTTATGCTTACCTATTAAAGGGTTATCGAAGTTGTCTTTTCTATTGTTCTTTAAATACTCAATATAAAGAAGTTCCTCATTAAATGTGTAATTCATTATTAAATATTACTAGTATACTCGGTCAACAAAATATCAAAAACAATTTCTGAACTCTAATAATATAAATATTGTATATAAGTACTACAATACATTTCATCATGCCGATAAACTTTTTAACAAGCCGATTTCGGGTGGTTAATTTAACAATGGTTTTAACAATGTGTTAAGGCTAACAAATCTTGATGAAACCCAATTTTCACCAACTAGTTGTTAAATATAATTGACAATAAGTTAAATTCTTAACAAATGTTGGTGAAACCGGCTGCATAAGTTATAACATATTATTATTGTTAATTTATATTTGTTATGTTAACAAAACGTTCTCATTGGTTATCAAAAAATGTGATAACTGATAAGTGATAATATTGTAAATTTATATTTAAGTATATAAGTATATTGGTGTGAAAACTAAATAACAAATGTCAAGTCAAAATTTATAACCTTAAAATACAAATATATACGATTTCAAATCATTAAGTCGGTGTTTTTTTTAAATACAAATTATAGCAATCATCAACCCACTTTCAAAACAAACAATCATCTATAATAACTATTGCGCTGGCAAGCAGTACAATTATTATTTGGCCATACTTACTTTTGAGAGGTTATTAAATGTTGGTAAAAATAATTTATTTATACTTAAAAAAAGCCCCCCTCCAGTTTTTGAGCCATAACTTACATAAATATTCTTTACTTGTCGGCTGTGAAATAATAATTATTACAATTGATAAAGTAATTATATCTTTTAAAATATAGATAATTCTCTTCTTTTTAAATGGTAATTATTCGAAAACCGCATAGACACCTATATTAAGCTTTAGGAGGTGAAAAACCTAATTGTTATTTTTATACTTATTTATTTTGAATTTATATGTTAAAAAAAAAAAATAAAAAATTAGTTGTCGTTTTAAGTTTTTACGAGGTGGTGAATATATATTTTGATCTCGTTTTGTCTGCAAAGTAACCCAAACATATTATGTTTCATAATAAATAAAATCATTCCTAAGTATAAAAATTAAAATTAATAGTGTAATAATGTCATATGAAACAAATAGTACAGTCTATATTTATATGTGTATTGTGTTTGTGCAATGAGTTATGTGTGAATTACTTTGTCAAAAAAAAAACATCTGTACTGTTGATGCTCAACAGAATAATTTGAAAGAATCATTTATGTGATAGATTTTATAAAAGTCTTGTACACGATTCACAATAGCCTTTAACGGTGAGGATAATTAAAAATATATATAAATGTATATAAAGTACATTGTATTAATATCCATAACATATTATTGTATTCCAACGGCGAATTCTTATGACCAGGTAATTAGTCTATGCAATATTTCCAAGTAATTTTTCTTATAATTAAAGTTAAGTGTTGTTGTTTTTTATTTTTTTTAAATATTAGCAAGTATAATATATTAGACCGTGTACAATATGATGTTTCATCTTTGTAAAATATCCTAGGGTAATTAAATTTTATCTTAATTAATAAATATATTATTTTTTTAATTTGTAAAGAAATACAAATATTGACATTTTTTGAGAGTAGGGTTTTCTGGAAATTTCAACTTAACAAATATCATTATGAGCTTATGGCAAATTAGTTATGAACCACTTATTGTCATATTAGTGATGTTGTACTACATGTTTTTAGGAAGTAGAAGATCTGTTTGATGAGATAAGAGATGTAGATAATAATTTTGTTACTTTCCGTGACATGTGCAGTTATTGCGAGGGAGACGATTTGGATGAAGTCACAAGAGTGGTAGAAAAATATGGAACCAACAACAACGGTAATGACGGTGCAATTGTCTTAGCAATAATAATTAATAACTATTTGGTGGCTTCTAGGTGAATACAGAATGAATTTTAAAGCTTTTGTTCAGGCCGCAAACGAAGGTCACATACCGAAATTTCCTAAAGCGGTAATGTTATATTTATTATTATGTTATTTCTAAAAGTATAAATGGGCTATTGTGTAAGTCTGTTTGTAAGGAGTTTTATATAGGCAATATTTAAGGGGGAAAATGGGTTTTAATCAGTTTCTACCGTGTCAATTTGTTTTCAGGTTAATTCATATTTTGGGTGAATTCATAACCCAAATTTGCACCTAAAAGCCAGACAAAATTAGACACTTCTACTTAGAATGGTCGGATTTTAACACTGTGAAAATAATTTAGCCAATATTTAGGTTATTGTAGAAGTCTATTTTTAAACAACTGTTTTATTTACTTAAAAAATCCAAAAAAAGTGCTTTGAGCACAAAAATGTTTAAGTGTAAACCTAACCAGGTTTAATAAGATATGTTACTATTCAAATTTGTTTTATATAAATTTAGGTGATAGAAAAAGTATTCATGGAAATCCTCTCAGGTGCGAACAGAGACTATATTACCATTGAAGACATGGTCGAATACTATGGAGAACTGTATACTCTTCGACTTGAAAAAATCTTAAGTGAATTTGGAAAAAAGCAAAGTAATTTTTATAGTTTATAACAACTGCGTTTAATGCCTAGTGTTGTTGTGTAAGTTTCTTATTAATTACATTTATCTGTTGCAAGCAAGTATTGTATAATGTAATATTATTTTGCCATGCTAGTCAGAAAAAAACTATTTATGTTATTTGGTGACTTTTTAGATGAGGAATATCGATTAACTTTTCCCGACTTTAGGCGAGCCGTTAACATTGGTGTACTTCCAAAACCGGAGTGATGAAAAAGATAATTAAATTAAGTTAAAACTGATTATAGGTTAATACTATGTATTCGCCATAATGGTACAAAACATTGCAGCAGCTAATATGGCGGCGTCTTATACTTCATTAGACACTGTCGTTGAATTCAATAAACAACACAAAACACTTGGGTATTATTTTTTAAAATAATATACATAATTACCTATTGTTATCGATTCATTTATTTATTATATCCTACAAACTGTGTTGAAATCTTCACTTGCATGGTCAGTAATAATCAGTAGACATTTTCATGTCGGCTTCACTAGCGCATTTCTTCCCAAAACCACTGTGGCCTTTCTTTTTGAAGTGTGACAAATGTCTGTGCTCGGACTGATCGCGATACATCTGAGCTAATTGTCTGTGGCCAAGATGCTTTAAAAAAAGGAAAAGGTTTAACACACATTACTCTTATTTGTATTGACTATTTCCTATTCTGGCATGAGAAATGAACGTTCGGTGTAACCTATAATACAATTGAACGTACATTTTCTCCATGACTGTGACCACGATGGTTCAAACCACTGTGACCGTGGTGACCGTGCTGACCATGCCCGTGGCCATGGCTGTTGTGGGCTCTACTTGTCACTGTAACAAACATTATAACAATGGAGCATATCAGACGAAAAACTTCCATTACACTCATATTTCAAATATGAGTCTTATAACATGCAAATTGGGTTACTATTATTGTGTTCGGTTTATATTTTGTGTACTCATGCAAATATTCAATGTTTTTTTAATTGTAGCCAATACGTTTTGTTAATATAAACCATGGCGTACATTTATTTTCCAATTTTTGTGAATCTAAATTAGTTAGACGTTTGTGAAACAGTAAATTGGTAAAATGCAGTTTAGTGCTCTAGCAACAGTTTACATTTTGTTCAATACAACACATTTTTACTTGAGTTGTTACTATTTGAAAAAAAATTCCTAATGCTATGTGTTGGACCGCATGAAGCTTTTAAACAAATGTTTGAAATTTCCCCCCTATTTATACAACTTAAATTTGACTGTGATAACAATCATACATTAAATAGTGTCATGTGAGGCAAATAAAGTCATCCCTTTGGAATGGCTTCCGGTATTTGCAAACATCACACCTTCTGAAAATCAAATGGAATTCTTCTTCTGGTTAACAGACACAAACATGATGAGCAATCACACGGATGCCATCTTACGAAGGTACGATAGGCTTTAAAGAATTATGCCTGGCTTATGTTACCTAACCCAGTTTCACATGGTATGGAGCTATTGCTGGGGTTAGTTAAGTTAGCTACAATGAATTTAGAATGAAATTTAATATCAATAGCAGATGATCCTTTATCTTTCGGTGCATGGAATACAACTAGTATTTGTTGGCTAAAAAAGTGCACCATCCAAAATCAACCAAACATTGTTTCTAAACTATAACTGTAAAAGTTTTAAGCTTTAATATTCTATTTTTATTTTAAATTTGAATTATTAAATGTTGTTTTATACAAAAATAAAGTTTATTATGGAAATGTAGAGAATTTATTAATACAACTATTAAATATGGGCCAAAGAATATAACTTCTTACAGAACATAGATACAATACAAATATATTATATAATTATATAATATATTGTATAATTCTTGCTAGTGCTATTCTCACAAGTGGTCATAACCGTCTATGGCTTGCATTTCTATGTTCGGAATTTTACAGATTTATTGATCTTCTTCAGAACTTTATAGTCGTTTGCACACTTTTTGTAGCTACTCACGATGGCTTCCACCTGATCGCGGTATCCCTCGGTTTGTTCTATCGTGGACAACAGTTGAGCAATGTTAGTTTCCAATTTTCTAATGCCTTCATCAATCGTGGCGACTTCTGATTCGGTGTAAGCATAGCCCAAGTGACGTCTCTTTTCGTACACTATTTTCAGTTCTAACACATTCGTTCGCAATATGCAACAAAGTATTCGAGCTTCATGGATTCCTTTGAGGTCCACACAACTTTTTTCGCGTCCTAAGCCCACGCTTCCATCGCTGAGGTCGACCAAAACGTTAGTTTGGCTAATGACCGAAGTCTCAGCATGATATGAAGTCAATGCATTAATCTGCTTGGCAGACGGTGTGCTGACTGGCTCTTTTGATTTCCCCAAAGCGCTGTGATTTCCAATACTAGTTCTTGATTTCTCTAGGTTTTTATTGGACTTAGTTTTTGCACTCGTCAACCCTGTAACCGACGTCTGCTTTGAAATCTTATTGTTTTCCATGCGAGTTGATGGCAATGTATTTGATAATGTCTTTTTAAAAACTTCATTGCTCTCTCTGCGTGCTGATGGCTCGTCATTAGTTGTTTCTACCGGGTTCTTTGACCAGTTAATAATACTTTCTGTATTTTTCAACTTATCTGAATTTTTATTTGACTGCCTTACGCTGTTCCTTGATTTTTCAACTAAAGATAGCTTTAGCTGTGCAGATAGCTTGTCTTTAGTATTTGTTGATTCTTTTAAGTTCTCAGACGAGTTAGCTGTTTTTTCTTCATTTGACAACTTATTTTGAATTTGATTTGAAGGTTTAAAACTATCCATCAACATTGACAACAACGATTTTCTTGAAACTTGACTACTCTCTTTTGCATTGTCGTTTGTGTTGGTTGATTCTTTTGACGGTTTAGTTGAGACATTAATGTTAAATTCCTCTTGAATTATTTGAATTGATGGATCACTAATTGCTTTTCGAGGTAACACATTAAGATCACCTTTCGACGACTTTGATGGCTCTTTGAATTTTCTGGATGAGTCATCTTTATTATCTTTACTACTCAGCTTTTCAGAAACTTCGGGGTCTTGTGATTTGGCGTTCACGTCATCTTTTAGGGCAACAGCAGCTAACGCTTTCGTTTGGGCACAATTTTTTACTGTTAACGAATTCTCCTTATCTGGCACATTGTCACCCAAAGACATTTGGACCAGAAAATGATTCCAGGAGTTGATATTAAAATGATTAACCATCTCCGATTGTATGTAATTCATGTTTACAATATCCGACAGCAGCGAAGCCTTTTGGTTGGCCGTTTGCAGAATCGACGTTAGCTGATCAATACGTTCGATCAACTGTATGCCCTGATCACCTGCAGCACTTGTTTCTCCAAAATGTGTTTCTTGAAATTGATTTGCCGCTATAACTCTGGGCTTGAGGCCCTTGAAGCATACGTTCTCGTTATCCATAGAATAATGAAATAGTTATTAACGTTAGAGTTTAATAATCCATTTCAAATTGATTAATTTTTTTTGTACTGATAAATATCAACAACAAATGTGACGTTTACTAGTATCTATTAAAATTTAGCTCCTTAGATACGCATGAATAATTTTAATAAATCAGGTACTTATTAAATTTTTGACTTGAAATGTAATGTATAACAAACGTCGAGTGTCGGTTAATTGAATTAAGATAAACAGTTAAATTAAAATAGAAAAACTATAGCCAGATTACTTGAAAGTATGAATTTACAAACCTTTACAATTTTTAGAACTTTTTCTGAGCGTTATCAACTCTTGAAACTCAGATGGCAATGTGTTAATACTTTATCAACTTTTTTAAGTGAGGGTAATTCGCTTAAACATGTTTCTGGTCGATAATCCACTTTGAACAATTGATTATAAGGTTGTTCAAGTTTAAAATTTAGGACAGGTGAAAAGGTGAAATATTTCATAACTTTACTATACTTCCTGAATTTTAAAAGTTATTCAAATATATATGTTACCATTTGAGTTTTAAAAGTCAAGGGAGCTTTGAAAGGAAATCAGAAAGATACAAATTTAAATACAGCCTCATATTTACAAACTAACATAAACTTAAGTGTCTCCAAATGGAAAACTGAGTGTCTGATACTTAATGAATCTCCCTGTACACTCGATAAAGTGTTCACACATTCTAAAGTCATATTCCCATACCTCAAAAATGTTTTTTTGCCCATCACTAATAATTAATCTTTCGGAACAACATATAGGTCTATACAATTGGTATATGGTTCATAGTATGCCAGTGTGTGTGTGTTGACATGTTAATTGTCGCCCTCTAGTGCAGTTAGTATAAGTGTACACGTCCGACGTGTGAGTTTTGATTTGTTTTTTGATTTTTTACTACGTTGCTTTGTGTGAAAAAAATATTGAATTAAGTTATATTACCTAAATTATTGTTCCTGGCACAAAAAAAAAGCAGCTTACTCTATACATCCTGTCTGTACTTTGATAGACATACAACACACAAATGTAATAATAATAATACTCGTATATAAAGTCAAAGTTTAAAAACATAATTTTGTAGGTATATCATCTTTGTGCTTGTGTAAAATGAAGAAGACGGCATTTTTGAATGGTTAGAATTAACTAATCAGAACAAGCTAGTCAGTGCATTTCCATCAAACAAAGATGACAAGATTATTTAGCTCCACCAAGTCCTGGAAGAAGTATCCAGTAACTTTTCGAGGATGAACAGGTAATATTATGAAAGGTATATAGGATATAGGTTATATTTAAAAAAAAAAAAAAAAGTAATTTTGAGGTGAAGTAAAATAAAATTTGCCTTTAAAAATTGGAAGTATATATTTTTAAATAAAACAATACAAATATTTAGTTTTCGAATGAAAATCAAAAATCAAGAATTCAGAAAGCAACGAATGGTAGTGATAATAGATTTTATTTTTTTGTAGATTCATATAAATCAGTTTTAAAAGGAAACTACTTAAAAAAAATCCTTATGTACTTTCGACTTTAGATGATTTACATCCAGAAACTAAAATAAAAGAAGTGAACAAGTATAATAAACAAAAAAAAACGAAGTTGAAAGGCTTTTAAATGAGATTCAGATGAAAAAACATTAAAAGAGAAATAAGGTATATTTTATTTACCTAGAATGTAAATGTTTTTTTCTTTTTTTTTTTTTGCTATGATAAAATGTGAGCCAACTAGATAATATTAATTTAATATTTTTTATAGATGTCCTAAAAAGGTTTACTTAATCTGTTGACATAAATCGAATTTTCCATCAGCTTCGTCGACAACAGAAGACAATATTAAACTAGTGCCGAGTACAGGAAACCGAAGACATCAATAGATCATAATATATACAGTCTATAATGATTACTGTGTCTTAGACCGCTCGAGAAAAAAATCAATTACTTAAACGATTTTTTAAGTAATATGAGGACAAATTCTTCCACAAATACCACTAATGTAACTCCAGTTGATTTCATGTACTATTGGAAAATCATTTATGTGATACCCAAGAAAAGTTTCTAGCCTTAGAATCATGCCTGAGAAATGAACTGGAATTTAACAAATTAATTGTAAATACAAAATGATAATTTTCTAATTTTTTCCTAATTTATTGTAACTGAGTCCTCGACAATTATTATGTGGCTTATTTAAATACCTAATGTAATTTAAATATATGCTAAATTCGTCTTAACTGAAGATTTTAAATGTATCAAATGTGAATTTCATATTTCTATAAATTTGTCATAATATGATATAGTATATATATATAATTAAAAAAAATTGTTTAAAATAAAAATATAATACGTTTGTTACAGCTGATGCTTTTATTAATGAATCTAAAAGTTCAGGAAAAAATACACCAAAAGATAGCGAGTTTAAGACAGCATTAAGTAATGCATTTAATCGTTCTAAAAACATATCTTGGCGATGGAAATGGTCGCCAGAAAAAGGAAAGCTTAACAATTACTCAACATGTTGTTCCTAAGAAATGAACTTTTTTTTGATAATTCTATTGTTAATCAATACTTAAGATTTTTTTTTTTATACTTCTTCTCAATTTTTTCCCATGCTCATGTATTGTTTTTTTTTTTCATTGCCAAATTTTTGTTTGACTAAGGTTATTTTTTTTTTGTATTTATTATTTTTTATTTGACAATTTAGATGGACAATATGTTAGTAAATTATTTATCAGTCCATATTTTCTTATATAAATTTAATATATTGTACAAGATATCAATAATATATAAAATTATAATTAAAAGTTTTTCAGCCGAGTCTGCAACCACAAAAGAGCATTTTCATGTCTCGTTGAAGTACCGAATAAATATAGATTAGTTGTGGAATTATAATTAAAAAAAAAAATATTACATGGAGCTTCCAGTTACAGCATAAGCCAAGGAGATTCAAAAAATATGTACAATCATGTTTCACCCTTATCTCCTACACCCTATTCCACTCCCGTCCCCAACCCTTTCGCTTTTTTTGGTAACGCTTTTTGGTAACGCTTTTATGGTAACGCTTTTATGGTAACGCTTTTTTCGGTTATGTGCCAGAGCTAAGACATGAAAATGTCAAAAAAATCCTTTTTGTTATAAGTAAGTTTAAGCAGCATATATATCTCCGAATATTTCTATCTATAAATCCATTTTACCATGCTCGTGATCACGTGCAGTCCAGCAAAATTATAAGTATTTAGGCGTAACATGCGACCAACACTTACAAATCAGCTAAAAGTGAATCTATTTAAGTTTTAAAATTAGTTAAATCAGTCTCTAGATTAGCTAATTTTATTACGATATATCTTTAAATAACGCATCATTCGATTTGATTAAAATTAAATCATGCTACACTGAGCGTGTTATCTTTCAATGTGACATGCCTCTTGACAGATAATGTAGATTAATTACATTATATCAGCTTTATAATTTATACACCATAATATGATCATATATTTTTGTTGAGGAGATATTGTTTTTTTTTTGTATATTATATTAAGGTTCGTTAATCGCTTAAGATAGGCATATAGGTGATATATAATATTGTACGGTTTAAGTAATACCTACTAAGTATCTATGAGAGTAATATATATTTTAACCTAACTAGCTTTATCATCTTCATTGAGATTTATGATATTGGTTTTTTAGATTTCACAAAGGCAATTAATAACAAAAACAAATTTTGTTTTATTACCAAGTACCTCTTACCGGCGCCACACCACGTGTTATGATAAGATAAATTATTATTTTAAAGATTTTATAATTATAATTTTTTAGAAAAAACACATAATATACTCACATGGTGTAGTATTTTTTTTATAGGCATACGCATGATGCATGATACCAATTGATTGGACTGCATGCTATATTTTAATGTTGACAACAGCTTTATTACTTGATAAATATGATCAAAAATTGTACATACCTAATTGAAAAGTTAAAAAATATACCTACCTTGTTGTGTCCCACTTTGGAGTCTGTTTGAAATAATTATGCATTTTAGTTGTTGTTCCAATGATGAATGTCCCATGAAGACACAGAGTTGACTAGCCATGTGAAGTTAATAAGCTATAATAAATTTGAAAAAGCTATTTTTTTTGTATTAAGCTAGTTCATAAACGATTTAAGGTAATTTGCAAATAATGGAAATTGTGTTGTAGCTGGAAAACTAGACCCAAATCATTTATTAATGTAAGAAACAAATCCGAGAATAAATGGCCGCCTTGCGAGGACGTCGCAGTCAAATATTTCGAGTACTAAAACACCGCTTCGGACTTCAAATAGTACTCAGAAACTATTAATCGTAGAATAAATCTAAGGATACCTAAAGAAAGCCTGAAATGTCTACTATGTGCGTATAGAGCCATATTTCCAAAAAAAAAAAAATGTTTACTTATAGTTATTTCGGTAAAATTTTTTACTTTTTTCAAACGTCCATAGAACCATTGTAAATAAAGTTATCGAAAAAAACTCTCTACGGGCACGTAGAAAAAGTTCTGATCTTTCATGTGGTACTGTAAACGATTTTCTACCGCCAAAAGCGTACGAGTGCTATTTGAAGTGCCGAGGGATGTTTTTTGAATTTTTATAATAATTATTACGTCGAGAGCTGGCGCGCCTAGCGGCCAATTTAATACATATTTTTATACGTTCGGAAAACCGGTTTTGGGCCGACTGCCGTAGCGCGGTGACAGCGATAACGTCGACGGTGACACCGCAATTATATTATTACCCGAAGTAAAAACAGATAACCCAATTTTTAACAATTAATTCTCAATAACAAAACAAATATTATATTTTACTTGCACAGCGATACTGTTATTGAATATTTGCCATTTTATGTTCATTATTTTATAGAGAACTAGCCGAATAAGGCGGTCGCTAAGTCGCTTGTTTGAAAAAGGTAGCAAGTGTAGTAAATTATAATTTGTAAAAATTGTGATTTAAAAAATGGTTTAGGGAACTGGGGGGGTTATTGCACACTGTAAAAAAAATCGGAAAAACATTCATTGTAATACCTCTCCGAAAAACCGAAACATTGTAATACAATGTTTACACCCCTGACCAAAATTAGTGTGGGGCCCCCTCCCCTCCTCAGACCGAAATTGGAAATTTTTAAGTTGCTATGTGTGAACTAATCAATAGTCAATTTTTAGTTGCAATAAATCATATAGACCAGTAGCGTATTTTAAACAACATAAAAATTTTAAAACTCAAAAATATGTAAGTGTTTCCGCCAGTGAATAAAATACAAATCAAAATATAAAGTTCAATTTTTATACTTTAGCACTTGGAACGTTTGACAAATTCACTCTTCATTTATAATCTAATTTTTCTATATAATTACAATTTATAAATTGAAGAGTTTTACTCGCAATATATTTCAATTATGATATATTCTTCGTATTCTATTTTTTTTTATAACAAAACTAAATTAAGTTGTACTATAAAACTAAGAAATAATTTTTTCATTTAGTTCTAGCAGTACATCGTCAGTCTCTACGATTACGGTTTTTCTAATGACCATTGGACTGCCGAGGCCAATCATAATTTAATCAATTATATTTTTCAAAGTTTTAAAATAAAGTTATATAAAACCTATAGAATGCCTTTATCTTTGTATTGTTATTTATTAAACAAGTGGTTTAATTATAAGAAAAAATGTATTCATATATTGTATATTTAGTACAAATTTGTCAAATGAAATATACATTTTTTTTTAGTCAGGAGGTGTCCAGACACCGTGAACATCCCCCCCCCTCCAAATACGTCACTGCCTGTGACAGGCACAATATGCTCCGTATCCACTATGTCCCGACTCCACTGTATTGGCTTTTTATAATATTTATACAGAATATATTCGTAAATTGGTGCATAATTTTGCAAAAATGTTCTAATGCTCTACAACCGGTATGTCGTGGCCACGGTCCTGCGGCGGCAGCGACCACCACAATTTTCGGGATAACAACAGATAATCTAAGTTTACCTAATTATATTATTTGTAAATATTGTAGAAATATGACTTTACTTGGGAAATACTGTATTTTTGTTGCACAGAGAAGCCACATTTTTATTTTTCCTATTGTGTTGTGTGTTTTAGTTTTATAGATAAAAATTATAACACAAAATTTACATATGTACACATTGTTTTTTTATGAAATAGTATTAGATATATGTATAATTATTATCTAATGAAATAAATCATAGAATATTATATATGACCCGTCCAGCGCTTAAAGTTTATAACGCATACTCGTACCATTATACAATTATTATTCTATTGATGAATTTTTATAACCATGTTTTCAATTATTAATTTTGGATTTATAAATGAATTATCAGAAAGCTGAAATGTTTTTCATAAAATACTGATTTTGTTTGGTGACCTATAATACTATAAAAAAAAAAAAAACAGTAAAAAAGAAAAAAACTAAAATATTCAATGCGACCATGGCCAATATGGTCTAAGCAAATTTGGAAACACGTATTTTATTGTAACAGACATGCAAAATAAGTATGCTCCGATATAAATGTTAATAAGTAAGTACGCTATACGAGGTACCAAGTTTATTCATACGCTAAAAAAATTATAAGTTATCAGAATGATTCAAACTATGATAGGTATTGTATTTTCTACTGCGTCCGTTGTTATATAAATGTTAATGAACAGTAGCTATAAAAAGCCGAGACGGAGAATAACGCCATCTCTCGGGAGTTGTATACGTAACAATTTACCCGCGACGTCCTATTAAGGCACGACAAATGTAACCTTGATAGAGTATAAGACTTACCTATTAACTATATGAGGTTAATAGGATAACCATTTTAGCTTGATATTACCACTAACAGCGACTAAGCCTAATGTACACCTACATTGGCAAGTAAACTGTAAAGGATAGTATTCAACAAAGTCTAAATTCATTGGGTTAAGTATAATGAAATGTGTATGTCACGACTAAAATTGAACCAAATTTAAATTACAAACAACTTACAATAAATATAAAACGTTTTCTGAAATTTTATCTGATAAATTTATTAAGGACTTTGTTGAATAGGGCCCACGCCTTACTTTCAAGTCAAAAATTAAAGATGTTTAACATTATTTAAAATTGTAGTTAATTTTCTGTTGTTTTCAAAGTAATTGAAATTAAAAAAAAAATATGTGCTACAATTGATTGGTAAATTGTTCTTGTAGTAAAATTATTTTTTACTATTTTTTAGAAAAGCATGTTTTTTTTTAAATTTATTTTTTCCATAGTGTTTTTATATAATGTGATCTTAATTTTCCACAACATTTTTATCTCCCTACCCCACCCCTCTCTCCCAAAACTATTTATTCTTTTACTTAAATGGTAACGCATAGATTTCATTAATTATTTAAATTAAAAATAATTTTCTGAACATTTTCATTGGTCGATAACGGGTTTCGGATAACTGTTTTTGAAGTTATTGAAGTTTAAAGTTCTAGGGCAGGGCAGGAGGAAAGGTGGAATGTGCAATATTATTTTCACCTACTAGCACTTCTTCTCTCCTTTAAACTCTTATAATTTTAAAAATACTTGTTCAAAACTGGTATTGAACCAGTCGAAATGTTTAGTAAAATATTCTTAATTTAAAAATAGAATAAACATAAACGTTACCATTTCAATTTCGAAAGTTTATACAAAAATCATCAGTTTGGGAGTGAGATAAAAACAAAACAAACTGGGAAAAATTGAGTTCACATTGTAAGAAAAAAGCTATGAAAAAAAAATGTTTTATTAGGCCCTATGAGATATTGAGTGGTTCGTTATCAAAAGAAAAAAAACATATATAGGGATTACATACTATGTATTTAATAGCAATGCCATCCAGACATTTTTGAGTGGTTTATATATGAGCTATAAACCTTTATGACTAATGTAAAACATATTAAATTCAAAAGCAAATAACTTACTCGAACGATTAAAGGTGGATAATATGTCTTTCGGGAAATAAAATATAAAAGCAATGCAACGTGATAGCATACCATTCGTTACACTCAACGACAGCAGCGTGTCAACGTTGTTGAGTTGAAAAGTAATTTTTAAATTTTCTAAAATGAACAACGTCATATTGTGTTTGGTACTTTGACGCGACACTAGGGAGGGTCGGCGTCTCGCTACTGGCCGCGTCATACTCCCCCGCCAAGCCGTCGACACACCCTGTGCGACTAAGCCGTGGTCTAGCCGCTCACTAATAGTCTTCTCTTCTCCCCGCTGGGATGTTCAGGTGACTACCTGTCCCTGCGGGGTTGTTCGCTAATGGTGCGTGGGTCGGATTGGGGAATGATGGGGAGATAGGCAAGCCTACTCGTTCCCATCTTCCTTGAAGGGAGGCGGGGTTCTCGGAGGATCGTTCCTCTCTGAGGGTCCTGGTGCGGGGGTTTGTTGGTCGGAGGTTTGTTGGTCGAGGGTTCCGGGCGATCGAGGTATCGGGTTGGGGGAGGATGGCGCCGTGTGGAAAATCCCATCATCCACCTCCGGGAGGCTTGTCGGTGGCCTCGTCAACACCTCCTCATCCACATCCATCGGTGACTCCTCCTCTTCGATTTTCTCCAGCCTCCACTGCTGGCTGTTCCTTGCCTTCGACTCCTTCTTCCTCTGTGAGAAGGCCTTCCATTTTAGCCTGTCCTTCCTCAGCTGCGAAGGGCGTTTTCGTTTTGGCAGCGCGCCCGATTGTCCGGATGTCCCCGCCGCTTCGCCGTCCGCGCCGGTGGTCGGTATTGCCGGTCTGGGTATTAAGACCTCCATGAGCGGGCGGGGTCTAGTGGTGGTGGGCGCCGTGTTGCGGACCGGTGTTGTGTTGGTAGATGGGCTGTGGCGTGGGGCTGTTGCGGTTGGTTTGTTGTGACTCGGGGTGCTGGTGGCGTTAGTTGGCTGGTTGCGGATTGGGGGAGTTGGGTGGGCTCTTGGATGTGGTCTCGCGGTTTCATTACGCGCTCTACTCGACGTTGGTTGTCGTCGAGGGGGTGGGGGTTTTGCGTGGTCATCGACTGGAGCCATCTCCCGTCTTCCCGCCCTGAGGCCCCGCTGGTAGGCAGCCCACAGCATGTTGTCCGCCCTGAGGGCGTCCAAGTCCGCCATGTCCACTTCCCAGGGTTCAACTAGGATCCCCAACGCCACCGGGTGCACTCCCAAACGACGCTCAAGCAGACGTACTCGTTGCCCGAGTTCCGCCAGTTGAGCGTGCTGGGGGTTTGGTGGCGTGGGGACGGGTTTCTGGGTCCCTGAGTCCCCCTTTCCTCCCTTATTCCCGTCCATGTCAGTGCTGAAACACGTCAGAAACAGGTGTTTGTGTGTTAGTGAACATTTATTTTCTATCACTGGTCGGGGGTTTGAGGGTGTACTTCACCTATCCGTTTTAGGCTTGAGACATGGACTTTACGGGGAGGGACTTGATCCGTGAAAAACACCCCTTTGCCTAGTTTTTCTCTTAATTTTACCGGTCCCCACCACTTAGGGGCAAACGCGGCATGAAACCCTTTGCTAGCCTTTGACAGGTGGTGAGCCTGAAAAAGTGATAACTGAAAAAGTGGACTATTTGAAAGACATAGGAGTGTGCGCTGTTTGGCTATCTCCAGTATTAAAGTCTCCACAACTGGACTTTGGTTATGACGTGTCTGATTTCAAGCAGATCGACCCTATTTATGGGACAATGCAAGATTTCGATCGCATGATCGACAAGTTCCACAAAGCCGGTAAGATTCATTTAAAATATCAGAGATGGAAGATTATTGAAATAATGTAGAACCAAGTATAACGAAAACTTAAAAGTATTGGTAGGCCAAAGAAGATGGAGATGGTGGTGATTTTGTATTTGAGTTGATGCGTTATAAACTCATGTATTAATGGGTTTCAGGAACAAAGGTACTCTTGAATTTTGTGCCAAATCATACAAGTAACATGCACGATTGGCTTAAGAAATCGGTCAAAAGAATAAACCCATACACGGACTATTTTATTTGGAAAGATGCAAAGTACGTTGATGGTGTGAGGAGCCCTCCTAACAATTGGGTAATTATATAATATGTTGTACTAAACTAGTAAGTAGTCTTAAACCTTTAGTATTAGTCTTACGATGCTTATGTTCTTAAGACTAGCCACCCTCGTTAAGATTACTTGCTAACCATGTTATACTCTGAACACTTCTACTCTGTCACTATCAACCGCTGTACATTTTATGTTCTATTGTAAAAATTGCCCGTTCAAGCTTATTGAAAAAAAAAAAAATATATATTTTAGGTGGCAAGATTTACCGGTCCAGCATGGGAATGGAACGACCAACGGCAACAATATTATTTACATCAGTTTCTTGTCGAACAACCCGATTTAGATTACAGGAATCCAAAAGTGCACGATGAGATTAAAGTAAAACAGATAGATACGATCAGGTGTCAGCAGCACTGGAATATTGTTTTTTTTTTAATTTTAGGATGTTATGGACTTTTGGCTGAAACGTGGCCTGGACGGGTTCAGAATCGATGCTATTTGTTTCATATACGAAAGAGCAGACTTTGCTGACGAACCTGAGTCCGGCGAGGCTGGCTTCGTACCTACCGACTACAGTTATTGGAAGCACGTTTGCACTAGAGATCAACCAGAAAATGTGGACTTGGCCAAAGAACTGGAAGAGTTTGTCAACAGTTATAAAAAGACTGAAAGCGATACGCCCAAGTAAGTTTTGCACAGGTCAAACAAAGACATGAGATATTTATATTTTATTAATTTTCAAACAGAATCCTTCTGTTGGAATGTTATGGACCACCCTCGGTAGTTATGCCGTTCTACGGTAATGACACACGAATTGGCGCAGCGTTTCCGTTTAACTTTAACATGCTCGACTATATGAATCGCGAATCAGACGTCCAGGCTATAAAAGACATGATCGCCATATGGCTGGCTAATATGCCCGAAGGGAAATGGGCCAATTGGGTAGTAAGTACTCCCAGTTGATGGTCGCTTTGACGTTTCATTCCTTTACATTCCATGTCTCCATATGGTTTTAGATTTCAAATCACGACCGTGTCAGAATAGCTACGAGGATGGACAACATGCTTTTGGATGGAATACACATGCTGCAGATGGTTCTGCCGGGTACAGCAATCACGTACTACGGAGACGAGCTCGGTATGGAAGACACATATGTGCGGTGGGATCAAGCTACCGATACGTTTGCATTGAACGTTGGCCCCGACCGATTTACGTTGTTCGACAGAGGTCCATCGAGGAGTCCGTTCCCTTGGGACGATTCGAAAAATGCTGGTAAGACAAAGAAATTTCGGTTATGGTTTCTATTTGCTTTTTGTACTGTATTCCAAAATGTCTATGTATTACCCGAGCATTTTGAGAACTTCAACTGGTAGATTAGATAATAACTGAAACGCATCTACTAATGTTTTAATGACATATCATATTTCTATGAATAGCGTGACACCTGACTCTGACTCTCGAAATATCACAGACTATTTGCATAAGCTTATTTAAATTTAGCAGTAGTAAGACTTGAATTAGTTTTAAACTCTGTTCAATATTGTAAAGGAAATCGAGTTACAATTATAATAATAAATTAACGCCATTGAGATAATCTATATAGGAACTATTACACTTTGTAGCACATTTAAATATGACAATACTGCATTAAGCATCTTCTGTCACAATTCCTACGTTCCATGTGAGTTCTCCTATTTATAAACGCCAGGTTCTATCTAGCTGGTATGGGACACACAGCAGCATCAATATTATGATAAATGTATGTATGAGATGGGTGAACACTACTTATGCAATACACGTTTTAATAGGCTTTTCCGATGGTCCGGACTTGTGGCTGCCGATCAACCCCAATTACTGGATGAACAACATGAAACTTCAAACGAAACGTAAAAGCCATTTGAAAACTTACCAAGCGTTGGCGACTTTAAGGAAGAGCGCGACATTCATCTACGGAGACGCAGATGTGTTTGTCATATCAAAATGGGTGCTTGCTTTGTCGAGGTAAGGAATTCATTGATTAACAGCGGTCTTAAGTCCAATTGATGATTATTTAAAACCAAAGATATATACTATTTTTTTAATTTTTTCAATATAGGAGTTATAAAGACCACCCGACTTACATTGTTGTCATCAATTTCAATAGTTACACGGAAACAGTTGATCTTCTAAAGGACAGACCTACGTTACCACACAATTTAAATGTCCAACTTTCTAGCCTCAACGCTAGTATTAACGAGGGGTAAGCCATTGCGAATTCACAATATATTTCAAATGGTCACTATTTGTTTCTAAAACGCGTTTCTTTTTTTGTAATTTTCAGAAATCTGGTGAAAACCAACAGTATTGTGTTGAGACCAAAAGCAGCACTTCTCTTGACTACGGCAAGAAATGATGAAAACTAATAAGTAGTCTTCGGTCGGTGATGTCTTTTACAAAAAAAAAAAATATATATATATATTAAATAAACATTAATAAATAGTACATTTATTCTTTGATTAAAATATGTGTAATTGATATTGAACCACCTATAGGAATGTGCTAAGAAAGCCAGTGTTCAGTTCTGTTGTTTAACAATAATAGTACAATTGGTTGAAGTTGAATATATGTTTAAAAGGTTAAATTGAACAAGTTATAAATCACTTTTATCTCACACAAAACCCTTAAAAGTTGTTGTATTTTTTTTACCTCACAATTATACTACTCACCACGTCTCCTTCCACAATAATTTATCTTAAGCAACTGATTTTATATACTTAAGTATCTCTATTCTATGCTTCGCTTGCTCTCCAAGTACAAACTGGTTTTCTACGATTTTCTCAACCTACAGTATACTTATACAAGATGTCTCCTTCGACTATTCAAGCTCCACATAACAGGCACGATAAAACCATTTTTGGAGTTTATAAAACTCATTAAAACAATAAAAATACCATAACGAATTAATAGTTTCTGATAAGACCAATGCTGGTGAATATAGTGTATGCCTATCTAGACGGTACTACTTACTTTATGAATTTAAATAAAGATTGTTTTTATACATAAATAAAATCTTAACTGCCTTGACATAACATAAATAGTTGATATTGGCATTTAAATTATTAGTTTTTACATTAAACGGACTAAATTTAATAGAATTATTTTTCAGACTAATTATGAATTAAGCAAATAATTATGTTACTTAAACATATTATCTTATGCAGTAATTTTGAATTCGTTAAAGACTCTAATGTACAATATTGAAAACAACATAACTAAACGTGTCTGCAGGTCAAGTACCACCTATTTAATTTTTTACTTTCCAATTAAATTTGATTACCCAAAAATAATACAATTAAACTATACTTACTTTAATACATAGCAAGTTTTATAAAACCAATTTGATATTTAACAGTGTAGTATTAACAATAAACAGGGGCGAAATATGTAATAGCTAGTATACAATATATTTATCATGTCTATATCATTCATGTGTTGTGAACCTTACATCAGTATTATATAGTGTTAGCATTATTAGGTAAGTACAAAAATAACAATGCCAAACGACAAAACAATGTTAGGTTCTTAGACCTTATTGTATTAAAGTATAATTTTCTATTGAAATAACTATGTATGAAAATGTATACTGATTTCATTTCACCTAATTGCAAGTTGAAGTCCACCAACCAATAGAACAATTGAGACACAACGTCCAAATTATTAATAGACATATTCATAATATTGTCAATAGAATACATTCCAATCACGTTTGCCTATTTAAACTCAACAGTGTACCTCTACCCGTTCTATTCCTCTGCCAATAGTCATGTCATACGCCCAGACAATCTCGAGTGGCTATACTCAGACTGGGATTTAAGATGTAAGATTTACTTATCCATTCAATAGAAAACGTTTCAATTCCTTAGCTACCTACGATAGCCCGCAAAGCAGTGGATCCAGCGGGGATGACATCCTAAGAAAAACCCCCATAGAAAAAAAAACTCAAATTTTATGAGCGCCCAGTTTAAAATGTTCAGTCAACAATATTGAAAGAGTCAATCTTGACAACTACTGAATTTAAAATTAGAGAATAAACAAATTCGAATGCTTTCAGAGGTTTTGGACAAACCAAGAAACATCTCAGTGTGCTGTAACTCAGTGCAGGACAAACGTAAAATTCTTGAGCTTGCCAAGAAAGAAAAATCGGTTGCAAACAATATTGTTATCACTTGAAAAGACATAGCACTATATTTCAATAAACAAATGACAACAACTTTCGGGAAACTTTTTATATAAGGACATCTGGTTTAAAAAGAAAATAGTTTTTGTTAAAAAATAGTACTAAAGCTAAAATCATTTATGACAAAAATTGATTTTTGAAAATTGTTTAAATGTTTTAAATTTAAAAATAAATTAAATCTACGTTTTTATGGCTGTAATAGATTAAATTGATAATTATAAAACAACTCAATTTGAGTCCATAACCGATTATTTAAATAATTTTAACTTAAGGAACATTAATTATACTAGAAATATTTGGAACTACTAGACTAATTTTGTAAACATTTTGTTGACTATCTAGGTCCGACTATTTTCAATTCTTTGTTTTTAGATATAAAGAAATAAAGTATAAAATAAAATATTGAGCATAAAGAGACCAAAAAAAAAATCTATAACATATAAAATATATAATCACTTTTATATTCAGCGTCTAAGTATTAAAAAATCGGTTTAGTTTACTGGATTTAAATAAGTACTCCGGCATATTGCTTATAATGGACTTAATTTGTAATGCGATTTAGGATTTGCTTTGGTTTTTTTTTTTTAATAATTATTAATTGGAAAAACCTTGAAAAAACTACTTAATCCAACATCGCACGCGTGCGATGTTGACATTTAACTATAGTCTAAATGCGATGCCTCTCGAGCGAGTTTACCAAGTAGACTTTCGGCCCCATATTGATTTCGCTATCAGTAGAGCGTTACGAGCTCTTGGGTTTATTAGGAGACATTCGTCTGATTTCAATTCTACCGAATGTCTGTCTGCCCTATATAACTCCCTAGTTCGGTCTAACCTAGAGTACGGCGCAGTCATTTGGGCGCCATATACTGCAGGTGACAGACAGATAATGAACCGTGTACAGAATAGGTTTTTAAGTTTTGTTGGGTACCGCTTAAAAATCTTACACCCACCTCATGATTACAGTCCCATTAATAATGTTCTTGGACTGCAACCACTAGAGCAGCGGCGCAAGAACCTCTGTTCTCGGTTTATTTCGGGTTTGTTAGACGGCCGAGTTGACGCCCCTCGCTTATTGGAACAACTTAGTATTCGGGTCCCGACTAACACCAGACTTAAAAAGTTCTTTTATCTTCCTACTACCAGATCCAATTTCACTAAAAATGCACCTCTCATTCGTATGATGGGAATTTTTAACGATTTATGATTTATATTATTCGTGTTAAGGCCACCACACCTCTCAATATTACCTTTTTATTATGTATATTTTTTGTTGTTTTGTTTTGCTTTGTTTCGTTTTCTTTTGGTTGATTTGTGTATTTTAAATATCACTACATATATATATATATATATTATTGTCTAATTTATAAAGAGCCGTATGGCGTAAATTACTATAAATAAATAAATAAATAAATAATCCATTATCTGTACAGCTTAAAATCATATGTAAGTATTATTTACATACACATATCGTGTAAATTATTATGATTTTCAGTTGTAGTTGTATCTGCTTGTATTTGAAGTGTTATCGAGAAAAAATAACCCGTTAATCCCACGTTAAGCATCAAGACATTTTCGAGGAGTTTAATTAAACTGTTAATCATATTTATTTAATATTAGGTATACTTAACTCAAAAACAAATAACTTACTCAAACGATTACAGGCGTGAAAGATTAAATTAAAAAAATTGCATTGGAAAATGACATATAAGCGACAAAACGCGATGACACGGTCTTGATTTGGCTCAGTGACAGCAGACTATTAAATCCGTTAAGATGTTAAACGTTTTTCTATGTCTGGGACTTTTTGTATCCCATTACACTGTTAATACCGAAATCATTTATCAGGGGTTTAATAGCTCATTCGTTCCACAATGGTGGCAACCCTGCATTATATACGAGGTGTATGTGCGGTCGTTCAAAGATAGCAACGGCGATGGCTTAGGCGATTTAAATGGTATTTATCACTTTAAATAACAAAATACAAAAAATTAAATCAATTTTTCCGTTTAAACAATTAAAAATAGTTTTTTTTTTTTGGTTTACTAAATAATTCGATTTTTATAATTTTTGTTTGCAGGAATAACCGAAAAAGTAGACTATTTAAAAAATTTAGGAGTATGCGCTGTTTGGCTATCTCCGGTGTTCAAGTCACCACAACTGGACTTTGGCTATGACATATCCAATTTTAGGGAGATCGACCCTATATATGGGACAACGCATGATTTCGATCGCATGTTAGAGAAGTTCCACAAAGCCGGTAAGATTTAATATTGTACTGGCCGAGATGGTCATTTTTTTTTCTATATATTTTTAGCTTTTAAGTTATTTAAAAAAAAAAAAATTTCTGATCGGCCCTTTAAAAATCATAACCGGATAATTTAGACTTATATAAACGCCCAACTTTTGGTTACAGGAATAAAAGTACTCTTGGATTTTGTGCCAAATCATACGAGTAACATGCACGACTGGTTTAAGAAATCGGTCAAAAAAATAGACCCATACACGGACTATTTTATTTGGAAAGATGCAAAGTACGTTGATGGTGTGAGGAGCCCTCCTAACAATTGGGTAATTATATAATATGTTGTACTAAACTAGTAAGTAGTCTTAAACCTTTAGTATTAGTCTTACGATGCTTATGTTCTTAAGACTAGCCTCCTAACAATTGGGTAACATTAACATTTTGAACCATACTACATAGGTCTTAAGACTACTGTGAAACAGTTCTCCTGGTATATCTCTGACCAGTTAATCGACAATGCAAAATGTCTTCTCTGTTCCTATGATAAAAAATATTTTTTTGAAAATTGACATTCCGATTTTTAGTTGTCAGTATTCAGCGGCTCCGCATGGGAATGGAGCGAGGGACGCCAACAGTATTATTTCCATCAATTCTTGGTCGAGCAACCGGATTTGAACTACAGGAATCCCAAAGTCCACGAAGAGATTAAAGTAAAAAAAAAACAGATACGATTAATGGCGATTAGCGAAGGCACAGGGAAATTCATTTTTTTCAAATTTAGGATGTTATGAGATTCTGGCTGGATCGTGGCCTGGACGGGTTTAGGATTGATGCGATTTGTCACGTATACGAAAAAGAAGACTTTGCAGACGAACCTCTGTCTGGCAAGCCTGGCGTCTTACCTACCGACTATCTTTATTTGGACCACCCTTACACCATGCAACTACCCGAAAACGTTGGCTTGGTAAAAGAATGGGATGAGTTGATCTACAGTTACAAGAAGAAAGAAAGCGACGAACTAAAGTAATATTGTATAAATACTATTTGATTTACAATCCTTGAGATTAACAGATATTTCTAAATTATTTCAACAGAATTCTTGTGTTAGAATGTTATGCGCCAACAAAGAAACTTATGCCGTACTACAGTAACGATTCCACGTGTAGGAGTACATTCCCTTTTAACTTTAACTTGGTTGAACACATGGACCGCGAATCAGACGCCCAGGATTTAAAAACCATGATTTCCACATGGCTGATCAATATGCCTGAAGGGTCATGGGCCAATTGGGTGGTAAGTACTCCGTTGACGGTCGCTTTGACGTTTTTCCCTTACATGTATCCATGTCGTTTTAGATTTCAAACCACGACCGTGACAGAATAGCTTCGAGGATGGAGAGTACGCTTTTGGATGGAATACACATGATTCAGATGATGTTGCCAGGAACGGCAATCACGTACTACGGCGATGAACTCGGTATGGAAAACTCATATGTGCGGTGGGATCAAGTCACCGATACGTTTGCATTGAACTACGGACCTGAGCGATTTCAGTTAGTCAACAGAGATCCAGAGAGGAGTCCATTCCCGTGGGATGACACGAAAAATGCTGGTACGTAAGAAAAATTCATTTATACTTCAGCTGTTATTGTTTTCAGGGATTGTCAAGGGTGAAACATTTTGACGGTAGGATGGTAAAAGTGTAGTAGGACGAGTTAGATTATAATGTCCCTCTAATGTACTCATTCCTTATTTTTGCTATCTTGGTAACTCTACTAAATCATATTAACATTCTTATTTCAGTCGTTCTTTATCCTTTCCTTCTAAATAGCATCTCTTTATCTCACAACATTCTATTGTATACTTGACTATCTATGCTGTTTTGAATAATTTTATCCAATTATCGTTTACCAACATTAGAACAAAAAAATGTATCATATCTTCTCATAACATGACCGAATCATCTCAGCCTATTCTCTTACATTTTCTCCACAATTGATGCAACTCCGAGACTCCCCCTTTTGTATTCATTTCTTATTCTATCTTCCCTAGTCACTCCACTCATCCATCTTAACATTCTCATCTCCTCTACACTCATTCTCTGTGTCAGTTTTCCTATCTACAGTTTTCCTAATCTTATGGGCATTCTGGAACCCACCATTTTTTTTTTTACCATCGATCCTAAGTACTTAAATCTATCAACCTCATCTCACCTGCCAGCATTAGTTGTGTAATAAGTTTATTGTTAATAGGCTTTTCCGATGCCTCGAACGTATGGCTTCCTATCCATCCCAATTTTTGGGCTGACAACATGAAACAACAATCAAAACGTAAAAGCCATTTAAGAACTTACAAACAGTTGGCGAGGCTAAGGCAAAATCCAACACTGATTTACGGAGACTTAGATATGTTCACGTTGTCAAAATGGACGTTCGGTTTTACGAGGTAAGTAAAAGTCCAAATCAAAATTTGACTTAAAGACTAAAGTTATGATATTTTTAACAGGAGTTATAAAGACAACCCAACGTACGTTGTTGTCGTCAATTTCGGCAGCGAGACGGAAACGGTTGATCTCTTAAAGTTCAGACCTACGTTGCCGGCCATTTTAAAAGTCAAAGTGTCCAGTCTCAACTCTGGTCTTGTAACAGGGTAAGCCAACAATATTAACTCATAATAACATTTTAAAAGTCTTTTAATACAATTTTTATTTTCAGAAATCTGGTTAACGCCACAAGTATTTTTTTGAGACCAAAAGCGGGTCTTGTCTTGATCACGTCTTACAGTAATGAAGTCTAATAGCGCTGTTAGTCTTCGTTTTGTGGTTGTATGGTTTTTTTTTTTGAAAAAATATTATTCTTTTAAAAACAAAGACGAATACACTAGTGGGTAAGGCGGTCAGAGCTCACTGTCACTCGCTGGTTTTGTAGATTCACAAAAAAATTGTACATTATATTATAAAACATGTTTTTTACAAAGCATTTTAAATGATCGTTAATAAAATATTGCGTTAATTATTTCAATAACGGTGTTGTTTTACTTGAAATTTTATGATACAATTAGAGTAGATGCATACAAATATTTTATAACATTTATTTATTCACCCTAACCCTCTTTTTTTTTATAATGAAATGATTTTTTTTTTCATAATGAATCATAAACACCAAGATGAGACATGTAATATTTTTAAAAACAAATAATGATGTATATAAATCTGAAAAATATGAAAACTATTGTACTATAATAATTATTACTATTATTTTAATTCAGAGTAAGAAATATTAAGTTTTATAATTAAATTAATACAAATATACTGTAGTAGTTGTTTTCCCTATTGATTTCAATGTAATTTTTGCATTTTATGGTTGTGTAAATCAAAAACATATCCAGTCTCACTTGTTTAGTTGTTAAATAAATCATATACAGTACTTTGAGCTAGAATTTGTCCAGTCAGTTGTTCATCACAAAATGTTGTTTGAAAATTAATAAATTCCAAAACATAATGTATATACTTTTGTCAATATTAGCATGTCAAACACAAAGCAACAATTTATTTTATTCAGTAAGCTAATCTTTAAATAATGAACGTTGAGGGTTAGCAATATCGATGGAACAGCTCCTGATATTATTTTAATACTTGCAATCAAATGTTGTTATTCAAAATGCTTACTACATGTGCGATGAGTTTAATAAATGTCTTAAAACGTCAAAGGGAAAAAGGTTTAAAGTATTTTCTTGGATTTGTCATTATATATGCCTGGTGCTACTAAAACGTTTAGACATACAGGTTCAGAACTAACTGGACTATCAATTTAAAAAAAATCTTCTGATTTAAAAGCTGATATTTTGTAAAAACTAAATCCCACATAATCCATAGGTTTGTACTTGAGAGATTATTTCATACCGAATCGCAAACGTATTAAAGATCATTGAATGATTTACAATAAATAACTGGTTTATTGAATTCGAATAATATTACAAGAATCTTAACATTGACAAAATAATATTACTGTTATCCGTCTGTATTAAAAAAAGAGGTGTTTAACTGGACAGTTAAACAAAAAACTTAATTCTTTACAGTATTTATATGCACATAATTGAATATACATTTTTATAAACCCTCGAGGTAACTAAGTAAAAATTATATGATGATATTTTTATACAATGTAACGCATTGTATGGGAACTAAAGGTCGAAAAGTTTACCATTCCCATAAAATACAGCAAAGTGGATATGTAAACGTTCAAAGCGAGAAAATAGGTGTATACAAATTGATAGTCAACGTTAAAATAATCAAGTGTGGAGATAAATAGGCTTATTACAATGCTGTTGTTAGGCGTTGGTTATTGCAAGAATTAACATATTGGCAATGCAACTGCACAATAAAAGATCTTTGAACTTTTGTCATGCCTACAACAATGTATAGTTCTTGATGAATTACAATTATTATCATTACTGTATTCATAAGTACTATTTTCATGTAAAATTATTACCTACTTATCTCATCCACTAGAATATTATATTTTATCATGCAGGGCGTTGGCTGAGTTTTACAATGAGTACAATAATTAAATAAAATATTAATGGTTCCATTGGTCACGTTTATCGATTATTATTCAAATAAAAAAAAAAACAAAATCTTAAACTTTGTGTACAACATTAATGTTTGGAAATAAATGTGAGAGGGCCATTAGGTTAAGCTTCTTAGATAAGACAAAATATACTTATGCTATTCGGGTTTATGATTTTCCCATGTACTGTTAATAAAAAATATTATGTAAATCCATTATTCTATTATTATCATGTAGGTACATAGTACTGAATTAACACAATGTAAACATTAGGATTATTATGATACCTATTTGGAAAAACGATTGAAAATGATGAATGGATCTGTCAGCAAAAAAAAAAAAAAATGATTATTATTAAAATTCGACAGGCTGCGTTGACTTAACCCGCAGATAGCCAATGTGTTGTGTTACATTATTTATTTATTTAAATTCATAACCGACAAAGGGCAGAAAAATAGCAGGTAGGTAAATGAAAAAAGCGGTTTCAGACAAACCCATCTAACTAGAAAAATGAGCAGATTTCCACCAGGACACACAATCAGTTTGCACTAAATATATATTTAACGAGCATATCGAATGGGTCTGTGAAGGAAATTACAACAAACAATGGGTTTTATTGAATTATTTTGCCAAAACCGGAAATAATAATAATTGTTGACAATGTCATTTAGATGGTTTTAAATTGGTCGTCGCTGAAAGGGAGAAGAGGGCAAATTAGTATCGTACGTGGGAAAATCAAATTGTCATCACCGTTAATACTATACTCTTAAAGCTGGGAAAATGTTATCAATTCGTTAATTCACTTATTAATATTGTATTAATATATCGTTTTAATATGTGTTTAATAATTAACTTAACCTCGAAAAATAATAACAATACCTATTAAACAGGGCTATCCAAATTTCATGTTACACAGTCATTTTGTTTATGAAAAAATTGTTTTCAAATAAATTCACTTTAACTCAAAAATATTGATTTAAAACTGGTTATCGAAAATATCTGGTAAACATTGAAAATACTATTTGTCTTTAAATTTTACCATCTAAAAAATAATTTTACCTAAATATTAAATATAATTTTTCATCATTAATTATATAAAATATGTACCTAACGATTTTATTTGAACCTTTGCTTAGCCAACACAATTGTTTCTCAGAAAACTGGATACTGTTTCATGAAATTTGGATAACCTTCTACATGTTTTTTGTTGAAATACAATTATTAAATTTTAAGTAAATTTATTCATATGTTTTTAAATAACTCGATGACGTTTGATGGTAAAGTAAAGTAAGTTAACTTTGAATATTTTATTACTCACTTAGCTCTTGGCCAACGTATTGCCAGAAGTAAATTGTATATAAAAACATTTTTTTTTTTTTGCAAATTCTCAAGACATAAAAGTACAATAATTTAAAATAATAAACTGTGTTGGAACAATGTGGTGCGATATAAATGGTGGCCGGCGGTCATGGCGGATCGCCAGGGATCATAACTCGGCCACGTCCCTGATGACGGTACCCGGTATCTGGTATCCGGTAACCGGTGGCAGTCGTGGTGGCGGCGGCTTGGTTCACGATGGTCGTCGCCGTCAGTCCGTCCAGTGTCGGCACGTGCATTTCACGATCCACTCGACGTCCACGTACACGCTGTGCACATAGTTGTCGGTGATCGCGGAGGACGGCCTGTGCACGGGCTCCCATAGGTCTTCGCCCATGACGGCACCGTCCAGCCTGTCGTGGCCTTCGACGGGACTCTGGCAGAGGAATTCCACCTTGACGGTGGTGCTCGACTCGGGCGTGCATTCCAAGTGCGGCGGACACGCGCCGCATCTCTTCGGGTGGAACGTTTTCCGGCTGCGGCAATCGCCGAATTTCAGCCGCACCGACGTCGCCGACTTGACCGTGGCTTTGCACTGGTGACCCTTCTGCAACAACAACAAGCGCAACCGCAATATTATTACACCGGCGTTAACATGTGTATATGTTTTATCGCTGGGGGTCATTCTAAACATTTGTCCGAAACGTAACGCTGGATGTCATACTCGGCGGCGGCGGAGGAGGAGGAGGGGTGATAAGAGATAAGAAAAAAGAGAGTAGAGAAAATGTGTTAGCGATAAGAGAAAAGATAGTAGAGAAAATGTATTAGAGATAAGAGAAAAAAGAGTAGAGATAATGTATTAGAGATAAGATATTAGAGCTAATAAATTAGAGATAAAAATAAAGATCACAGATTAGAAAAAAATGAGATAAGAGAGGAAAATAGAGATATTAGATTAGAGAAAAGATATAAGAAATATTAGATAAGAGATAAAAATAGAGATAATGGATAAGAGATTAGAGATAAAAGATTAAAGAAAATAAATTAGAAACAAAATAGAGAAAATGGATTTGAGAAAAAAGATAAGGGATAATTGATTAGAGATAATAGATTAAAGAAAATATATTAGAGATAAAATAGAGATAATGGATAAGAGATAATAGATTAGAGAAAAAAGATAAGAGATTAAAAAATAGAGGTATTGGATTAGAGATAATAGATTGGAGATACTAGATAAGAGATAAAATAGAGATAATGGCTTAGACATAAGATATTAGGGACACTACAATAGAGATAGGAGATAAGAGATTAGAGTTAAGGAAATTACCAAAAATTTCTAGGTTCCTATACTTGGATATAAAGATATAATATACACGTGCCTATGTATCCGCTTGTAGTGTGGATACTCGTTAGTTTATTTTGATAATAAATTATTCATACAAATGTAATCACAATTTGTGAAAAAGTAATTCCCATTTGATTCAGCGGTGGTTAAAAGGTATGCAGTAATATAACTAACTCGTTAGTAAAACTGCAGACTACATATGTACATTCAGAACTTTTGGGTTACTATTCTAAAACATTCTGACCACCTGGGCCATTTAAACGGAACCCCCATTTACATACTTGTATTTTATAAAACACTTTGGCACAAAGTTCCAATAAAAGTGAAATGAAGATAAAGTTCTGACGTTACCAATTTAATATTCCTTTATGAAAAATCTTGATAATAACGCAATAATATTATCACTGTGTCTAGTAAAACATATTATCATTGTAAAACCAATAACTTCTCAGTGTTGTAGCTAAAAGTTTAATACAAAGTAGAGCACTGTTTTATGTCCCTTATCAAACGTCAAATCATGGAATTATATTTGATTTCGTAAAGATAAAAATACGTTGGCCTTAAGTGGAAAAATATATATTTCCAGAACGTTTGGACTACTCAACCGCACATCGCTGTCCTTTGTAACTTTGTTTTTCATTTTATATAATAATTCCCTGCCGTCCGTCGCCTGGACCGATTAAATACAACATTCTTGTTTAAATTATAAAATATTCGATGCCACAATAATTATTTTACAGTGTCCTCGTGCACTATCTCTTAAACCGTACCTCTGGGTGTCGTAATTCGCAAGTTGTGCACATAAACTTATTATTTAAACTAAAATTAAAATAAAAATTCCGGTGTTGGAATGCATTTTCTTACGAGCATTTGATTAAACGACTGTGTGAGGTTACACTTCATGTTGTGCTAAGCTGATATGTCAAATAAATTACATTTTTTGTAAAAAAACAAAATAGAATTGGCAATAAATATCTTGATAAATTAAAAAGTACTCTCCGTCACAGTTTTATTTCATTATCAAATTCGCCACGACTGATTAAATACAGAAAGGACAGAAAAGTATAGCTGTTTGACGACTTTTTTTTCATTATTTATATTAATGTTAGATTGGGTTCATTTTTATGGTAAATATATTATCACTAGTAATAACTTGCCTCACATTAATAGCTTGCAATTGAAAACAACTGTGTTTAATAGTATACTTGTAAATGTAATAATGTTGACCCATCTTTTTTATTAAATTTTTAGCACGTTCACTAAATTACCCTTTATTATATAGTTATTCTATTAAAGCATTTCTTTAGCTTGGGTTAGACAAACGGTTTTCTAAATTATTTTAATAAAAATAATTAATTTTTGTTGCTTAACAATAAAACTATGTATAAAATGTATGTTAATATACCCAAATATTCATAACATATAATATAAATTTCTATTTTATTATATATTTTGAATATATAATATAATACATTGTAAAATATATTATATGTTATTAAATAATAATAAATTATGTATTGTTTCATTCATTGGATTAATAACTACTTTTGCATGTTTAATTTAAAAATCTATAATTGCCGGATAATTGATAAGGCAATCAGTTGATAAGAGAATCGACTGATAAGAGATCAAGCGCATTTTCGCGAAGGTACCAAAAGCATACGATTACGAGCTGTTAACCATTCTGGAGATGTTTTAATGTCAAAACTGTTTACCGTTTAATAAAATGTTAGCTCTTATTAGAAAACAGTTTTTTCAGCAATTTGTAATGTTTGGTACCTTTGATCATTTTTGCGGCAAGCAAACAATCCTTATCAATCTAATCGTTATCAGCACATATCAGTAAACATGTTTGCTTTCGACATCACCGCGAAATTTGCTTATCGCTAACTAGTGATAAGAATGTAGTCGACGTCGGCCATTTTTGTGGAATTTATTTGTGTTTATAGCAATTATATATATATAATTGCTATAAACAGTGATAACAGTTATAAACATGTGATTAGTTTCCAATTCTCACAAAGATTGCAATCTAGTTTATTATAAATATATCTGTGCGCACAAGAGACAAGAAACCTGCTGATATACAACATGATCCAACGTCTTTCCTTCAAGGTAAAATATATTTATTTATTTTTTATATACTCACTCTAATATGATGGTGTCTAGCGTATCTGGCACTGACGATTGGCGGTGAATGACATGGCTTTATTTCGCACAGTCTGGTCTCGTTGTTGGGCTTACACGCATCGTTAGCGTTGGACATGCGTTTCGAGAAGCCTAGACCACATTGTGATGAACATTTCGACCACGGTGTGACCAAAGCTTCACAATTTGGAGGTCTTTCCACTGGAAATAAATAGTATAGCGTTAAAAAAACAACAGTAAGATTTGAGAGAATATTGACTTATTGTTAAAACTAATGGGGTTCGGCGTTCACTGGTCCGTTTTTCCGATATTGTATCTCGAAATATTATTTATGCGTTTCCTATTAAATCTGGCGCACTGTCATTTATGCAAACCGTGACAATCTTTAATCTAATCAATTGTTGCGCACTGGCTGTTGGTTCATCAATCAACTTGTTTCTCGGTACAGCCGTGAGAGTCATCCGGTCGATTGAATTCAATCTCGACACCAACGCCGGTGTGTGTTGCCAAGTGACAAGGACTTTAAAAATTCATCAAACACACACAGTTGGGCTATAAATTATTCATAGCAGGCCATTACTTTTTTTTCTTCTAGTTTACACGAGTTACACCGGAGGAGACGAAGGAAAAACATTGCCATTATTAAGGAGAGCAAACAATAAGTGATGCAACGCTTTAAAAAAACAAAGTAATGCATCGCATAAACGTCGACTTGGAATTCACGTTTTGCCACGGTTTTCGTCGTTTTCCGGGATTTGACTTGATGATTAAAGTCCTTCACATTCTGCGCCAATTAAATGTTTAATCCCGTTACATTGGACGTTCACAATATGTTCAGCTTAACGTTCCACTCACTGTATGTGTGACATATGCAAATGTTAAATAACATCCTAAAGTTAAATCACAAAGATTCGCTCGAACGCTGTGGGACTATATATATTATTATTTGCATTTGCATTGTAAGTCGTGTACAGAGTTTGGATATTGTCGTTTATTCATCTACTCGTTCAGGACAATTATTAACCAGTGATAAGATATCCTCTTATCAGCTGATAAGAAAATCAACTGATAAGAACTGGTATCTTATCAGGTTGATAATTTAAACACCGTCGCACATTTCCAGGTTAAATGTTGTTACTTGACCTAAATAATCGGTTATATATTGGCATTTATACAACCCATTATAATCCATACATATTATTCAATATACCTGTAACTAATGTAATGTGAGGCAATGTGGGAGTGTGTTTGTTCGTTGATACTCCCAACCCCATCTTTATAGGTCGTTTTGTAGTTTGTAGAGCAGAAATACGGCGCTGTGCTGTGTTTGTATAATATGTATATTGTATATTTTACATGTATATGAAAGGATTTCAGGTATCTTTTAAGTGCTACACTCGTGGGGTGCACGCAATGGTTTTTAAAAGCTCCGTTCCTTGCTCTGATTCCAACCATGAAGGGCTCTTTTGAAATTCAACGTGACTTCGCATAAGCGCACAAAGGTACAAAGGTTTTCTTAATACTTCCAGTATTTGAAAAACTATCCGGTATGTGCACTACGGTGGTTTTAATATAGTAGTTTTATTTTATTTTTTTACTTGCAGTGACGATAGCAACTATAAAAATAACCTAATTACATTTTTATAGCCAATCACGTCAGAAAGTCTCATTTTAAATTGTAGTTTTATGACGTTTATTAAATTAGTTATCATCAACTGCATAACGCAGTTCAGGCGTAAAATCCCTAGTAAACATGTTTTGAACTTGGAAGATGAAACTTTGTAATAAATAATATTATTATATTTTATTAACACACTTGTCTCATTTCCCAAAAACCATTAAAGCAAAAAAAAAAAGTCTTAATAAAAATATACAGTTAGGGTTACCTTGTTTTTTGAAAATTAACAAAATCAAATTGTACTTTTTTAAAAACAGCTTATCAGACTTTGGATTCAGATATTGAACTATAGTAGATATCCTTACCCTTTTTTGTACTATTGTGTATACCTACATTTAGTAATGTTAGTTTTAATTGAGTTATAAATTAGATTCGGCAAAACATTTTTATATGAACATAATAATAACTGATGTACTTGTAAAAACTTGTTTGCGGCCTAATTGCACTATTAAATTTTACAACAACAATTATTGTAAAAATAATTTGATCAAATCCATGAAAAAAAAAATACAAAATACATAACATGTATATTTTTTTGTACTCGGAACGACTGTATTTTTTGGAATAATTGAATTAAATATAAATTTCCAAATATATCTTGTAAAATCACAAAATAATATATAAAAAAAACTTACAATATTTTTTTTTAAGCCTGTAGTTGTGCGTTTAGTACTGATTGAAATATATATAAAAATTAGTTCAGAGTAAAATAATTATTGAATGCAATATTTATTAATTATCGGTTCTTATACTTGAAATTAACAGTGCAGAATATATATTTAACTGTAAATAGTGTTAAGAAGTAGGTGAGAATATTATCTTTATTATAAAAGGTCAAAAAACAATATAATACTATAGACTAATATGTAGTCGGTGAAAGAAAAATCCAAAAACTTGGGACAACAATACTTACTGTTCATATTGTCACACATCCATTCTCTGCAACACTGACCGGGGACATCAACTAACCGGGGATGCCTACATAGCCCTCTAGGTGATATGTTCTCTTGAGGGCAAAGCGTTGCACAGGCGTAAGTGCCATTCTGAAAAATAACAAGTCGGTGGTATTAATAATAATACTTGAATTAGAAGTTCGAACTCAATAGATCAGAGATTTATTGTCTAGATACCTCTCCTTTAAGACAATATCAGAAAGAAGACAATTTTGACTAAGACTACACTAAACAATCATTTCTAATATTCTCTATTTTTTTTTTTGTCACATAATATTACATCAAGTTATTATACATTTAATTTACAAGTATTAGATTTATTCTCTAATTTGATTTTAGTTAAAACATTACAAGCTGTGGAATTTTATCATTCGTTATTACTGTTCTTGGTTTTGTAGTAAAAGAAAACACAGAAGTATTATTTCAATTAATAGTAACTTCGTATTAAACTTGGAGTTATCTCATCGAACAACCATACATTAATTTTACTTGGCATTCATAGCATTTATTTTTGTGAAATATGAAGTTACAGCAGCTACTGAGACAGTTAATAGGATATTATCGTTGAAGTCATCTCGTGCTGGTTTAGATGTGTTAAGTGTGGATATTTTGAATACAAATATGGTTCGAAATTTTCTCACAAGTAACGGAAAATACCTTTATTGTGTTAATGACTCAAACTAAAAAAAAGGAATAATTTTTGAGAAAAATGCGGTTAATTAAATTGTGTACAGAAACATTTTAATTTTTAACCCTTGTTGAAGTCCGTTATTATTTAAAAAACGACTCAGGAATTTAGATATAAATTTCATTTAGATAAAAAAATTGTCTTTTTTTAACGAATCGATCAGTGATAGGTATTCAATAGTGACCCACACACATAACTATATTGCATATACATTTTTTTTTTTTATAGAACAATAGAAAAAATGTACAACATCTTGACGATTTACACTGTACAGCGTTCTTTTATGTGGCAAACACAAGTGCTATTACAGACATTTCATCGAGGTCAAGCATTAGTGTCTTGTAAAGTAAAGTGTATGACCTTTGTTAGTATATGCATGGGCAAGTGTTAATATAAAGTTAACCTTTTTTTTTTTTTTTACCTGACAAGTACACTGTGTTCTGCAATCTAGTCTAAACGTTTCTCCATTGTCATAAGTCTTATTGTATACTGTACATGGTAAACCTTTCACAACTGAAACAATAAAACAAAACAAATGAATATATATTAGTATACAATATTGAGCTGTATGTAAGTAGATACATAGTAAAAACACAGATAGGCGGTTTACAATATTGAACAGTTTTGAACAACTGATCGAGTAAAAGCTTGAATTGTGTTAGAAAATAATAAAAAAGTTTGTATTTATGTATTTTTTTAATTAATATTGGGTGTTTATCGCACTCAATATTGCATTTTTTAATCTCTTGTAGTTTATTAACCGCGTTAAAAACTTTGTAATTAGGTTATCGTGTTACGCGTACCGTGTGTAAATATTTTATAAAGGACTCACAAGCTAAACTAATTAGTTTCTACTGTTTTTTTTTTCAGTACATACAATCCACAGGCTTAAAATAATTATATTATGCGATACGGAATCAATACCCATCGTGAAGTCTTCGTCCTTGGTTAATTTGTGGGTGGAAAACTAAGAGCTGTGGTTATAGCCGGCTTATAATAATATGAGTGTTAAACTTCTTTGGACAAGTTTAAAGTCGGTTTAATTAGATGTAATCTAAGTTTGCGCTTGGCAAACTTAATGTCGGGTTAAGTCAATATTTTTTATGGACACCTATTTAGAGTGTTTGTAGTACTGTTTATTGGTTGACAATAATGATGGGACAATTTTCCAAGCCAATTTTTATTTCAATATATATATATTTTTTTTTTATACCATAATATAAAGATACTTCCTAGTAAGTGTAATGAAATTGAGTTTTTGAAACGCATCAACAAGTATAAGTTGATTTAATTTCAACTTTTTAGCCTAACTCATATTATACGACTGATATTATAGTACAATAGATTTTGCAAATAATTAGTTTGATCCTCAATATACAAGTATACAAATGTGTTATAATGGGAAGCCCTTTTAGGAATATTGTATTCCCACCTTCTCTATAATAATTATTGTCATAAGCAATTATTCCTACTTGTTGATATTTTAACTAGTATGAAAATGTTATAACCGAATATATATGTTTATTATAATACCGTGTAAATTGAATTGTTTTTTAAAAAATGTGTTCAATACTCCATTGCATTACTTGTAATTTCAAAAAATAAAAATAAACAAATAAATATAGGCAAATTATGAAACGAAACCTAACCTGACCGCAATGCTGCTATATCACAGAACTCAGACTTTACTTAGCTGTGCAACACACACACAAACACGAGTACTCGTTTATAGTGTTTAGTCAAGTGATTTATGAACTAAAATCTAGACTGTTAATACAATTAAATCCAAAACGCTTTTCTTACAATTATTTATGCTGAACATTTTAAAAAGCTACTGCATCATACTTAGTTTTAGCTTCAATGCAGAGCTGATTTGTGTGTGTGTTTTTTTTAACATACAATTTTTTTATAATTCATTTTTGTTAAAAAAAAAATGATTATGAAGAACACAGTGAAATTGTTTTTGATCGTTTTGTCGGTACGGCAAGTATTTATCACTGTTATATTAACGCAGAAATTTAAATGTTTAAAAAACAAATTTTTTTTTAGATATTATAATATACACATGCTTAAAATCACAAGTGTTTTTTATAGTATTTGAACGATACAGGGTGACAGGGAAACCCACGACTTGTTTTAATGTTACCAACAGCTAGTATTGAAGTTAATATTGCTTTCAGAGCTGTTCGGTGACCGTAGCAGATGAACATACACCTTCTGAACTGGTCGGCCAGGTACACCCAAAGGCACTGAGACAGTTCATGGAGACACAAGACGATCTGAAAGAAATGTTATCGCTGTACGACATTTTCTATACACGCATCAAAGGCGGAATTGTTTCGGCTGATTACGAGCCCTTCTGTCGTTCGATAAGCAAATCGTTTACGTTTTTGTTCGACAAATACTTTGGCGACGAGGACAAATGGAACGCAGCAAAACGGCTGATAACCGAAGAACACAACAAGTTGATGATTCCAGGTGAAAGCATCGAAGATTTAGTATGGGTCGAGCGTGGCAATTTCAATATCGACACGGTGCCAGAAGTAAAGGTATGCGTGTGCTTAAGTGTGATGATGTGCGAGTATTGAATGATAAACGGTGCTTATGATTTGCAGGCGTTCCAGTATCGTAGGATCGATTCGAAACTACCGCACGAGTTACTGGAAGCTGTTCAACCTCGGTTAATTGTACAATTCCTGGAGAAAAAACAGACAAGACAAGAACTGCTAACGTTGTATACAATTTATTTGAAGTATGCCGAAAAGGATAGCGCCGAATTCGGAAACTTTTGCCAACTCTTAAAGAACTCGTTTGATTTCCTATTCGATAGATATTTCAGTAGCTTGTCAAATAAACAGACGTGATATAATACTGTATAATATTACTGATGGGTATAATAAAAATTAAAAAAAAATCATGTTCACGCCTTCATAATATTTATGTGAGTCAATGTATTGTTTATTTATATGAGTTTACTATAACTATTTAATGTATAATTGTTCATTTCGTGTGGTTTTGCATAAATAAAATTCCAAATTATTTAATTAATACGACAAAGGGCCTTTTTTTTTTTTACAAATATACTTACGAAAAGCCACCAAGACAAATTTCTAGGCTACAGTCAAGTAGTATAAGTAACGAGCACAGCAACCATGAGTGTATACTCAAATAATGTTTTATTAAAATATTTAATATTAGTGTTGGAATATATTCACAAATGATTATTCAAATTTCAGTTCAAACGTCTTTTGAATTTACCATACACATTTTCTTATATTAAATAGAGCATAATTTGTTCACTTGGTTTGTATAATACATTTTTATGTTTCAACATTATAACAATTGTCACAATACCTACAATTTGTATTGTGTTTTTTTTAGGTATTTAAATTTACATAAACTATTTTGTATTACATTTTCCTATACCAAACATGTTTTATAATTATTATGATGAAACTAAGTAAATTTTGGGTTTGACTGTTTGCATTGGTCGTATATTATTTTTGCAATTGGCATTTTAAAGTGTCACAAGTTAAAAAAAGTTCACTCCTTGGCCCTTTGAAATGGGGAAAAACATGTAACTAGAAACTTCATACCGCCATGTGTTTTGTAAATTATATATTATGAGTCATTAAAACCAATTTAGTAGGTTAACTTACTTGCTCATATTGGATTAGTTTTTAAAGAACTTATACACGTTATACACAGGTGTGGTAACTTAAATCGTTTCAACTAGAATAATATAATATATATTACATGATGTGTTTCCAATAATAATAATATATCATTTGAAGAAAAAAGTTATGTTATGTTTACAGACAAAAAAAAACACACACAATTGTAAAAAAAATACCATCTCAGATCCGCACGACGCCAATTTACTTAAACCATGTATACTCTGTTAAATAATAAAAATGATAATTTAGTTAGAGATGCTTAACCCAGCTATTCTTTTTTCAAGAGTATTAATTTTAATTAGCTTTTTAATTTTGACAGACCATAATAAGGAAGAGAAAGTTTTATAAGTAGTGCCGACTAATTAGCTTTGTGACTGTAGTTAGGATTTTCTGAGTAATATAATTATTCATAACAACTTTACTCGACAGTATAGAACAGTACGTTTAAAGGACTAATTAGCTGAATGAAATAAAAATAAAAATATATCTAATGAGAATTGTAAAAGCACCTTATTGTTATACATTATCTTATCATATGTATTTTTTACACCTTATTAGTGTGGAAATGTACTTATAAAAAATCAAGTCAATTTTTATGTATGAGTCACGATTTTGCTAGTCAGAGATTTGTTACTACTGAATTGCGTCCAATTAACCCAACCTGAACCTAATCTAATCTTGAGAAGATTATAGAAAAATGTTTAAAAAAATTAACTAATGAGAATCTACACTACAAGCGGATACATAGGCACATGTATATTATGTCTTTATATCCAAGTATAGGAACCTAAAATTGTTTGGTACTTTCCTTATCTCTAATCTCTTATCTTTTATCTCTAATTTAGTATCCCCAATATCTTATGCTAATCCATTATCTCTATTTTTTTAATCTCTTATCTCTTTTCTCTAATCCATTATCTCTATTGTATCTCTTATTTCTTTTCTTTAATCTATTAACTCTAATTTATTCTCCCTAATCTCTTATATCTATTTTTGTCTCTTATATCTTATCTCTAATCTAATATCTCTATTTTCTTCTCTTATCTCTTTTTTTCTAATCTGTTATCTTTATTTTTATCTCTAATCTCTTTTCTCTAATCTAATATCTATAATATCTTATCTTTAATCTATTTTCTCTAAATCTATCAACTCTATCATCTCTAATCCATTAACTCTAATACATTATCTTTACTACCTTTTCTCTTATCTCTAATCCATTATCTCTAAAACATATTCATGTTAAAATTTGATTGGGTAATTGGGGTTTAATTTAAGTTAAAAAATTTACTGTACATAATATACTTTATAGCTAATGTTATTATTATTAATTAAAAAAAGAAAATCACTCGTCGATAACTTGTTTAATAGTTTTAAGTATTCATTTCAATAATAATAACTGATGCTAAACTCGAAAAGGAAAAACAGAAAATCAGCTGATAAGAAATTTGGTGGTGACTATTTTTGTGTTGGATCCTGCTGCCATTATTTAAATGTTATAAGACTGATAGCAACCAAAATTATTTACCATTTGGGTATTAGCCACCTCGAAGCTAACGCGGAGGGGAAAGATAGTACATGTCACAGGGCTTTGGTTTTAATATTATAGAATTATTATTGTTTTGTGGTAATATTAATTGTAGGTCTCTACAGTGTGTTTGGTCAAGAAAATATCGTATTCGACGTCAACAGCAATTGCACATTATTCCTTTTGGATTTCGTTTAAGACCAACACGCTCTAACCGATTGCGTGCGACAGCACTATGGAAAATAATAACACGCATACTATTGTATTGTATACGTGTGTTTATGCATTACAATACATATCTGCGACATGCTGGCAAATAATGTACGGCGATATACACCGTGTGTATATACATTATACACTTGCTGCACGAGGGTTGAATAATGTCAGGCGTGCAAAACCGGCATAATATACGAGTTATCGCTTCATTACTACACATATACGACCACGCCACATGCCCTCACATTATTATAATGGCGACGGTGGCAAAGAATATCCTTTTCTCGATTGGTATTCATCTCCTCGACGTGCCAATCGATCGGTCTTAGGATTTAGCTCTAAGAGGCATATCAGACCGTTTACCAGCCTCCTGTGTATGCGCCCCCCTCTCATTAAGAAAACGATACTACTCCATTGGTATTGGTAAAGATAAAAAAAACAATCTGCCAAAAATATTGCAGGAAATAATCGACCGTCAGCTATTCCCAGGTGGCCTAGTGTAAATCCGCAAACAACTATTTTAGATGCAGAATTGAATTGCTGATCGTCAATCTTTAAATTTACACTAAAATATGTAAACCTGTACGTCTCAGGTAGGTTTCCGATCAATATGATATAACGATAAAATAACAATGTTAGGTTATAAAACAGATATGTTTAGGTAGGTCGATGTATTGACATTGACCTATATAATGTTCAACGATAAATTCCTAATGTTTAATCGCCATAATTAACTCTAAAATTAGTGCACACAATTTACTAAGATTTTTTTCTTAACACTTTACATCAAGGTTGTTCTTTGAGAACTTGTGAGTTTATCTATTAGTATTACCATTAATTTGTAGTATCCTACTAGAAAAGACCTTCGCTCAAACACATTTTAAACCACTCCTTTTTACATTCCTGCGGTTCAGGCGTATTCCAGGTTTCCAAACATTAGCAGCAAGGCCTCCTCAAATTAGTAAATCATATTGAATTAATGTTTGGTTATTATGATAGATATACTGTTTGAATAACTAGCATTGGTACGACCTTCAGTAATTTAAAAAACTAAAACTCTAAACACGAAGACGCATTACTAAATTATTTCCATGCAAATTCCATCATAAATACTTGCCAAATAAGGAATACCTACTTGAGATATATGTTTTGTTACTATCTGTAACACCTTTCAAGTATATATTTTAACAAAAAAACTATTTAGTCATTTTAATTGGAAAATAATGTTATCAGCATACAAGTTAAATTTAATTTCAGATAGAATCCGAGCACTTTAACCTTTGCAAATGTCAACTACCCATTTTTCATATCAGCTACTCAAAAAACCGCTTGTCTAATTATACCTTTAAAAGGTACGATTAAGCAGAGGGTACATAGTAAATTGTTAGAACTAAGAAACCAAGTTTTTTTCTTCATAAAACACTTGCAGCTATACTTTCAAAGGAAATGAGTGTTTCTTATTAAATGGACCACTCTGTATAAAGCATTTTCGACGGATTATATTTAATAAGCTTTACGTTTTTTATTATTCTCAAGTTTTGCTGAATTTTCTGCAATTAGGCCCGCATTCGTTATTATTTCAAGAATCTTCAAATTGGCAACTTCAAGAATCTTTCTTAAGAGCTTTAATGTTTTCCTCGAAGTAGACATTGTTTTAAAATTCGACTTCGTTGGAGTTCCATGGCTTCGGAGTTTGAACTGTAAACACCTAACAGATTTTCACCAAATTAAAAATGCAAAAATTATGCATGTGGCAATATGTACACTAAATTGGGAGGGATTTTGCAGTCATGTTACATTATTTCTTCGAACAACTTTGATATTCATCGTATCCTTATCCCCAAGGCTGTTGTGTCAGCTCGGGCGTCTTTTGATAACGTTTCTAAATTATTAAAACGTGTGTTATTTTTGCTGTATGTGGCTTACATAAGATGACGTACACATGTTTTCGTAATTGGATAATTCACAAGAAATAATTTCAAAAATAATGTTTGTTCGACTATACATACATTATTAGTATGGTAATATCAAAACGGTTGTGTTGGATACCAGCAACCATTAAGGCTGACATAACAAGGCCTACTGGCGAATTCAAGAAAGTCACGTCGAGCTGGAGCAGAAATGTTTTAAATCACTATCAGCCGGTTTCATGGCACAGACTTACATTGTAGATTCAAATATCATAACTTATTGTATTTTGTAATTCAGATAATATTATTATGTCTTGCCTGTCCTGAGTCCTGAGTATAACAATGAAAACTACTCTTATCACTACCTACCTTTTTTTTTTAGGCCTTCAAAATAGAAAAAACTATTTTAATGACTTTGATGACAAACTATTTTTAGAAAGGTATCTAAACAATGTGTCGTTTATGAATATAAATTATTTATATAAACCGAAACGTTAAAAGAAAGTAAAATAAAATGTCAAACAATAACAAACTGACAAATTAAAAAATACAATCACTTATCAGTTATCACGTTTGTAATTACTAATGAGAACGTTGGAATCAAGGTAACCGCTTTGGTAACCCAACTAACGTGTTGTTAACTCAACAAATATAATTTAACAATACTTATGTTATGGAGA